TTTCAATTCAGTTGCACTGTGTTTCAATTAATTTGTTGATTAACTCAGCAGTCTGTATGCTATTTCTTTCCTTCAGCCAGTCACATTTTAACCAAACGCCACAGGCCAAACATAAGCTGAGATACAAATTTACATCCCAGCATGGCCATGGCTTGAATATAAGATCTAGGTACACATGTTCTGACAGCTTTGATACTTGTTACAAGATAAAAACTAACAGTCAAATTATTTTTGTGTTTAAGTGCACTTTGCTCTACCTATTTATATTTAAAATGACAAATGCAGCATAAAAACTTTGAACATGTTTTGAAGGTAATAGCGACAGCACAGACAACACCTTTGATTCCAGCCCCCTCCCTGCACCCCCATGTCACACACAGATAAGCCATGTTAGATAGTAAACACTCATATCTGTAAAATGCTTGAGACATCATCATTAATTCAGAAAATGAGGCGTTTCATATTTCATGTCAATATCAAGATGACAGTAGAGAAATGATGCTGAATGTGATGGAAGCTCTAATTTACTTTGACGTCAGCTGCTGTTAACAGGCTACATGAAAGATTTCACAGCCAGATGGAAATTTGTGATGGATTCAACTTTAAATGAGCACAGCTCTCAAATGAACTCTTTCAGTTTTGACCACAAATTCATGTCAACTTAGTGATGTTAATGGTCTGAGAGGATCTGTAAAAGACAATAATGCCAGCTTTGTGCTTCTGACCTGCCATGACTTTGACTCCAGAGGTGGCTGAGCTCCCATGGTCCACCTGGCTGCCCCTTACTGACCAGACATCAGCTTATGCAGTGTCAGTCCACCGCCACGGTTTTTCTTAGTCTCTCTTGGTTCCTTTTTTTTGTGTATGAGTTAGATGAACTACCAATCAGGTCTGGGGTGGCCAGTATGATTTCAGGTAAAGCCAAGGCCATTCACCAAAATTACATTTGATAGGACTGCTCCTAATGAACCAATTCCACCCTTGCGTTGTACTGCCAGTTATGTATGTGTAGTATCATGGTTGAACTGAACCTTTAATTCCTGGCTTACCTACTCTTTGCCTACTTTGATTTTGTTATGGAGGAGCTACAACACACCAACATTTACATAAAAGCTCCCACCTCTTATGCTCTTCCAGTTTTGTCCTCCTCCTCCTCCTCCTCCCTTCACGCTGAGCTTCCATCCATCTGAATACTTCACCAAGCTGCGTGTGTTTATGTGTATAGCCCATGATTGTAGTGGGGGGTCTAATTCAATTCACCAGCAGCCAGTTCTGGTTCACATTAACGCAGTTTAATAAAAGACTATTCAATTAGCCAGCGAGCTCGGTGGGAGTGTGCGTGCTGCATACTGAAACAGAATGGTGACTGTCAGAGATGGAGGCGCACACTCTCCAATTAGGCTCACTGTCGACTTCTCACATATGCAATGCCAAGTTGGCGAAGAAAGGAGAGACGAAAAGTAGGGGGAGCAAGAGCGAGGGTGAGAGAAAGTGTAGTGAAAGTGACTTATGCAGTGGGCGAACTCCAGAAAAGGAAAAAAAAAGGTGTCGATGTGAATGTTTTATATGGCTGACTGAATTCTACAAGTGTCTAACTTTACTTGAATTGATCCCTATTAAGTCTTCACAAAGAGCAGCAGTTTGTCAAAGTCTGACACTGCCTCACCTTTTCAGAGAAGAGCCGACAAACAGCATTAAAAGAGCTGAACAAAGGAGACAGAGCGGTGCTGTTAAAACATATACATTAGGCTTCATGTCTGACTGTCAAACTCATCTCCAGCAGATGCAACAGGGAGGCGCTACAGGGGTTAAAGATCTGGCAGCAATTCAAAGAGCTGCTTTTCAGACAAACACCTGCACTAAAGCGACTGAAAAAGCAAACAATTGCTGTACGTTTGCTGCACAGAGCGTTACATTTCACACACATGCATCACAGCCTTCTTCTTCTTCTTCTTCATGCACATTTTCTGCTGCTCGTTGTAGTCAACTGGACCCAGTAATTGTCAAAGACTGGAAATCAATAATGGCGCATTGTGAGGCGTGAGCAGCCATCTTCTAACCTCGCACCATGCAGCTGTCTTTCCCAATCAAAGCCAGGCTGGTTACCATGACAACCTCAATCCTCCAATCTTTCACAGTAATAAGGCGGGAAAAGGGAGGGCATAGCACTAGAGGAGCAAGGGTTGAAATAGAGATGGAGGAGTAGGGGGGAATAAAAACAAAAAAAAGAATAAAGGTAAAGAAATTCCCTGACAAAAATTCAAAACAAAAGTACAGGCGCTGAGAAGTGAATTTGGCGATGGAGCCCATTTAGATCCAACAGCCGTAGCTTCCTTAAAAAATAAATAAGCATTATCCCCTCCATCAAGATTGTGTTTATCACATTTCACCGTCAAACCGCATTCAAAACATCTCATAAAGCCCAGTCTTCCATTATGTTCACCCATTGTGCTCTCTTATCCAATATATTGGTGAAATATCCCTGATATTTCTGTAATTCTGCAGATTTAATTAAAGAGGGTGGGTTTCTAATAAAAGCCAAATGGCAGATAGCGGTGCTTGGGCTTTCCAGAAGCTTGTTTAATCAGAGAATTGCTGAATGGGAGAAGGCAATAACAGAGTGAATAGAGGCTGGTATTTGTAAAGAAATGTCAGGGAGAGAGAGGGGATATGAGAGTCACTTTATATGGTGCTGTCTTTAATATAGGTAATACGTGCATTATGTCTGCTGGGGTCAAAGGTGATTAATCCATGGAGGAAAGCTGGGTTAGTTGGAGATGTTCAATGACACACAAAAAATTGGACTGATAGATGCAAATATCTATAATTGAGTTCATCCGGGACGGCACAAAAATGGGAAAAAAAGGACGGAAAACTCCTTAAGTGACAGAATGCAATTACGGGAAGAGGTATGTTTATGTTTAAGGTATGACCGTTGACTGTACTTAAAATGAACAAAGTGTCCGAGGAGGAGGGTTTTCTCACCTTTACTGCAGCCAGTTGTAAGGAAGGCTCTAAAAATTATGGCTCCACATTGGAAAGCTGTCATCTGTCCATTCTCCACTTTATGGGACCATAAACTTTTATGAAAGGTTGACATTCTTGGGTGTCTCTTGTGATTTTTTACTTTTCCCCTGAAATGTTGGAGAACTTTTCCTTCCGCTCTGGGGTGGCTATGGTGGTCGAGTCAGCTCCATATGTAATATCTTATGTAGTATCTTTTTAGCATTGTTATACTTATAGTCTTTTCTTAATTAACCTTTTAGGCCTTTTTTAGGATATAGTACTATCCTGTTTTCTGCTTCAACCCCCTTTTACTGCATTTTCTTTTTGTTACCTATTTTATGTTTTATGTTTATGTATTTTATGTTGCATGGTTCTTGTATTCTTGTATTGTCTGGGTTCCTTACGACATATGAAAATGGCCCTCAATTCCATTTTAACTGAGCTTATTTGTTTTAATTTGTCTTTATTTCCATGTGCATTTTGACTACTTACCAGATTCAAGCTCAAAACCCACCTTTCCCGCACTGCTTTTCATCCTCCTTAGCCCCCTCCCCCTGTTGATTGTTGATTTATTTTACCTGATTTTACTTGATTTTATTTGATATTGACGTATTTTATTGTATATTGATGTATGTTTTTATTCATTGAGTTTGTGAAAAGCGCTTTACAAATAAAATGTATTATTATTATTATTATTACTTGTCAGAGCACTTTATAAACTTCTGTTTTTAAAAGTGCTATAAATATAAAGGTATTATTGTTATTATTATGTGAAAGGTTATAACAATAATAAGTTTATAAATTTAATAAGCTGAAGTTGTAGCCTTTATTTCTTTAGGGTTTTGGATTGTGTTCTTCGGTTCGGTTAAATTGTTTATGCAGACTGAAATAAACTTCTACTGAACGACAACTGCCAATACATTCACAAACTCCTAAATCCATCTCATTGGTCTTAGTATTTCACTGTCACTTTACTAGATTTCTATAATAGAGCGTTTATTGTATGGATTAGTCAGTGAGACTGTGCGTGTTACGTCGTGATCGATACTTTGGTGGCAGGCATGAGTCAAACTGTGATCAATAGATCACTCCTTACAGCTATCATAAACAGATACACTCTACTACACTCACATCGACCGGCACTTGTGTGAATGTGCATTTATATCCGCTAACAACTGTACAGGAATATTATACTGCCACTAATATTCTGTGTGTGTCTACTGAGTGCAATATGTATGTGTTTGTGTGAGTGTGCGTCAGTGTGAGATAACAAGCCTCTGTCATTCCATGGGTGGCCAACCATGTCCATATATAAGTGGGAATGCATTTTAACTGAGGCCCTCTCTTTCAGACACACACACATATATGAACTCTCTCACTCATTCACTCACACAGACACACACACACACACTTACAGAGGGGGTTAAGTGTGAGAGCACAGAGTGGTGCTGCGAGCTGAAGCTCTGCGTACTGACCTTCAGGGTTATCTGGAAGGTTCCTCCACACCTTGCTGCTAGCACCATAGCTGTCACCATGGAAACCAACTAGCAGGGACAATATGTGGCCTGTCCAGTGTGTTGCCTACGTGTGCATACATTTGCTCTAGCGTCATCACATGACGGCACATATACACAAATTTACTACAGTGGGAAACAGCATTTCCACAGACAGTAAAATCCATATTAATTGACGCACACTTTCTTTTCTCTTTCCTGCACTTCATTTATCCCTCATTTCTCTCTCTCTCTCTCCCTCGTTTCTCTCTCTTAATGAAACCATGAGCACGGCACAATCAAACCCCTGGGCCTCACTGCTTTGTCAGAAGGGTGCACACGACCCCATTTTCAGCAGTGGAAGCGTTATTAGCATTCCATGACAAGAGACAGCCACCCGCCACCAAACTACACACACACACACACACACACACACACACACACACACACACACACACACACACACACACACACACACACACACACACAAGACACAAAACCTGCAGCCTCATCACCACCGGATCACTGGGATTTATTTCAAAGATGGCAGGGGTGTGCCGGCGCAACTTGACAATAAATCAACACATCATAAACTCTGGAGTGACATGTCAAGATAATACACTCAAAAAACAAGGAGGACGGAGAGGGGGAAACAGGAGAGTTTTTTTTAGTGATGGTGGAAAAATAAAAGATGGATAAAAGATAGATATATTGGAGAAGAACAGAAAGAGGCTGAAAAAAACATGAATGACATCCCTGCGTCTTCACTTCTTCTCCTCCTGCTTTCTTTGAGTACCTCAGCCGTGATTCGTCAGTGTGCCCTGGAAAAAAAAAATGGCAGAAAGAGAGGGGGAGGGTAAAAAAAGAAGAGAAAGTGTCAAATTTACCATTTACATGAACAGTACCTCAGGGGAAAATCACAGAGGCAGAATGCATTGTGGCATATCAGTCCAGCACACTCACAAACAGGAGCTGAGGAATCACACTGTAAATTTATATTTCAGTAAAGTAAACAAAATATAACCTCCACAAATGTTCATATCCACCAGAGAGAGCGTCTCAACCCTTATACACCTGTAACACCTGGTTTTGTCTTTCAAAGTTTAGCGTATAGCTCATCTGAACAGGCTACGTTTGAGGTTTTCTTATATTTACTGACCTTCTCTCAAGCTTCTCTCCATTAGTCATGGCCTTGTTAAATCAAAGTAAATCCAGTTTTAATATTTATTTGTATAAAAACACGAATAATACCAACCACTGATACCATCTAATGGGAATTTTAATTTAAAAAAAGGAGAGACCAACTTAAGCTCGCTTTGCTTGTGACACTTAGGAAAATATTGTGCTTATTGGAAGGGATTTAACAATACATGTAACTGAAGTCATGTTACCAGTCACCATGTTGAATTTATGACACCATTCATTTATTTGTTCTTCCAGCTTCCTAAAGAAAAGCAATATTTCCACAATTTGGGCCCTTTTAATGAGAGTAGGGAATACTGGACTAATGAGCTTTCTTTTACTTTGATTTAGCCATTTTGATTTGAAAAGACCAGCATGTGTAGATTTGGAGAAACCCAAATTTGAACATCATTTCTAATTTCAAGTGTACATCTTAGGGGTTGCACCAGCCCAGGTAGTTAAAATGTCAGCATGAGCTCTATCATAAACCTTACACTTAGCACTTAGCTACCAGCTGTTTGTGTCAGCAACATGTTCGCCACAAAATACAACAATACAAGAGTGATTGATTTAATATTAACTCCTGCTTTTGTAGAGATAACCACATCTGCACAATAAGACAGTACAATAGTGTATGAGGTAATTAATGATTTTACTGGATTTCACTGTTGTAGATTGACTCTCACCTTATCATAATGCTTTGACTGGTTTTACACACCTTTAAGTTAGTTACCTTTACACTATTAGTCAATGAATGGAAGTTTCCGGTTGTTATTTTCAGCCATTAGCCTGTATAGAGGCAATCAGTCATTAAGGGTCAACGTTTGATCAAGCACCCCAGAAAAAGTGCTGTTCTCTGATAGGCTGAATATATTGAAAATGTCATTTCTCCACCTTATTTCCACATGGTGCAACCAAACAATAAACAATTTTAAAGCTTCTGTGAGGAACTTCCTGTTTGTGTCAATTTTGGCATCCCCCGTGGACAAAGCAGTCTTTACAAATCTTGTCCTCTACGTGCTCAAGTCGCATAACCAGAGCAAAAAACCTCCTACCGCTGACTTTTGACAGCGGGCCAGTTGACCCCTTGCACTGGATTCAGGTATTAAAAATTATGGCATTAAAATCGTGCATCTTTTTGCTGTCAGTCTTGTTTGCTCTTGCATGTCATATTAAGGCATTGATATAAATTTCAGATAATTTCATGAACATCAAAAAACTCTGAACAGTAGCTTTAAGTTTCCACGTTTCTGGATTTCGTTTTTGTGTGGACTTACACCTTAACTTAGGACACATCTCATGCAGAGCTGGTGCAGCAGGCAACAAATCATCATTATAAGCCAAAACATGACCTAATTTACTGCAGAGTGTCTACATTTTTCATATTCAAACTGTGACTCAGTGGATCAGTACAGTACATTATTTTAACTGACTGTGCAACCGTTCCAACAAACCAACAATCCTAAACTTTTGGGGGAATAACATCAAATCTATTCTGTAGTGTCTGAGTTTTCCAGCTGCTATGCTACTCTTTATAATACATCACATTGTAATCCCAGAGATTGTAACTGCCTCGGCCCTGTTGCCATAGTACCAACACTCTGTATTGTAGTGAGTGGTGACAGTAACAGACGAGGCAGGCAGTGCATGAAGCAGACTGTAAACTGAGAAGAGAGGGGATATAGTCCTGCAGGATGGAGGAAAGAGTTTAAAAAAAAGCCTAATTTTTATTTTTTAAGTCCAGTGAAAATTTGAGAGAGTAAAAGTAAAGGAGCTGGAGGGGCATCTGGGGTGTGTATGTATGACTAACAGTGTCTTGACAAAGGAGGATCAAAAAGAATAGCCACTAACCAACCAACACAGTTTGAATACTAAGCTACTCAATATGACCAATAAGAAAGCAATTTAACTCCAACCAAGAACTGAATCAAAAGTGTCCTTAATTTCTCTTGAATGTGCTGTTCTCAGAGTTTCACAGTTCAGGCCATAAAATCTGAAAGCAGCTTCAGCAGATTTCCTCTCGGACGCTTTAGAGACTTTTTAAGAAAGGCAGTGGATGATCTGAGAGTTCACATTAGGACATAAATGAGAGGCAGTCAATAATATATGAAGGTGCTAAATTATGTAAGGCCTTGCAGATAAGTAAAAGGACTTTTAAATCAATTCTAATAGTTAAAAGTCGCCTGTGCAGGGATCAGATATGTGATACTATTGTCTTGCTCTGCATTTGTTAAAACTGTGGCAGCTGCATTTAGTATTAGATGATACCTTTGGGGGAAATATTGTTTTCAGGGACACTGTAAAAAGCTAAGATTAATGTTCAGTTGAGCTTTTTCAGACTAGATGGAATTTTTTTTTTTAAAATGAAGGAAATTAATATAAAACAGAGAACATTTATCATAATTTGTAGCAGCATCGCTTCTGTACTTTACCAGTGGACACAATAAAACCAAAGTGCATTCTGTGCTAATAACTAAACCTTTCAACAAAACTCTTCAGATTGAAAGCAAAGACAAAAATAACTCATGTGAGACGCCTTGCAGGTTTTATTTTTGTGTATTTAACAGTTCTGGCAAGATCTGAATGTCCCGAGAGGAACTTTCTGTTTGTCCTTATTTTGGCTCCCCTGTGGAAAACGTGATCTCTCTCATCTCAGTTGATCTTGACCTAAATGTGTGTTTTTGACAAAAAAAAAGAAAAAAAAATCTCTATCAAATGTTCTTATTGCTGTGAAGAAAGTTTTCAAAAAGGCTTCGGCAAGTTTTAACCTCTTCCCTCACAGTACCACTATAGGAATTGACAGTCTTGCTTCAGGTGGTCTTGTTTTCTTTTTTTTATGCCATAAATGGGTCTCACTGTTAATGGTCTGTTTCTGCTGAACCAACTTTATGAAGAGGTTATTCAGAATTGCCCGTGTCTTTCTGTAGTGTATTAAACACTCATGGGTGGTTGTGGTTTAGAAAGCCAGACTACTATAGGGTATGACACCTCTAGTGTCAACACACATCCAAGCAGAGTCCTTTGAAAAGACACAGGGCAACTGAGTGTTCCTGAAGCATTAGCTTGTGGCCGTCGGGTGGGCTAGTTGGCATGCTAACTACCTCTCGGTGCTCGGCTGGCAGACAGATATGCTGGCGGGCAGGTTAGCTGTTCTCTTGCCAAGTGCATCCGAGGGCATCGCAGCCTGTGCCATTGAATTGGAGATGAGCGGCAAATGTGACAAGGGGATTTAGCTTTACTGTTCCACTCACGTCCTGAGATATAAAGGGGGACAGTGCGTGTCTGCATATGTGCGTGAAAAAGCTGTATTTGTGTGAAAGTGGCTGTGTTTGTGCATGTGCGGGAATTTAAGCTTGCATTAAGGTGCGTGCAATGTGTGAGTTTGTGGCAGCAGAGTGTGCAGGTATTGCTACATTGATATACAGCAGTGTGATGGGACAGTGTGCCTCATGCATAGTGTATGAAGTAGTTCCTGAATTTCAAACTGACCCCTCGAACCTCCCACAGTACACACAGTTCAATTTAGTGACCCAGGTCCAATTTTGGACTGTCTCCATCCACACTTGGATAATTTAGAGACAGCGAAAGCTTTTTTATGCGTAACACTCAGGGTGGAGAGGGCAGCCAAATTTCCCGGCCTGAGTTTTACACTGAATTTAAGACATATACTCAGATCCCGGTTTGTAAGGTATTCCAGAAAGCACTAATTTAGTTTAATTGAACAACCCTGCAGTAAATCCTACCTTCATGGAGGTAATAACACTCAGTTTTTATTGAAACTGTTTAAAGCGGTGCAGCTTCAACTTTATGATCATTTTGGAGGCTGTGGTTTGAGCTGCTGTTTATTGCATTGAGTGATACTGAGAGGTTTTTCGAATATTTCGTTCAGCTCATTAATGTCAGCTGAATGCTTCTCTCGGTAGGCAGAGGTTCACTTCGAGCGAGCATGGTTTATTCTGTTTGTTGACTCTATGGTTTTCAAATAGCTGAATGTAAGATTAATTTGCCAATGCTAAGTATGAAATAAAGTATTTACGTGTGTTTTTCACCTAAAACAAAAAACAGACTCAAACTAAGGAGAGCTAAGGCAAAGGCGTAAAATGATAACCAAGCAGAATTTTTTTAATTTAAAGTGCAAACTTTACAACAGTCGTGCCCAGCTCCCATCCTTCATAGCTGATTAGTGAAATGTATTGTCTGAAATATCACTTCTTCAAAAGTTGATACTGATGCCAGACCTGTGTCATTATTACATCGAGTATTTCAACATAGTTTTTCAAAATCACTCAACGGAGCAACAAAAAAGTGTTTATGAAAAATGTGAGCAGACATCATTTGATAAAAAAAATAAATGAATAAGCCAATTTATCGTAAAACTCTGTCAATGTGGATGCTGTTGTGGGATCTTGTAGTTGCTTTCAAGCATAGACTGTATATAGAATGGACGCCATCTGCCTCCTCGCTGGGTGAAGCCACCTCCAAAACAGCACCCTCTGGTGACAGGCTGCAGTATAGGTCATAAATCCCGCATCTGTCAACAAAGCTTATGGAGCTGTGGACAAACTTTAGAAATTTATTACACAGAATATTAATTTTTCTCCCCCCTGCTTCGGTGTTGACATGTAGTTACTGTAAGACTGGTTTGTGCTCAAGTCCTCTTTTTTTCTGTACAGCTCAATTTTTAAAAGTTATTAGGGGGTTCATGTTTTCTATGATTGACATTTGCTAGTGCCTATGGGTGTACGAATATTGCGTAGCTCACCCAGGGGATACGCTGTTTGAGCTGAGCGTTGGTTTCAGGAAGAGGAGAAAAAACGCGGAATTACCGAGAGCTTTTCGGCTTCAAATTCATATACTGGCGGAAGGCGGAACCAAGTTCTCCATAGTATATACAGTCTATGGGATTTGACAATTCCATGAAATAAAGTGAACCTCGGTGGTTGCCTCAAGAAATACTCATCAGCTGAAACAGTTTATCAATATCTTTATCGTTATGCTGCTGATATGTTGTGTCTCAAGTGTAGTGCAGCCACCCTCCACTTGCCTTGATAAATGGCTACAGCCACATTGCAACAATGGTCTACCATCAGTATGTAAATGAACACAGATGACAAGATCTCACAAGGCTGCACAGTTTAGCAAAATTTTGATCAAGAAAATGTAGATTGCGTTTTAAATGGGCTCTGTCTGGTTATAGTGGTTTGTTGGTAAAGTCATCCATTGCATATTAAAACAAAACTGGAGACACACATGGGTCAGGGGCCATGGATCACAGAAGTCACTGCCAATATTTTTTACATTACACTGATCCATGATTTGTCTGCCCATAGGATGGTATCAACATTACAATAAAGTTTAAGAAATCAAAATGTATTCTCACCCCAAACAGTTAAAAAACCAACAACTTTGGTTCATTATCACTGACTTGGTGAGATGGAAGAGTGTCTGTCGAGATTGTAGTTAAAGCACACAGAAACAGATTCACAGACAAGTGAGCACAGCATAAAGACACAACAACATGTTTTCTTCCACCTGCCAGTTTCTATCCAATTAGTGCTCAGGGTAAAGAGAAGATGGATTGTTGTGCTTATTGGCTAGGAATCAACTCTGAACGGCAGTAGCATAGAAGGAACACTATTCACATGCTAGATATATTCCCACTTCCCCACTCCTAATGATCGATGTACAGAAAGCACACCCTCTAAATACATACATGTGGATGAAATACAGGAAGTCTCCAACATACAAATATAAATCTACTTACATCCAGAAAGACACTTGCCTAGCTCACTTAGCTTTTCTCTGTAAAAAAAACTAAAATAATAGACAAGAGGAAAATCAATAACTGTCTTCTGTGCTCAGTGCTAACAGCACTCAGTTCTCTGCCTCTCTCTGGAGGAACAGAGACAGTTGCCAGGCAGGACTGTCAATCAGGCGCTCAGAGTGGCCAGGGCTGTGGTTGCTTTATAAACACACAGACTTTCACTGATTACACAGTCAGTAAGACAGCAGACAGTTAATCAGGCAGTCAGCCGAGGGAGCCTCTTAGTCAGTCAGCTGGTTAGTTACACAGACAGGGTCATCCAAGTGTTCATTCATCAAGCCTTTATGCTAGTTGGCCTGTCTTGTTTGTTTGGTAGTTATTTGGTTGCACTGATTGATTTACCACCGTCTGCTTATAAAAATCTAGAGCATGTTTATCCTGAAGACTCCAAAAACAGGCAAGTGGACTGTGTAAAGTTGAGAAATATGTCCATGTAGATTCTCATTCACCATGACCTGGATGAATGAGAATCTACATGGACAAATCTAGAGCATGACAACTCCTCAAAAGTGAAGCCAAAACTGTTAAAGCCTGTCCCTGGTGAGAGGCTGCAGTTCAGGTCATACACTCTATTTCCTTTACATTCACAGGTTGATATGGGTCACCAGTAAAATGCAGGCTGAATAAAGTTTACTCTGCTTTGCTCTAGTCCGTCAGAGCAGAGACATGCTCAATAACGTAATTATGAAGACCAACTAAACTAGGGCTGAAACGATTACTCGAGTAACTCGATTAATAAAATTCCTCGAGGCAAATTACATGCCTCGAGGAATCGTTTAAATCCGGAACCATGTGCAGCGCACGGTGTTTGACACGGACGGTTATTTCTGTTGCGCAGCAGCGTGCTCTTTCCGCTCCTTCCGCTGCCGCGCGTTTCATAGACATAATAAAAGGGTAGACCCCGCTGGGGGTGCTGCGCAGCGAGAAATGCGGCCGCCATCTTGGTCAGGTCAAGCTTCCCATACGCTCCGGTCAATCATATTCATTCATTCAGCGATGCCGGAGCACTGTGCGGCGTATTCCTGTGCCAACAGGCGGACAGCAGAGAACAGGGCTCAAGAAATAACTTTTCACAGTTATGATTAAACGTTTTTTAAACATTACACTTGACTGTAGAGTCATTTGTAGGCCAAAGAGGAAGACTATCGGTCAACTCCAAAAAGGAAACAGCATTTGCGAACAGCTAGCTTATTCACAATAATAGCAACTTTGGTCGATTATCAACAGATTTGCATTAGATTGAAAAACTTTTGTTTGAGAGAGGTTCTAAGAAACGTTAAGAAATAAAATAGAAAGAAAAAGGAAGAAAGTGAGCTCTGTTTTATTATCTGTTTTATTAAAGATTTCTTTGTGGTGATCTCCTGTTTCATTTTGAAGATTTCCTAAGGACAAAAACTTGAGGAAGAAGTGGGAGATTGCTGTTAGAGGGAGAAATTCGCAGCAAGTGATTCCTCTGTGCTGTGTAGCCAACAAGCAAATTGATATGTAGTTTAGATGCTGTCCTGTCATGCTGTTCTTGTGTTTAAATCTTTTTGATATGTAGGCTATATATTTGTGTGTATTTCTTTGTGTGTATTTTCCAGTTATTAAAATAGTGCTTCTATATGACATTATTTGTGTGTGTCTACAAATGGATAAATAAAATTAAACTATATAAAAAATTATAATCAAAGCAATATATATTGAATTGGCCTATTAATACCGCCAGTTATTAATAATTATTGAGACATAGCAGGAACCTAGCTCTAAACCTAAATATATCCTTGATTAATTGTTATACTATAATACAGCCACTGCTGCCATGTTCTAAAATATCATTTTATTCATTCTGAGTATTTGAAAACGCCAAAAAAAAATATGGCCTCTATCATGCCTCTTTGAATGGCGTTTGCAGAGAAGAAAATTACGTAGTATTGAGCGAACTATGATTCATTAATGCGCTCAGACTTCATTCCGCCGGTTAAACAGCGGTGCACAGTGAGGCGGATGACCGGACCAAGATGGCGGCCGCATTTCTCGACAGCGCCCATTCGTGGTAGCGGCCGATGCGGGGTCTATCTTTTATTATGTCTATGGCGCGTTTGGTTCAATCATGGGGGGAAACGTGGACAGACAGAGAGAGGAAGAAAGAGATGACACGCAGAGGAAACGGCAGAAAGTGTCTAAAGTGTGGGACCATTACACACTGAAAAGGAAAGAAAACGCCGTGCAGTGCGTTCACTGTAAGGCGGAGTTGGCGTTTCACAACAGCACGTCGTCAATGCTGCAGCACCTTAAAAGAAAACACCCGGTCCATGCATTAAGTCCGCTCTGAGGCAAACGTGATTCAATGCAAAGTATTACAGTGAGAGCAAAACATTTCTTATCCGATTACTCGATTAATCGACAGATTAATCGATAGAGTACTCGATTACTAAAATAATCGATAGCTGCAGCCCTAAACTAAACCCTGCACTGCACATCTGAAAATGTTCCCCTTTTTAATGTGTATTCTCGTGGGTCGCCCTGCTGAAATTTTGAACACGAGGCATTTTAAATTGAAAAACTTTGAGGTTGTTTTCACACCTGAAAGTCTGGATCAGCGGGAAGAAATTATACATTGTTACAATTAAGTTTTGGTCTGGTCTGTGTTCACACTGTAATTTGTCAAAACGTACCTTTTTTGTAATCAAATCACATGCGGTCTACAGGTCCTTCAGCTATTGGTCAAAAAATTTGCAAAGGAAAATCACCAGTCATTTTTTTCCGTCAACAATGGAACAGCAGCAGTGTATAGCATTGGCTTGGACAGTTATTATATAGATATGGTGCTGCAACCAGGACAGATGGCGATATGTGAGTCATGACCATAGACTGTATGACATGGTTCTGTCGACACGTTACTGAAGGAGAAGACGGGCCCTTATGGGTGCCTATGATATGTTTTCGGTGTATTTATTACACAGAGGACGAGTGAGGTGTGTTTTCAACATTACGTGAATCCTAGCCAGTAGACCTAGGGATGGGATGTATGAATCATAAACGTCTTTTTGTCGGTAGTTTACAATGTTTTGTGTGATAAATTATAACGCGTCAGCTTCCTCGTCCTCTCTGTCAGGCTGCTAGTGCTCACAGACCCTCCGTTTCCTATTCTCTTAGCTGGTAACACACGCATCCATTTTTAACCCATGATGCACTGCTGTTTTGGTTTGCTTCCTGCATTTGGTCCTATTAAAAGTCAGGTTGCGTTCTCACCAGAAGCGAATCAGACCATGGTTAACTGGACCAAACGAGGGTCGTGTGAAAGTGACCTAAGAAAAGTGTTCAAAGTCAAATTACTGAAAAGAGACTAAAAGACAGGAATTTTTTACAAATGTGGAGGTAGCCAGCATCCAATTATAAAAAAAAATGAAAACATTCATATAAACTTTCAGTTTTAGCCACTTTTTGATACTTAACTGGTCATTTCAGGTCCAATTTTTGCCATTTGGGAATGTTTATGTTTAAGGGTCAAAGGTGCAGCGTCCTTGTCTTGGCAAAATTTCATCAAGAACAAGCCATTCTTCTTCAAAATATTTGTATTACTTATCTGTATATAGACAACCAGAACCTTTGTCAGTTAGACCAAGCTGATAAAAATCACACATGATACAGAAAATTAAAGTTTCATTCACAGGATGACACCCCTGCATTAAACTCTTGTCCTAATTTAACCCTATACCTTGTTAGCACCCAAACAAGGACACAAACTGGTGCAAAGGCAGAAAAATTGATCACGTTACAGAGTGGAGTGTAGCATCGCTACAATGTTGAGTTTTTTTATAATTTTGTATAGATTCAGGAGAGAGGAAGAGAACGAGAGAGAGACTCAAAGGAGAAAATGGGAGGGAGGCACAAGAGAGAACAGCTCATCTTTATATGGCCCGTGCATTCACAGGGTGGTCGCCTTGGTGATGATGGATGTGATGGAGAGGTGGGATGGAAGGAGAGAGACATAAAGACACAGATAAATGTAAGCTGTATACAGAAGTATGTTTGTGTGGGCAATATATATATATACTTTATATACATAAGGGTATATGGTATTTATAACACAGGCGTGTGTCAGTATTTCTTTTCAAATAAGTTGTCAAAAGGACTATAATGGAACAAAATGAAAAAAAAAAAATCTGTGGTAGGAAATAAAAAAGACAATATTAGTGATTTATGGATTGAAAATGGCAGAATAAAATATTTACATGTCATTGAAGAGTTGGTACTATTTTACATCCTCATAAGCTATAACCAATGTAAGAGGTATTCACATACATTTAAAAAAAATTTTTTTTTTCTTTATATTTTACAATTAAAGCATTAGACTTTTTTGGTCTCTGTCCTCCTCCAAGAGGTCGACAGAGCTGCTTTCTCCCCTTTTCCTCACCTCCTTCAATAATATCCTCGTTTCTCCTCCTCCCCCCTACTGTCATAACTGCTCCTCTTCTCTTTATTCATCCTCTCTTCATTCCTCCCCTTTCCCACTCTCTCCTGCTGTATCTCTCTCTTACAGTTTTCTATTAACCCTTCTTCCCTGACAGGCACTCTGAAGCCTCTTTCTTTCTGACTTTTTTTCTCTCTTTCATCAGTTCCCATCCATTTTCTCCATTGACAGGCACCTTCTATTCCTCTTTCATCCCTGCAACAAGACTCATTCCTCATTTTTTTCCCTTTTCAGTGCCAAATGGCAGCATTCCTCCATTTCTCGTCTACCCATTTTTTCACCTGGATGAACTAAGCAGGTTTGTATGGTGATGTCTTGATATTTTTTTTTAATCTAAGATCTGGCCAGGAGATTGGAAAACAGCCAAGAGAGTCTGGCTGCAGACCTCCACAGTCAGGACCCTTCGTTGCAGACCTCTATTGTGAGTACCCACCTCCACTGAGTGGATCGGAAGTTGTTTTAAAGCATTTCAAAATAAAGGCATATAAACCGGGACAAGTTTTTTTTTTTTTTTTTTTTTTACATCCGAAGTTGATTTGAAGCTTTTCAAAATAAAAGCAAATATACTGGGATTTTTTTTTTTGTCTTACGTCAGAAGTTGAGTTGAAGCCTTTCAAATTAAAAGCTATTAGACTGGGAAGCATGTATTTTAGTTCTTGTGTGAATATATTTTATTTCTTGGGATTTTATTTTATGTACAGTATGTTGTCAATAATGTTAACATGATTTTTTTTTGTGTATTTATGTGTTTAACAGAGACAAAATAAGAAACGGGATGGCCACTTCAAACAAACTGGGGCATGTGAGGCAAATGTCACCTTGGGTCCTCTCAGTGGAGGTGGGTCCTGATACTGGAGGTCTGCAGCCAGACCCCTCTCAGAAACAGCAGATTGAAGTGGTCTGCCACTATTGTTACCAATAAGTTCTTTTCCTACACAGGAAAAAAAATGATTTTAGGATTTTATTAGGGCTGTGGGGTTGTCTAAAGGGGCTTCAGATTAAGCACTACTTTTTAAAATATACTTTTTCCTGAAAAAGACACTGGGACGTTAGTTGTAGTTGAAAGAGAATGAAGTGGTTAATGCCAACTTAAGTGTTTTGAAGTACAAAGATAAGTACTGGACAGATGCAGTAGATGAAAAGATACAAAAACATCAAGAACACAACAGAAAAAGGGAACAAAAGCACCTGAACATGACAGGATCTATTTGCAAACCTGAGCTCTCCAAATTCCTGCTTGACTTCTACAAACAGACACATGCTCACAAACCCCATTTGTAGCAACTAAGATCCTTGTGGAATAAGATCAAAATGAAAAGATGAGACTGAAGATGGACTCCAGCCTCTTTGCATTTCCTGCTTCAGACAGGACTGAAGTGTATCAAGGACTCATCGCTAATGTAAATGTGACAAAAGTTGTTCAAATGATGAGCTTTGGTTGGAAATGATAATGAGCAAAGTGCCTAATGCATTTCCTATTTATTAACTCTCCATGACCACAACTGTAACCTAACCTCTAAGTTTATTTGGCTGAAAGTAGAGCTGCACAATAAATCACACACTTACTGATATTGCAACATGTGTATTTGCAACAAAAACATGCTCTTAATTTTTCAATTTAATTTGTCTACATTTCATCTGTCAAGCCTTAACTCTCCAGAATGCATGTGTGGCGTGTTCTGTCAGCGCTGCACATTCTGGAATGATCAGACATGTACATACATCAGACTGTATAGATGAGAAAAACCCATTGTTTATTGATTAACTGTTTCTAAGGTCATATAAATGTTGACTCTAAATGTTGTGTTAAAGATTATGTGATCAATTTTGTTGATTTATAAATGATATAAGTATAAATAAAAACAGTCTCTCTGATTCCACCACTATTGATAGCGCAACCAGGGGTAGAAATTGTAATGCTCCTTGATTCATGAACAAGCCAAGAACAGTTAAGTTAAATCATTAGCATGCCAACATAATACTCATTTAACTGGATATTTTTCACTCTAATTAGATGAACGGGACATCTGCAGGGGCGTTTGTAGCCTCTTTATTTTTTTATTAGTCACATTAAATTAAACATTTCCTCCAACGCTTACATGAGAAAACATGAACAGGTCCCCCACAAGAATATATGAGCTGACTTTTATCCTTATTAAGCTCTCTTTCCTTCTGAGGCACAAAGTCACAACATTGAACAGTGTTGCTACCATCACTACGGCTCAATTCCTCCTTTTTGAAGCAACCAGTGACTGAGAAATGTTTTCACCAGCTCTCCTGACTTTACCTGGACTGTAAGAGAGGGTCAACTATTAATATATGTCATTTAGCCTACCAGTGTGGCATGCCAATGGAAACTAAATATAAAAATATTGTGGTAACACTTTATTTTTCACCTCTCTCTATAACACATTACAAATATATTTATAATGCGTTATAATCACATTATAGAAATATTGTGTTATAACTGTTAACAACACTTGCACTGGATTATCTATGTGGGGATTGTTAGTGAGTTGTTAACAGTTATAACACATAATACCTGACCTTGTAAGTCATGATAAAAATTCTTTATAATGTGTTATGATTATTGCTATAAAGCATTATGATCATCTATGAGTGTTTATAACTATAGTTATACGGTGCTATAACATGATTATAACACACACATATATATATATAATATCAGCCCATTTTAGCCTGTTTGAGGCTAATTGGCCAAAACTCGCAGATTTTCGCTGATATTTTCAGAAATAAAATGCGGAGAATAAGATTTGGTTTCACTTTGAAAAGTTCCCGACTTATCCTGGCGCAGCGACCTCATGACAATCTTTATCCACTAACTACCTCACAGCACAGCAGAGTGAGGGAACTAAAGCAGGCAGCTCAGGGACGCACGGAGGAGAATGGTCCGCCTCAACGGTAAATAAACTTGTTTATCAAATACACAATAAGTCAACAATGTATATATATATATATATATATATATATATATACACACACACACACAAACAAACAGGTAACCACTGGCTGGAATCACAGTACAAAATTGATCAACCAGAACACAATTCAAACTGAGTAAGTGTTTTGGTGTTTGTCACTGTGCTTAAACCAATGTTATAGTAGCCCACAATTCGGGCAACATTTTCTGTTTGTGTGTTTCCTGTTTTCAATTCTTCGTGGGGACCTCAGATTGGAATTACCAAACTTAAGGCCTCATACCAAAATGTTTAATGAAACATAATTTTAAACATCCTTCTGTCTGTTCTGCCAAATGTTGCTTTATTCAAAACACTTGAATGTTGCCGTAAACTTACTGTAATACAGGAAACATGTTTCTTATAATCTCTCCCCTTACCCCTGCAGTTTACCAACATCAACCAAGTGTAAAATAGTGATATTATTTTTAGGCAATAGTTGTATTTTAAAGGATTCTGATTACCCTTAAAAACAGCACCACACTGAAAGGTATATCACACTTCATTTCTTAGCTTTGCTCCAAGGCTTGTGTAATCAAGGCAGAACCAGAGTGGCACTTAGCCAAGCATGGCAGAGGCCTGCAAACACTCTCACACACTCACACGTCGGGGTCCACAAACACTGGGATCAGGAGACAGACAGGTTCAAGTGGGTTAAGTATGTGGGATACAGTGGCAAGTGTTGCCGAGATGCCGTCGCACCCCTGCTAATGGTATTGAATAGCACAGTACAAGCATTAGGATTCAGTAAATAGCTGGCACTGGAGCCTTGGAGTGCTGTGGAGGTAGGCCGGAGGCGAGTGGGAAAGGGGGGGGGGCACTTAGAGTAAGTGGTGATTGGAGAGACATTTGTTCTTGAATATGACTTTGAGGATGGCTGTGCTTTGTTTCACTGAGAAGAAGGTTGAAAGTGAGTTAATATAATGAGAAGTATATGGTGGGCTCACAAACTCCCCAGTGGACTTACACACTTGGAGAAACACAAAAAGACACACTGGATGCAACAACTTCCAATGACAATGACGTTACTGCAAGAAAAATATAAGAAACTGTCAAGGGCCCTCCAAAAAGAGACAAAACCCTCAAGGTGGCATGAGGCCTTTGAGGACTGACATTTACCCTGCATCCTTTATGCACAAATACACAAAGAAAAACACACATATAAGGTCCCATATGCATGACAATGGCCAAACTAAGGACACAGACAGGAGAGGGAGACGGGAGTGATAACAGAGACAAGGTCCAAGGCTATATCCTGCAGCCACTGTCTATCATAGATGGCATAGAGTAGTATGTGTGGAAAAAAAATGCGTGTGTGTGTGTTTGCACGAATCATGAAACATAAAAGAACTTTTGAGTGATATATAAGGAAAGCTGTGCCACTGTAGATAGTGGGTTGAGTGCACTTCAAGGAGGGGGTGAAAAAAAGTGAGATAGATGTGGCAGTGATGTTCAGAACAAGAGGCTGGCAGAGTGGAGACAGATAAGCTGCTGGTTTCATTGGCAGATTGATTGACAGACAGACAGGCTGACAAAAACGAAGATATGTTCAGTAGAGCATACAAAAACAAACTTATGGAAAGTCATATGTCAGTGGTAGCCTGGTGGAAGTTGAAGGGTTGATCCTAGCTAAGACGGCGTGCTTCTCCTGCTATGTTGTCTTCACATAAATTCACTGTTCACGTTAGTAACAAGAGAATCTTTTAAAAATACCAGGAGACTATGCGGAACAGAGTTTCAAGGCAGACAGATGGTATTTGATACACGTCAAGCGAGACAAAAGAGAAAAAGATAACTGTATTTATGAAAAGCATGCAGCATAAGGTATCAGCTTCAGACAAAGATTAATTTTGGGGGGAAACACTGCATTCTCCCTTTAATCACAGAGAAGAATGCCTCTGCTTTGGAAAATCCTTGCGAGCACATAAAGATAACAAAAGAACAGAGCTTTTAAGCTGTCGGGAGGTTTTCACCATGAAGGCAAGAAGCTTTGCTTTCTATTGAGCAGCCATGTTATTGTCGCAAAAAGCTGAGAAATTACTGCATCCAGACGTTGTATGTCTCTTTTTTACTCACTTGCTGTCTTATCTGCACATGAACAGCCAGTTTATTTTTCTTGTTAGCTTTATAGATATATATAAAAAACTGTCTTTTCTGGATGCATCTTTAAACTATCTTAGTTTAAACTGCTGTCCTTCAGTGCAGCAGAGAAGTGGTGTTTTCAAAATGACTACATGCATCTGTTTCAGCCCAGTGTCGGTGCAATGACCCTAGAAAAGTTTTGTTCCTGAACAAAATATCTAATATATAAATAACAGCAAGTATTTTGGTTGGTTGTAAAAATGTTTCCTTTCCGTATACCAAAGTTTTCCAAATTGCTCATGAGCTCATGTCAGGTTGATTCAAATGATCTACATTACAGACAAACCTTATTTTCCCATTTTGCAACAAGCACACAGACTTCTCTTGCAGGGGGAAGGTAAAACCTCCAATCATTAACAGCCCCATTGCTAACATATTGTTTCCCCCAGGTGTCCTGTGAATATTATATTTCATAATATAATATGATGTAGTGCTCTCTTTTGTGACTAAATCTTCCGTGCATATTGCTCCCTGTTGACCCTTAACCACTTGCAGCAATGCTGAAACTTTTTCCTCGTAAAACTTTTGGTCCGAGTGCTCGGCTCTGCCAAGTTGCTGGCTCTGTCAGATCCATTTATAGACAGGAACACTGGACAGCTGCCTGCATGTCCACAGGGGTCTTGGGACTGCCCACTCATTTCTTTTCATTAAGGCTGACTGATCGGAAGCCTCCGGTGGCAGCTCTGCTCGTCTCTGCTCTCTTTTTGACCCAGTCTCAGTCACCCACCGTGGTACCACTCCAAAGTCTTGTTTGAGAACCCGTGTTTTCACCCAACATTGCTAAATACAGCATTTAAAAAAAAAAGATGCAAGATCTATAAAGCTAATACTTTTGTGGACAGCATTATCAAAAAACCATCTCCCTTGGTGCATGATACAATATGCTAAGTTGTTTCAGAAATAGCTGATAAGCCATGAGTTCTTGAGCTAAAGATTGACGTTATCTGCTTCCCCTCAGACAGATATTCCTGCCCAAGTTTTACTGTTGGCTACAGACAGAGTTGGGTTTCTCTTTCCTGCTTTTACCCAAATGTAAGCAAACTGACCCAAAAGTATGCCAAATTTACAATTAGGCCTTTTACCCTGATTGACTGGCCCAATACCTGGTGGTTGAGAAATTAAGACAGGGGTGGTGCATAAAAAAACCCAAGAGCAGAGAAGACACATGGTGGCAGGTGTTTTAGAATGAAAACTGGAGCACGAGGATTTGTGCAAACATTAAGTGCAAGTATCCATCTTAGGGCAGAAGCAGAGCAAAACTTAGAACTAACTTTAGGGGAAAAGCCACGAAATGAAGAAGTCATGCCGTCAAAATCGGAAAAACAAAAAACCCTCCTGGAAAATACCTACAAAGATTAATGGTGACGTACAGTGCACTTTCAGAGGGCATCTGAGATAAGACTCTGAAAGTGTCAGCCACACTGACTATAAAAATGTGTTTATGATGCCTGTATGCTCATTTGTGATATGATAAATGAATAAGAGAAGACTAAATGTCATTCTTGACACCTATTGTGGCACCGAGGGCTGTAAACTACCACAGTTTCTCAAACTGTCACACTGTGACTGCTGCTGCTGTAACCAGTTACCATGTCGATAAGTAAGCAGAAGTACCGCGACTCTCTGCCCATTGTTTTCAGACTGTCAGCATGCATCTGTGCCTTTCACCTCTCACAGTATCTTTCACTCATATCTCTCCCCCTGCAACCCCACTTTCAGCTCTCCCTTGCTTCACGAATTGAAAGAGTGTGGACTGAATCGACACTCTTTTGTCTCCATCTCATATTCTTCTGTGGCTTCCCTGCTACTTCCTCTGCCCCATCTGCCTACTCATATTGCACCATATGTGACCCTGTCTGATCTGTGCCTCTGGTGCAAAGATGCTCTTTAAGTATGATATATAACTTTTGTATAATATGGATGCAAATAATGATTGCAGCTACAGCTATAAGTGACGCAAGGTCGAACCAACTGAAAAGTAGTTTCACCTCTAACCTTGTGTTCACACCAAACGCGAGTTAAGTCATTCGCATGAGTAAATTACATGAAGTCAATCCAAATTGCGATTGGACGCTCGTTCTACTCAGGTGTCACAAATGATGCGAATTGCGCAGCATGAATCTACTCGAGGCTGACCACATTATGAGGATCTGTTGAGAATAAACAACAAATAACAATTCGAGCAAATAGTCAGCTCAACTTGCGTAATTCGTGCCACGCATTTTGCTTCATTTGCATCACCTGAGTGGAGTGAGCGTCTAATCGCGTCTTTGCATTGACTTCACGTGTAATTCACTCGTGCCAATGATTTTACTTGTGCTTGGTGTGAACAGAAGGTAAGACTTCAACCAATACGGAAGTTAAAGAGGAGGTTTCATGCTGCCTTTTACACCAGACTTTTGCATCGTTACAATGATGGTCATTTATGCTTAATGTAACCACAGTGTCAAAAGATTTAATGTCCAGTAATCCTTGATCTTGATAGTTTGAGACTCTCTTTTTTACATTTGTTTGATTTGTTTTCTTGGAACAGAAATGAGAAAGTAGAGGGCGTGTGACACGATCATTGACAGAAGTGTAAAAAAAATGGCTGCAGCCAGAGTTAAGGATAAACGGCGAGTAAAAACATTAAGAACTCAGGAGTCACAGAACTTCCTGTAACTGAGAGTATTTGCCTCAAATCAACACAAAAATCTATTTTCCTTTAGACTGTACCACCGTGAGAGAAACTTGATGTTTAATTGGGATATGAAATGTGAGAGGCTCCAAAATATGTCATGAGCGCAACATCTCAGAGCTTGTTATGACAGTATGTTGGCCACATTTTTACTATATGGGAGAGGATGAAGGTATGACTATTAAAGTTGAAGTGAGCAAATGACAGCCACCTCACCAATCTGGCTAAGAAATACTCGCACCTTTTTGCCTGTTTGAAACTTGATCAGGCCCCTCCGAGAGCCTCTGAAGGAATTTGTGTGTTCAACAAAGACAGCAGTGGATCTGATAGCAGGCTGTGTGTGCAAATAAACATGGTGAGGATAGAAGCTGACATGTTAGCCAAACCTAACCAAAAGCTTTGAATGTTTCCTGAACAGCAGTGCAGATCAGAGCTAATGCACTGGATGATGTGAAGAAAGTGTGAAGTGAAGGGCGGTGGAAAGTACTTCAGGATAGGAAAAAGGGACACATGGAGGATAGAAGCTAAAGGAGAATGGAAGCTGGAGGAAAAGAGATGAATCAACAGTGACGGCAGAGGAAAAGATCAAAGGATGAGAAGATATAATGCAAAGTGAACATTTAAGAGTGGGCTAAATGGGTGAAATATGGAATATAGGATAGATTATTGAGTGTTAGTAGTTTAATAGGACATTTAAAAATGTGGTCCTTTACATTTACACATATAAATCCTAAATCTCAGAACATTTATAGGGGTTTTCAAGTTTAAGCTTGTGATATAGCACTCCTCAGAAGTCTAGAAGGTCAACCTGGAAATCCAAATGCCTTCAAAAGAGCAGCACAGGTTTCTGGTGAAAAGCAGGATTTTTATCTCTGTGGGATTATCCCAGTAAAGAAAGGTTAGACTTAGAAGATGTCACTGATAAAATGTTTCAAATCAAGTCTGTTTCTCTTGCAAAGTCTGAAAGAAACTCTTAAGAGTTATATTAAATTCAGGAAGAGAGAAGACGGGATGAGTCAGGAGTGGTGCAGCAAAAACATTGGCTAAATCCACCTTTTTCTCTAATAGGAGTGAATTTTTGAAATTCTCTTCAGAGGACATTTTGAGGTTTGGTCTGTTCTGGTCCTCAGCACATTATGTTCACTCACTCAGGGAGGGGTGTAGCTGCTGATTCCTCCTTTTTGTTCGTCTGCCCCTTTGCTCTCTTTCTGGCTGCTCCGTTTTCTCTTTCGTTTTTAAATCTCATTTACTGTTACCTTTTCAATGATATGCCTGATTGAACCTGAATCGAGCACTCGCTAGCTTTCCTTTTCTCCACACTTTAACACTCACAATCTGAATATATACAACCCCTGCTTACAAATCAACTAACAAACCAACTCACGTACAAACATATATACACTGTTTCCTCCCCAAAGAGTCCCATCCCACTGGCAAATGGATCTTTTGAACCAGTTCAAAAAGACTGATTGCTTTTATTGTGAGCCGTTGCTTTGCTGTTATCGACTGTTTAAACTGCCAAATTCACCAATTGTTGATTCGTGCCTTTTATCTGCTTTGGAGCCATATCAGTGCGTTGTGTCACGATAATAATGTGCAAATTGCCCCATTCATTATTGTTTTTTGATGGAGAAATTGGGTAAAATAAGCACTTTGTAGATAAGCGTAGGGTCTGAACACTATTTGCAAAAGCATCAGCAGAACGCAGAATGCATTTCAAAGAGATGAATGCCAAAACTGATTTTAATACACTAATAACAGTGTAATCTTCCTATCAGAAAGTTCCAAAACACAGAGCACGCCTGGTGACTTTTAAATCCACTGGATATGCGTGTCTCATTGATTAAGCTTTGTGTTTGAAGTGTCAAAGAAACCAACTCGCAGATTACAATTGATTTTGTGCGAGGATTGAAAGGATTATTTGTCTCTTCACCTTTTTGTTCCGCTGTCAGTGTCACTGTCAAGTTTCCCGTGGTTCTCACTAATTAGCTGATATCCTACTGTCTGCTTTAAAAAACTGGAAACAAATTTAAAAAATATCTTTAGAGGAAAGGGAACGACTCCAAATACTCTGGCCAAGTGTGGTTCTCAAAGGGAGGGAGCAAAAAAGAAGCTTAATGCCAGAAGAGGTATGACAGCGTAAATTTACAGATCTGAGTCCTTTGGTTTGCCACACAAACTTTTTAACACACACAAGCTTATACACCCACACAAGCAAAACCTTCAATTTTTCTTCACTCTCTCACCCTCCCTAATCTACAAAGAGTTTGCAGACCTTGCCTACCTTCTTGGCTTGCTGGACGCAGATCATGTACTGTTTGGCGAGGCTGGAGCAGAGCAGGGTCTGCTGAGGGTTTTCTCTGTAGCACTGCAGCACCTTGGCCTGCAGCTCAGTGCACACAGACACTGTCTGCCGAGGTCTGCACGGAGAGAAGAGAGGAGGGTCAGCATGATTAAGACACATCGCACTGCCAACTGAGAATATCTTCAGTTTCTCTCTGCGCTCAACTCTCTTGGCAACAATTAACAGTTCATTAGAGCACCGTGCCTGACAGAGCATCTTGAGGATAAAAGCCTGAAACAAAGCTTTTCCTCTCGAATAAGCTATCAGTACAGCAAATACTGTTGGTTGATAAGCACTGTCCAAACAAACTAAGCTTACCTGTAATCTGTTTCGTCTAAATACCAGTTTACCTTCCAAAGTGAGTTTAAATTAAAGATTAAAGCTCCTATGAGAAGTTTTAGGGCATTTATGAAATTCATATTGATGTAGTTTTAAGATTTAACAAAGCAAACAAGATCATCAGTGAAAAGAGTGATAATTTTTCAGCATAGATGTTCTATGCCTGAAACTAGCACAAGGGGGGTAGGTGTCAGCCAAGCAGCAGGTGAAAAAGCGGTTTTTACATTTTATTCATGAAAAATGAATGATTTGGATAAAATAATAATAATAATAAAAAAAAAAATAATAATAAATAATAAAATGAATAAAATAATATAATACAATAATAATACATAAAAATAACAATGAAATAATAAGTAATAAAAATAATACTAAAATAAAAATAAATAATGATAATAATAAAAAATAACGATGACAATAACGATGACACACTTCACTGTCATTTGTTGTAATTAAAATTTTTCTGTCCAAAGACACTACTTGGCAAAATCGACACAAACCAAGACTTCCTCACAGGAGCTTTAGGTATAAACGTACAGTTCTCATTGATACTGATAAAAAAAAAAGACACCTTCAGATATACTGTACAACTTATAGTCAAAAAAACAAACCATAACTTGACTTTTTATAAACACAGGTTAACTTAAACCTTAAAACTAATGAGGAGAGCTGCTGAGGAGCTGAAGTGGAAAGAGATGTAGTTCTGTGTTTAACACTTGAAACGACAATAACCACAGACACATTGGCTGAGAGTCAGGGTAACTCATTAGAGCAAAACACCAGTTTGACCATCACCATCTGAGTGACTGCAAAGTCTTTGTAGACTGGAAGAGGATATTTTTTTATCAAGTATTTTATTATTTACAATTTTGGCTTTAAACTATTTGCTGGCATGTTTTGTGTAGGTAAAAAGCACTGTCTTTGTTGCACACATAACAAGAGGCCACACATAGCTGCAGCATTTACAATAGCAGTCAATCTTGTCATTAAAGAAGACAGTGGCAGTTTTAAAAGGGATAAAAAGATTACACGAAATATGATAGATAGTACTTGACTGAAAGTTTTTTTACATTTAGACGACTTGGCTTGTCAGAATTTGAACTTCCATTAAATCAACTTGGTAACATTCCTTGTTTGTATGAAAAAAATGAAACAAAGGTATCAAGCATCATTGCGTCCTTGAATGTGTGTTAACCAAGACCACCATTAAAGCAGCACAAACAGCTTCTAGTGCCTTTAGACGGAACGAGATTTGATTGAACACAAGAGAAACATTTTTGAACTTCAGACTGTTGATGGTTTGTTTTTTGTTGCAAATAGAGAAGCAAAGAGGGTTTCAAAGGCTTCTAGGTGGAGTCTGTACAGGATGATGAGTTATGCACCGACAAAGAAGCTTAAGAGCCAAAGTCAAACTTTCTCTTTTCTCTTTATCTTCCTCCCACATACAGTACATGTGTGTAGACAAAAGCACACAATCATATCCACACCCACAAACACGTACACATATGCACACAGACAAGCACACATACACAGGTCGCAAATGCTAAGCCTACATGAGGGTAATCCTTGAGTGCTCTGTTGCTTGTAGTAATTTACCTGCTGTTGTGACAGAACTCGTAACTAGGAGGATTGGGATATGGATATATGCATGCACATGCACGTACACACAGCTTATTATTCAAAGCACTGCTGTCGGTGCAAGCTCGTATGCACACTCAGCTCGCAAAGCAGAAGAAAAACAGAAGCAAAGTAGAATGGAAAAAGGAATAAAAAGGCGAAGTCCATCATTTTCCATCATTACAGGTGGACAATGGCTGGTGAGGAAAGAGAAATGGAAGTGGAAATAGTGGATAAAATTAGTGAAAGCTCTGACAGAACTCCTGTTCAACTTCAAACTAACTTCACTGTGGTGCAAAATAGCGTAACAACAGGGGTTAGTGGTGGATATATGCACAAAGGAAACCTGCAGAAAAGCTGTGAAGACTGTTCTGTCTTTCTTTACTGACTTTACAGAAAAAGACACCGTGCTTCAACTTTTATCCTCCTGTCCTCACAGTCTGCATTGGGTTGCAAGAATCAGCCCATATCAGATAAATTCAGCTAAACAGAGTGGTGTGTGCTCACAAAACTAATGTGCTGAAAGTGCAGCAAGTGCAAAGACGAGCAAGCATTCACCTGATAAATGACATGCATATGTCCCATGTTCAACATTGTCAAAGCTCCAAGGACAAAATACAGGTGTGACAATATGTGTGTGGTGAAAAAAACAGAATGTGATTCATTATTGAGATACACTGTTATTTATTCATTCTTGGCTGAAGAGCAGAAAAGTCATATTTTCATAATGGATCTATTTTTAAATTTCATCAGTCTTATGCTTTATCAGTTTTTAAATAAGCTGCATATTTCTCAGCTACCAAACTGATCTTTTAAATTGATGTACATTATATGTGTGATTTGCAGCACAATTGAAGCAAGATCAAAAAATGTATTAGACTCTGTACTATTATTTTCTTCAGAAAAATGTCTCAGGTAAGTTCAACGAAAGGAGAATAGATTATAAAAGGAACAAGACACAGGAGAGCAGAGCAGTAAAATTGACATGATCCCACCGACATTACACTTTTTCTTCCCTCCTCAGTAGTAATTTTTTATCTGCTGTTACGAAAGTTATCATGTAGCCACAACTCAGATAGAATAAATGAAGTAATCCTCAGGAAAGAGCAGGTACCTGTCTATTCCCTCTGTGTGAAATCAGTCTCTTTTTAGATATTATCAAAGCTTTGAATGCCAAATCTCATGATGATCTGTCCCATTCAATTTTTAATCTGTTAACGATCATGTTCTGTAAATCAATCAAAAGAAACACATGGCTTCATTTGACATGATAGGACATGCCTTTTTATTTTGAGAAGCTGACCACCTGACATTCACACACGTAGTCATGCATGTGCTTAAACACACATATACACACACACACACAGTAAGAAATGCTTTCACGCCATCCCTTAAAGCAATTACAGAATCAAACATCCTTCACATATGAATGAACTCAGTAGACTCTGCCTCCACTGGCAAATACACACAGTGAGTTTGTGTGTGAACCCTGCTTTGAATAGTGGTGTATGTGTGTGTGTGTGTGTGTGTAGAAGTGCAGCGGAGGGAAGAGCAACCAGGATTAAATAAATCACTGGTGGAGAGAATATTCATGAAGAGGGAAGTAAATGCAACCTGGGAATGAGAAAGGAAGACAGAAAATGTCACTGACGTACTGAATGACAAATAGCCCTTTCCTGGACAAACAGTTACCTATGGTAACCAACATAATCTCATTTATACTTTTACCATATAGTGTGGGGTCAAGCTGCTGCAGGAAATACGAGTGTCCTGTGCATACTGTTAAAACTATAGTTACTAATTTGGGGCAACAACCAGGAGCCACAAGGTTATAATTTACACTTTAGTAATAAAAGTGTCAGCTTCAGTTTATAGATAAATATGTAATAAAACAGGATAAGGGATGTAGCATTGAATGCCCTCTTTCAAATTCAAAGGTACATTTCTCACAGGAACGGTGTTCACGTTGGAGTGAGGCAAAAGGATTTGCTAAAGTCAGCTCTACAGAGAATTTGTTTTGTTGCACAGAAAAAGAAAACGGTGTTGTTGAATTGGTCAGTTGAAAGTAGTTGCCAGCAGTCTAAATCTGAGATTAAAATAATTATAGGACTGGTTGATGTTTGATTCTCCACTCTGCATTCTGATTCACTCCCTAAAAGCAGAAGATAACAATAACAATAGCCCCAAGGTATTAACCCAAGCTCAAATTAAAAAAGAAAAAAAAAAAAAACTTTTTTTCAATCCAACAAGAGAAACTTCCTGATAGCAGGAGTGTTTTAATAATGGAATCTGAAGCAGAAAATTGCCTCCGCTAATCTGCACCAACTGCTTCGTTCGACTGAAATTAGAGGTGAGCTCTTATTAGAAAAACATTAGCCGCCCCAGCTAGCTTGATTGCTAACTTTCGCAGGGAAAAGAAGCAAAACAATACTCCAGCAGTTTTCTGCCTGTGATGCTTTGCATAAAAACGTGCAGAGTTGGTGGGGAGAGATTAGGCTGAAATCGTTAAAGTTTCTCATTATTTTTTGTCTCACCTTGGCAGTGAGTGGTTTTTATGAAGAGAGCTCAAGTTGTGCGCTGCTGCAAACCGTGACATTGGGGAATAAAGCAATAAGAAGAAAAAGGGAAAGATCGTAAAGGCGTAGCATTTTATTATTCTCTCTGTGTTAGAGTCAGTGTTGTTTGTGTTGCTGTGTGTGGAGTGTGTTGGTGTGTGTGTGTGTTTGAGAGAGCAGTTATTAATGTATGATGAAAAGGATTTGGGCTCTTTTAAAGCAGCAGCCATGGCACTGTACTTTTGGTTTTTAATATTACGCTGAGTGGCGGCAGAGAGAAGAGAGGATCAAAGATGTCATGGCTGGTGTGAGATCAAAAGGAATGACAGAGCATGCATCTTGCTTTGTTGGAGGCTTTGTAAAGCTTTTATGATACTGCCATAAGGAGAACTGTCACGACATTATATTTCAACTGGCAGAATTCTTACTTTTAGAATTACAAAAATCTGAACTATGGTTTGAGTTCAGGTCTGTTTGAGGAGTTCTGTGATCATCCTGGCAGTAATAAGCTCTTATTCTACCTTAGCTAAGTATGACTTATACTGAAATCCTAAACTCACAGATTGCGTTATGCCAACACCCCCAAACTTTGCGAAATTTAATCACAACTTCTCCAAAACTCTCACAAAGTCTTAGTCTCAAATGGCAATCACCATCAAAAACATCTACAAGCCTCAGACTGCAGACAGACAGAACTCAGGCCGTATCTCCACGCGCTGACAGCTGAAGTGCTGAATGGAGATAGCAGTGCGGGAGAACAATTCGCACTCTGTTAGCCCAGCTGATTGATCCCCACCAAACTCACTTTGTGGGAATATAAGAGAGAGAGATGGGAGGGGGATAAGGAGAATGTTTCATTAAAACAGGTGACATGCGGGAACAAGATAAGGGGCGAATGTGCACGAGTGTTCGCGTGTGACATCTCATCGCTGATAACTTTTCAATCAGGGGACCTCGCGGATGGAAGACTCAGTCCAGTCATGGGTGATGTGGGGTGAGACATGCTCTTTGGAGCGTGTAGCTGCTATCACCTTCCATCACTTGGCTTTTTTCCCCACTATCAACAATTTCAGTTCCAGTTTTGTTTCACGTGCCTCTTTCTTAATAACTTACCTTGACTACATTGGTTTAAAGTTGTGTAGCTTTTAAATCTATACTGCATAAAAGCAATACAGTATGTGGGCACATAATCTCTTATCCTTGCTTTCCTATCAGAAACTGTATTATATAGTATCTGCTACATGTTCAAACACTTTGCAAAGTAAATCTTATGTATTCAACTGTGTCTTAAATTGTTGCTTCTTTTGTGCGATTCTGCCCTCTTCATTTGTGCCAATATAACAAAAACCTGAATTTAGATAGAGCCTTTCAAGAGATCTAGAGAGATATTAGTTATGATGGTCGCCAAATAGCAAAGTCTTTAGTCCATAAGACTTTTAAACCGTTCTTTGAAAATGTCCAGAGATGTGGTACAGTATTACACAGCAACGGTGGCGGGCGGGATAATGACACACTACATAAAATTGTATGTTGTGTCTAATTTGATGAAAACTAGGAGTGTCACACAACAACAATAGATGAAACAACAAAACTGAGTCATGGAAAAGTCCTTCTTGACTTTGCAGACTTGGACTGATTTGAATACAGAATCACTAGTAAAAACAGGTACCCTTCCAAGTACCCTTCCTGGAAGGGATAGGAATCTCAAAAGAGCCTTGAGAAGCAATATGTAACTGTGGACCACAAACTCCAGGGGTTCAACTTGTCTTGACTGAAATTGTCAAAAGGTATTTGTACCCTGTGATGCAAGTCAAACATGTGGTGCACATCCCAAATGAAAAATTAAACAGTAAAAGTTCCAACTCCCTGGTAGGCAAAAGTAATTGAAGTCTAAAACTAGAATCTCTGTGTTTAGTGAGAGAGTGACAGCTCTCTGAAATGAAAAGTCCACGATTTATACCCATCTGATCATTTGTAGAGACGACCACTGTTCAGTTCGTCTGTTTCATTACCTTTTTATTTCACATAACTGGACAGACTTGGTGGGATAAAAAATGCTGGGCCGACTTCCTTTTTTATTTTTCATTTGACAAGCTAATAACCGCCTGGGTGGCATATTTGGAAACTTTGGAGTGCTTACTCCACAGATGCTGTGTTATTACCAGTTTTCTGAAGCAGCCAGAATTGACAATGAACCCTCCCTGTACAGTAAAATCCAATTCTTTCTCTCATCTTCTGTTTTACTTGGGTTTTGGATTTTTCTAATTCCTAAGGAGCAATGATATTTCCTCTCAGCTGATCCCTGCCTCTCACACACATTGGGAAGGGGCTGACACAGACAGATTGGCATATTTCTCATGCTTTGACCGATTTGGAGCAGAGGCAAGTGCTTCAAAAATGTAGAGGGTAAAGCCAGTTGCAACTTGTTGACGAAGCACCTCTTTTTTCAACCAGCAAAGATAAAAAAGTAGCTTGCTGTAACTAAGTGACTAGTCAGCTGTTTGGTTGATAGCCAGCATGTCAGAAAAGCCCTGTATGAAGGCAGTTTTTTAACAATGTATGCCAATAGCAGCAACATTTTTCCATTAACTCAATAGTTTCGTCTGTGCTGCAAATCAAGGACTGGTACCAAACAAATCTGTTCCTCAGAACTCATCTCTATTTATGCTTTTTTGTTTTTATTCGAGGCATCTGCTGCATCAAATGTTTCTGCTATCTATTGGCTTCATTTTGCACTGCAGAACATGTGATGTCTTTTAAGAGCAGTATTTGCTCCTATATAAACTCTTTCACATGTGCAGGTGTCTGGAAGGTATGAAAGAGGATTAGGGCCACAAGAGGAGAACAAAATAATTACAGGAGGGACATTTTTTGATTTCCATTTCAAGATTGAAGTCAAAGTTTTGAGACCAGAGTTGAAGTATAAAAAAGTCGAAATGAAATACCGTGAGGCTTAAATTTGTCTTAGCCATCCATGTGCCAGAGTGCACTGGGTCCTCGGCTTTGGTAATGCCTGCACCTCAGACGTCGGGCTCGTCTGTGCCCCACGCCTTCAGGATCTATCAACTTGATCAGTTGTCTTATTCTATCTTGTGATACAACACAGTCACGCTGTATAGCACGCAGGTGTAACCATGGATGACCCTGCACCTGCATCATAATCTTTGGCACAGTCTTTTCAGAGTCCGAATACCTATGACCACACTGTGTTTGTGTGCTAAAAGAGCAAGGATTTCCTTATTACTGAATCCAATTCTACAGTACAGCTTTACAAACTGTTCCACAGAGGACATGTTGTCGAGAGACGAGCGACAATGCTGCTGTTTCATTAATCTCAACATTATGACTTCATTTGCGAAATATTGTCTATATGTGCGTCAATATTAATCTTGACTTTAATCTCGAAATTTCAACCAGTTAGAAATGGACCGGATCTGACTTAGTTCAGTCTTGATTACCTAGGGCAAAGAAAAACTGTGAAGACTGAACTTTATGTCAGAAAGATATATTCTAAATGTATAAAAAATGTACAGGATGGAAGGTTTTTCTTTTTACCTACTCGCAGTATCAACACAGACAAACATCTGACCTGTCTGTGATTGTTATCTTGTGTAAGAGGGATAGTGAGTGGGTGTATCTTTATACACTCTATAGAGGCAATCAAAGAGAGGAACACAGATGCTCTACCAGAGACAGCAAGTGTAAGTAAGTACAGCCTTAAGCCTTAATGGTGAGCCTTTGTTGGACTGGAGGTGTTGTGTCAAATAATGGCTCCTGTAGGAGATCCTAACCTGTCTGTTTCACTAATTGGACATGTTACCCACACACGGAACAAAGTAGAAATAACAAATCCACATGAACGTAAGCTTTAAACAACAAACTGTCAGCTGTTATTTCATGGTAAAGCCTCACTGACATCCACCTGAGGCTCACTTAGGTTCTGTCTTTGCAAACTCTTGGAGGGTAACAAGGTTTTTTAAGAGGCTTAATGGATTTTTTGATCTTAAAGTAAGCTCTGCTGCAATGTTGTGGGTCTCCGAGGTGAGTTATTTTGAGAAAATATGGGTCTGGTACCCCAAGGCAAGGCTAATGGATGAACTAAGTTGGGAAAAGCAAGTAGAAAACAGCACTAAATAACATTTTACCCTTAACTCTTCTGCCACTTGAGGATATTTCAGTGTGTGAAACCACCAAAAGCTGGCTGTGGACTCACAGCCAAGAATCAGCTGCCAAAGTGAAGACTCTCAATATACAACCAGAACTAAATAGGGCTAACTAGATAACCAAACAGCATCTTTAAAGATTTAACCCCTGAAACATTTTTTAAGAGTGCTTGTGTTTTTTTTTAAGCTAAGAAAGCTACTGGCTTGAACCATTCTATACAGACAACCATAGTGAAACATCTTCCATTAGTACTGAAGATCTAAATCAACTTCTTTATCAAAGAATGATGTGCTCTGGTTTATTACGAACAACCATGTCGGTAGGAAATTCATTTCTTACCTCATTAAATAATGGATCCATCATCAGAACTATTGCAGGGGCTCCAAGTCCTTACATGTTTTTTACTTGGTTAAGGAACTGTGCCAATAACTGTGACACAGTGAACTATTGTGTCAATCTGTCTTTCTATCAGTATCTCAATCCAAATACCATTCGGCTAATGGCTGACAGCCCTACAAGGCTCAAAACAAGGAGACCACAGCATATAAAAGATGCTGCACTAAGAAAACAGCAGCCCCCAGCCTAAAATAAAACAAAAAACTCCATCAATCTAAAACCCAATATGGAAAAACCAAACCTGAGGGAAACGGAAAGCAAGGAGAGAAAACAAACCTTAAACCTCACTGAGTGCTGCTCAGTGTGGATACAACAACGATAAATGCCACTAGTAGCATTGGCCAACTTCTCAGTATGTCCGTTGTAGCCAGTAGTTGCTAAAACTGGCTTTTCTGTGCACTGGGTTAACAATACAATATAATAAGCAACTCCAGAGGCAACCGCCCCCTCAGATATGTCTGTATAAGAAAGGCTGTCATTTACTGCTTCCATACATCTTCTGTAGTTATTCTTCTGTTTCTGGTGGGTCACAGTTTCACTGTAAATAGCAAGCCAAATAGAGGCTTTACTCTGGTTTACTTCAGATGAATGAACCCAAGAAATTGATTTTTGATTTTTTTTTATAACTGACTTCAAATTGTGATTCTTCAGTTTGCAGAGATCAAAAATCAAGATGTAGTTTTGAAGAAAGCAGAAAAGGATACAAACACAAGTGAAAGCTCTGTTTTCTTTTTTCCTTCTCTCCTTGAAATATTGAAACAATCAATAGATATTTACTTACTCATCTGGTTTAAAATCTCTAAATGTCCTCTTTATTCTCAAAATATCAAAAACACAAAATTTCAAGCTTTGGCAGAGACATAACAAGAGATGGAGGGGGTTGAAAAGTTAAAATTAAACGTTCACGGACAGAGCTGCAGACAGAGCCAAATATAAATAGGGAAAAAAGAGACATAATGTTGCGACATAAAGAGCTGGACAGTAGTGCAGCCCATCAGCTGCTCTCCTCCCTTTAGCAGTGGGTAAATAGAATAATTACTGGGTGGTCAGTGTAGTGTGAAATGACAGCGTGACCACAGCACAATGAAACACTGCCCAAATGCAGACAGAACATGATGAGCACATGGCCGCCTGAATACAAAGTGTGCCCGAATGTGTGGCACAGATAGAAAAGGATAATGGAAGTAAGGTGCAGAGTGAGTGTGTTTGGATGTATTTGTGTTAGTGCGTTCATTCTCTTGAAAAATAATAAGTGAAGCATTGTGGTGGAAGAAAACCGGCTCCTTTTTTGGCAATCTTGTGCTGAGTTGATCTTCTAACCTCTTAGACGCAGCCCAGAACATTACCAAATCCTTGATAATGTAATCATTTGGGACAAACTTTGGACTTGAATTATGTGTCGTTACATTCAGTGGGCCAAATGCGTCAAGACAGCAGTGTTGTGGATGAGGCCACTGCCCATCATAAAATGCAAAGCCAGCAAATAGACCAAATACCTTCATTTTTCCTTGTGAATGGACAAGATTGTAATGACACTAAAATACTAACATAATGAGGCTCACATTTTTCCCTTTATGTAAAACTTAAAATAATGGAGAGGGTGGCATGGTAAGCCTTAAGAGCGAATTCAGAGTTAAAGGGATAATCTGGAATAAATTAAGTTAGGGTCAGACACAACGTAACACCGAGTTAAGACACCCCGTCGAGAGATGAATGTTGCTGACTGCTTGCCTCTCTAGTTATACCAACTTAAGTAATGACTGCACGATAGTGATACACAGCACACTATGGATCCAAGAGCACACCTCAACGAAAACACCACACTATAGCCACAAATAATGCTCAGAACAGCACCTAACTTCATCAGCAGTACATGTAGAGGTACTGCTGTAGCTATAAAACTAACCATCAAACATCTTTTTAGCTTTGCCTGGTTTCTTTAGCAAAGAGATTAAGAACAACTCAACCACTCTCTTCCAGCAGCCGTTTGTTTGTAGCAAAACCTCGGATGAGTCCATTACCGACTGCAGCGGAATTCAGCAGCTCAAGGGAGAACATTCATGATCATTACTTAATAATTTCCTTGAAGTAATAGTCATCATATTAATCATTTTGCACTGCAGACACAGTAGTTCTTCTGCCTCAGCGTCTCGTTCTGATTGCATTTCCATTAAGAATTGATCATGAAGGTTCTTCCTTGAGCTGCATCAAGCTGCTGCAGTCAGTAATGGATTCATATGAGGTCTTGCTACAAACAAATGGCTGCTGGAAGAGAGTGGGTGAGTTGTGTTAAGTGTCTTTTCTAAAGAAATTAGGCAAAGCTAAAAAGATGTTTGGTGGCTAGTGCTGTGGCTACTACCCTATATTTACCATTGATGAAGTTAGGTGCTGTTCTGAGCATTATTTGTGGTTATAGAGTAGCTTTTTGGTTGAGGTTTTGTGCGTGGATCCATAGACCACTGTGTATCACTATCGTGCGGTCCTTACTAAAGTTGGTATTAGAGAAGCAAGCAGTCGGCAACATTCATCTCTCGAGGGGGTGTCTAACTCCGTGTTATGTTGTGTTTGACCACGACTTAATTTTACGCTGGAATATCCCTTCAAGGGTTGTCCTGTCAGGGTCACAGCACCCCAACTCATCCTGCTGGTTCATGTAATGTAAAACATTTTGAAAGCATTGATTAAAAATAATGCACCAATCAAATGGATAGAGCATGAGCTTTGTATCTCATTTAGCTTGGATATATTTACCTCTACTGCCATCAGAGGGGAAGTAAAGGGTTACTACTTACTACTCTTACAGGGTTTGCCATGGAGGTGTTTCATTTCAGCTGACATTCAGGGTTTAAAGGACATAAGAGCGAGCACTGAGAAGCGAAGGTTGGATGTGTTAATGAAAAGCAAAAGGTGAGGAATGAGAATGTGAAAAGAATGGATGGAAAAAATAGATCTGAATTAATTAGCCAAATTTCACTGGTTTCTGTTAACCATCATCCTGCACACAGGTAAAAGGGAAATTAACAACTTTCAGGCTAAAGTGGATTCATAGAGCTTTTTTCTTTCATTCTCAAAAAAGGAGTGAAGCAGATATTGAAGTCAGGCGTAAATTGGCAAAGCTCACACACTGTGGCCATGCCAGTGTGACAGCAGCTCTATACAGGATCAAACTGACACTTTTTAAACAGCAGGTGAGGTCTGAACCCCGGCTTCCTCTAGGTACACCTCTGCTTCATGTGAACGCCTGCTGTTTCTTTTTTCCTACGAGCTGGATAAGAACATTTTAAAGGCCAAGCTGTTGGTACTTTATACCCCTGTTTTAAAGCCCGGAGTGGCTCTTTGTCATGCCAAAGTAGTCGGGCAATTTTAAAAATAGAAAGCAAATAAAGTTAATGAGGTGTCTCTTTACCTTATCTATCAGACTTTTACCCAGACAAAATAAAATGCACTTACATTAGAAATACAAACAGCATTGTAACATTCAAACAACAGGACTGGCTCAACAGCTGTTGTAGAAGTGTCCCTTTATTATCTAGTACGTGTTTTATGATACTATGATGTGATTCACACGAGTATAATATTGTTAAAACACTTATTTTAGAGGACTAACTGTACATACTTAAGCTCTCTTGCTGTGACAGAAAAAACTGAATTAAAACTATCACTTACGTTAGCACTGTGAGAACCTAATGATTTTATGTCACAATATTTTTATAAAAGAAATAAGAAGTGTTAATTGTAATTATCACCCGGTTTCCTCACCTTATGTGTGGGGGGGGAGAAGTATTTACAGCATCACTATCATGTAATCATCCTGTAAACGAGCCAGAGCAAATCCCTCTCTGCAATATACAGTGTTAATGTTTTACTCTTGCATACAGCGCCTGGTGTGCAATAAGACGGGGAACTCAGGAATTCTTTTCAAGTGACTCCAAAAAACTACTTTTGCCTATGATATACCTATAGGCTTGTAAAACATGATGCAGTGCGAAGAAAAATGGAATAAAAATACCAGATGGTTCATTCCACTGAAAATGGTTGTTGCAAAGCTCGTTCTGATTATTTACCGGATATGAGCCTCAGCTCTGGTAGCAGCCTGGTTGTACTGTTCAGCCGTCTGCTCGTAGTTGTCAAGGTTCTGCAGACACAGAGAAAGACAGAGAGAAATTAACGAGAGATTGAATTCAGAAACAGTTTATGTCTTGGTAGACATTTAATTTTAAAGGCATAGGCTTTCTTTAAGTTGTGAGACACATTTTTTGCATGAATTTCACTTTCTATCAAGATATAAAGAGACAGGCATGGAAATTTAATGATATCTATGCACAATTGGGGGAAAACACAGAAAACAAAATTGCTTCTTCATTTAAAGGTATAGTTTGTAGAAGTGGGGATACATTGCAATGCCTAGCAGTCACATTTCGTGCTGAAGAAATCTCGCAGTGTAAGATAGCAGCCTCCATGGGAGGAGATCTGCTCCTTGTGCAGATTTGAAAACTATTCTAAGTAGTGCTGCAGGATTGAACAAATCTTGATTACAATTGCAAACATGGTGTAAAAATGTGCATTTATATAACCACACAAAAGGCTTGTGTTTTTATTGTGATTTAAAAAAGTTTGCAGGTGTATGTCTGCAAGCATTATAAATATTGCAAACGTTTGGAGTCTGGTATGTTACATACACAAACTTTCTGACACTGGGCGTGTGGGTATTCATGCTTACACCAACAAAATGTCCAACATGGATGCCATTGAGCAGGTGCATGACAAACAAGTAGATGCAGAGCTTGTGGTGAAAAAACAAAAAACAAAAAAGGCGCAATGTGGGAATAAGAATACTTTGGATTCAGTTTAAGGGTTGAACAGAAAGAAGTGCTGACTGCAAAGTTAAATTTGCCACATTGTATGGCAATACAATATATAAGTAAAACAGTAAAAGTATATATATATATATATATATATATATATATAAATAAAAGTAAAACAAATGTCTGCATGTAAAGGGCCAGTATATGGATTTGAAGCCGAAAAGCTCTCAGTAATTCGATGTTTTTTCTCGATTCCTGAAACCAATATTGCGCAGTAACGTTGTACGCATTTGGTGGGAGAGTTGCCAAGAGTCACTGTGATGACGCTCGGCTCAAACAGCATATTTCGGGTAAACTACGCAATCCTTGTACGCCCATAGGCTGTATTAAGTGTCAATCATAGAAAACATGAACTCCCTTAATAACTTTTGAAAAATGGAGCTGTACAGAAAAACGAGGACTTGAGCACAAACCAGTCTTACAGTAACTACATGTCAACACCGCAACCAAGGGGGAGAAAAATTTATACTCTGGGTAATAAATTTCTAGAGTTTGTCTACAACTCCATAAGAATGGCTGAGGGGGGATTTATGACCTATACTGCCCGTCACCAGGGTCTGCTGTTCTCGGGGTGGCTTCAGCCAGCAAGAAGGCAGACGGCGTCCATTCTATATACAGTCTATGGTTCTTACATGCCTCCTGGGCAATCAGACCATAAGCTGATCATACATGGATATGTGTGCACTTAAAAATTGCCAAAGATAATTTCAGACTTTCTATTTATCAAAGTTTATAAACTTGGTTTTTGTGATCTTAATTGAGGAATAGTCATTTTCAGAACTAGCAATCATGCCTGCATGTTCCTTTAATAACCAAGCAAGCAGTCAAATACCCAATTACTATATTGCAAGCGCAAATTCAAACATAGTTCACTGTTTACAGTCACACAATTTACAAAATCTTGAGGCACTTAATGTAAAAAAACAAGAGCAAAAAAATATCTATCATATGCAGGTGATTACACAATATTTACATACACTTTGTCATGCCAAATGCCACTCACTGTTTGCAGTTTTTTGTCTGTGAATTCATTCACACTCAGCATGTGAGTCTGTACCACTGAGTTTTCTACATGAGCACATGAATCTTAACTGTATATCCTTTGAAGCTTATCTCTCTCTGCCTCCGTGACAGACATTCGCAACAATAATGAGTTCATATTCACTAATTATCTCTATTTTCATAATACATCAGCATGTCCGTTTTTTTTATTAACAGTCCAACATACTGTAACAAAGACTTCAGTTTCCAGAAGAGAAGGAGAAAATCTGCTGATAGAGGTATAGACATAAATCAAAACAGAACATTCCAGACAAAACTTATGATAGGGACAACTGAGTTTCAGTTGAATATTAGTAAGGATGATGGCCCTCATTTATCAAGCTTGCATACGGCAGAAAAGTTGTGACATGAGGATCGGCATTTATCAATCTGCACGTGAGCATACGCTACGACCAAATCTCACAACAGGTCTGACATCGTGTACGCAAGTTTAAGTCAGTGTGGATCTGCGGTGCCGCAAATGTTTGTCTCAAGATAATTGATTAACAAACCTCAAACCTGTCATTAAGCACAATCAGCCAGATTTCATTAAAGACTGAGATGTAGATAAAATAAAATAAAATAAATTTGTTATGTTCTTAGTGAATAGGCCTATTTGATAACTCTGCCCAGAAACACTGCCACAGAGCAGGAGTGCCATTTTAACATTGCGCGCACACACACACACGCTCGCCACTGTGGAGCGCTGCGTTTGACTCCTAAGGGCAGGTCGCTCTGTCTTGGCCCAGCAACGAGGATGTTGTTGTACTCACCTAAAAGGGTGTGGGACATCATTTGGGCCAGTACAGTTTTGCACAATGTTGCACTGGCGAATTTTCTGCGCTCAGTTTTATGCATGACTGATAAATGAGGGCCAATGTCCCCATCATCCCTACCTTATATTAGGCTCTTGTCTTTTTCTCTTTTACGGTAGAATGCTTAGAAATGTGCTGCTTTTAGAAACACAGAAAACATGTTCCCAGGCTTGAACTGTTTTCGATTTTTCTTATAACATCAATCTAAAAGACACAGCTTCACAGCTTACATGGTCCACCATAATTTGAATTCATCAACGTAGTCCTCAGTTCTGGCTAAAATAAGCAAATAAAAATAAGAAAAAGGCACGAGGCACTATTGGAAATGTCACATTCGTTAAATTAGTGACCTTTAAATTTTGCGGTGCTGCTTACAAATCTGAATGCTGATAGCCTGTTGATGCCCTACACTTTTTCATTTCATGCAAGAAAAAGTGGCATTTAAATGGCAATTACACTACAGATGGAGCTGTACAAGGTTAAATACAACACCTCGTAATCAGTGGTCAGTGTTAACTTCTCTGCATCGGGTCAGAGCTGCCTATTAGGTGATAACTGATAAGGACGGAAAAAAGGGCTAGAGAAAAAAGTGGTTGTAGTGACTGTGTCTTGGTGTGTCAGTGGTGTGTGTGTGTGTGTGTGTGTGTGTGTGTGTGTGTGTGTGTGTGGGTGTGTGTGGACTTCCCAGAAATAATACTGAGAAAATATCTAAATTGACAAAATTATAAGATGAAAAATCACCCTACAGGCTGCGCCTCATATCACATGAAATACAGTTTGTCTAGAATGCCCAAAACACAAAGCAAATCTCTCTCGCCACCTTCTCAAACACATCCGCTGCGCAGTAATCACCGTTTTAAACCAATAACTAGAGTGCTCACACATTTACTTAATTATTCCCTATATTCCCAATAGATGAGGTGATAGGAGAGGAAGATAATTGAAGTGACTGAGCGAGGAAAGAGATGGGATCAAACACAAACCTCCTCCACAGTCCCTAGCCCTCTACTCCTACAGTGCCCCCAAGTCATTTTCATATCGCATTATTTCACACTGATCCTCAGACATGCTTCTCCTGATCTGAATGTCTGGCGTTGGAAAAGACTCAAGTTCTGTCGTGGGCATCTTTTTCCCCTAATCCTATCAGCTTCTATTTGCTACAATGTAATAATCTGTCCCTAATCTTTTATCTTTCTTGCTCTTAAAGAGAAGCCATTTTCATAAGCATATGAAAAAGGAGTTAAGTGTACTTTGCCATAACCTAATAAGTGTTATTCAAGTATCAGTCCATCTTAAAGGTGGGGTAGGCAGGAATCCGTTAAAGAGGCACCTTTTTTTGTGGTGGAAATACAAAAAAGCTTTTAATATCAGTCAACAGCTACTAGTTATTGATGACATTTGGGAATATCATGATGTCGCTGCGTACTCTTATGTCTGTGTAGTCAACATTTTAAAATTTTTGAGCTGGCCGCTCTTTCTGACAGTAAACAAAGCCGTTCTCCACCTCCCCGACCTGACTGGTTGTGAGGCGGACGCTGCTCCTTAGTGCTGATTGGTTGTGAGGCAGACGCTGCTCCCCCGAGTCGTTCACGAGCCCAAACAGTGTTAGCGTGCTACAACATCGGACAGTAAAACGAACCAGAAAGTACGGAAAAATGCCAACACAAGCAAGAAAACAAAGTAAATACCAGAGAAACTGGCAGAATAACGGGCGCTTAAAAAGGAGGTAGACCAGACAAGAGCTAAAAAGCTGTGTCAACATCGTCATCAAAATTGGTGCTAAACATTGAAGAACTGTAGCAGTTTAAGAGCAATTATTCCTGCAGGTGGACTCACATCAACCTCTACAATTTGTTGATCTCCTCCTCACTCTGCTTCTGATGTTTAGTTTGGTTATATTCCTTTTCAAACAGGAGAAAAAGAAAACTATCCACATTACCTTCAGTACTTTAAAATATATGCAAGCAAATTCTTGAATCAAGTGACAAACAAGATACAGTCAAACAACTGTGTCCGAGCACAGTTTACCTTTCGTTTGGTGCATGAGCTTTCCGTCTGTTTGAGCTATGATTCACAATGTAAAAAATGCCAAACATTCATCAGTACAGGACTTTATCCCTGCCAGTTTTGTTTCCTGGCTGTATTATGTTCGATTTTCAAGGGCAGGTTTCAGGATTAGGCTCCTGTTGCAGCTGAGTCCCCCCATTGTTAATGTGTGGACTAGAATAAAATGCCAAGCTCTGACAGGGAGGTAAAAACCTCAGCTCTGAAACAAGTCGAGCATACTTCATCACAGCATTATGTACCCTTGGCATAAAAGACCACTTGGTTAGATGGTTTATCAATCAGCAAAGCTTTCAGCCTTAATTTGAAAGTGCTAAAAGCCAAACGCTCTGGATTCATTGACATTGCACTGAAGTCTAACTTCCTGACGGAGGAGAAGTAGCTAATACTTTGGCTGACTCCCTAGAAATACAGTATGTGTTAAGAAGTGAGCCCCATGTTAGCAAATTAGCCTTTAGCCTAAAGTCAAAGGCTCAGTGGGTTAGCTAAACAGAGGGAAGATGATCTGAAACTTCAAAGTCTGTAGTAGCCTGATGGGATATCTAGTGTTCGAGCAAAGATTAAAGGCCCACGAAGGACTTGAACTCATGGGTGTCTCAGATTATCCATGAAAGACAGAGTAGGACTGGAGTTAGCGAGGCAGCACAAGCAGATTGGTGAGGAGAACTTCTGAGTGGTGAGCGGTTTATCAGACCAAGACGCTAATCAAAGGTTTGAAAGGGTTAGACAGTGGTAGATACAAAGTCTCACACCTGAAAATGGAAAAGATTTAACAACAGCGATCCTAAGAGATGGCTAATCTTTTCCCCGGTGGTCTTTCCCACCTTTCTCCAGCTTGTATTCTATGGAGGCAAAGAAAGAGTAGCTGCTACAGCAATGGCAGACTGGTTTAGTGAAATAAAGATATCCATAGTTGCCACAGAAAGAATGTTTTATTTCTTGAATTGGAGTGAGGATCATTTCTTGATATGATATACCTTAGTAGCTTAGAAAGCACAGAGCAGCAATATTGCAGGGTGGGAGAGTCAAGGCTAAATTATGCAACTATGGCAAGATATCCAGATATGACACAAATAAAGGTGTTGAGAAACCAAATGTTACATTACAGATTTTAGCACTTGGTATAACCATCATAGATGTGTCTGATCAGCTTCTTGAATATTTGAAATAAAAAAAAAACTTTTGACGAAAAGAAATGACCAAAATGTTATGACCTTGTATTGACTCAATCTAGACTAAAACTACTAAGTCACTCAAATGTGACTTTAACTAATGGGCATTTTCATCCTAAAGACCAGAACTAATACAAAATTTATAAGAGCTGTTGAAAGCCAATAGAGACCTTTGGTGACCTGTCAAAGCGGCAGGTGGGACAAATTTCAGGCCCCGGATATAACAAACAAAAACCAAAATAAGGGTATAAGCATGTGTGTGTAAAGGTGATGTCTGAACTTGCAGTGCAAAGCTTATCCAGTCATAATAACGGGGGACCCCGAGGCTGTGTGTTGTTTTTGTGTATATCAACATGTTTTTTTGTGTACATTGACAGAGCAGACCCAGAGCAGCAGCTCCAGCTCGGCTCTTGTGACACCAGAGAAGTGGCTGCACTATCACTGGCACACACTCTCTGAGCTCTTCCCAGTCATTTGCACCCGTGGGGACAAAAGCCCAATGTGGAGAGACAGAAAAGGGGGGAGATGATAACCCTCAGTCGGGGGGAAGCAAGGTTTTGGGGTGTTGGAAAGACTCGTGGGGAGGGGATTAGTGTGGATCTGTATGTGTGTGTGTGTGTGTGTAAGCTTGCATACATGCAGGTGTGTGACTAAATCTGTGTTTGTACGTGAATGCTTGTGTTGGATGATCCTTGCATGCATCGTCTGAACACCCTCCAGCAGCTGAGGATTGAGATGGGCTGATGTCAGGATTTCGAGGGGTGGGGAGTGTGGGGAAGGTGAGGGTTGTTTCACGCTCCTTACTTGGACGAAGGGGGATTAATTTCTTCAAGGGGGAGGAGGGGATTAAAAGGAGTGAATTTAAACCGAGACTTGTTTACAAAGTCACAGGGTATGTTGCCACGGGGGGACAGATATACTCTCTACCTGTACTCTGGGAAAAGATTACGGAGGCTTCCACAAATGAATGAGAGAGAGAGAGAGAGACTCGGAGGGAGAGGAGGTAGTGGTATTTGGGGGGGGGGAGTAGTTGTGGTGTTTTCAGGAGTGGAGAAATGCAAAGTTGTGTGGTGGATTGGCTATTCTATCACAATTACTTCTGAAGTGACAGCATACACACAAACCTGTCACAACAACACACTCACATACAAACAGAAAAGCACAGGCTGTTTTCTCATTTGTGACAGAAGTGGGCTCAACAGCATCAACAGCCTTTCGACAAACACAGCAGTCTGTTATCGTTGTTCATCCCTTAGGCAAACTGGACAACAGAATGTTGTGTGTGTGTGTGTTTTATACAGGTAATCAACCTCACCAACACACACACACACACACACACACACACACACACACACACACACACACACACACACACACACACACACACACACACACACACACACACACGTTCATACACACAGTTACCAGCCTGTTATTATGGGGCAGCTAAGCCACAGTAAAATGTTGATTTAGAGAAAGATCACACATCAATTACGAGCAGATCCTCTTGTTAATCTAGCCGCTATTTCCTTGGGCTTAAATCTGTGACTCGGACCATTACCACGTCCAAACAGTCTAATTGCGAGCACATGAGTGTGAGCTCGTACAGTTGTAATTTTTCTATAAAACAAGTATACATTGTAAAGAGATGAGGTAAATTTAAAATCATTTATCATCTCAGAGACCCACTCTGATGAAAATCATGTTTTCCTCCCTCCACTGGTTACCTGTGCATTTTAGAGTTCATTTAAGATTCTTTTATTTGTTTTTAAATCTTTAAATGGTCTGGCTCCATCTTACCCCTCTGAGCTTCTCCACCCCTACACCCCTGCTCGGTGCCTCAGGTCAGCTGATCAGCTGCTCCTGGAGGTACCGAGGTCCAAACTGAAGCTCAGAGGGGATAGATCTTTTTCTGTTACGGCCCCAAAATTATGGAACGAGCTTCCCCTCCAAATCAGACAAGCCCCCACACTGTCCATTTTTAAAACTTGTCTTAAAACCCATTTTTATTCATTGGCTTTCAACCCTGCATGAGACTCAGCTCCTGTTTAAGTGTTTTGTGGTTTGTTTTGAGTTATTTGTTTCTATTGTTTTTAAATTAGTTTTTAAAAACACTGAAACTATATTTTACTTTTTAATATCTGCTTTTATTTTATCAAGTGTTTTGTTTTTTTGATTGTTTTTTTTTTTTAATGTCTGCGTTGTTTTGTCTATTTATACAGCACTTTGTTCACCTGTGGTTGTTTATAACTGTTTTACAAATAAAGTTAAGTTGAGTTTTTCTTGTTGTCTAAATGTTCATTTGGCATTTTTATTCGAGTACATATTGTAAGAAAAATAGATGCGAAATTGCAATCTGAAATCTGAGTATTTCTGCATTCAAATCGCTGTGAATCTCTGGCAGACCCAGACGGCAGGTGCAGAAACAGTGAGATTTCTTACATGGCAAATTCAAGCTCCACCCCAGGAGCCCGTTATGCAGGCCACACTTGGATAAATAGAGAAGACGATCACTGAGCAAGCGCATGCATTCGCGCATCGCAATGCTCCTCAGAAAGCTAATTATGATATTAACTTTTCTCATGTCCTCAAAGACAGTAGTGAACTCAATGAGCAGTGTGCAGAGCAGCGCTGTCTCCGCTCACGACTCAGAAACAAATTGCTAATGATCTGCTGGAGCTCTGCAGAAGAAAAGTCCTTGAAAACGACACAGGTAACACGATTTTGGCTAAAAACTTAATGATTACAATTGAAAGACCACTGAGAACACTAAAAGTCACTATAACCATGGGGAGCAGAGCTTTCAGCCGCTCTCTGGAACTCACTCCCACCTGACATCTTAAATATCAACTCTCTCTCTCTCTCTCTTCAAATCCAGACTCAAAACCCACCTGTTCAGATTAGCATACTCCTTATGATTTACCTTGTCATGTTTTTGTTTGTTTTATTTTTACATACATATATATATATACACTTTTCCCCCCTATTTTGTGTCGTTTTCTCTATTGCTTTTATCCTGTTTGTTTTCACTTTGTAAAGTGTCCTTGAGTGTCCAGGAAGGCGCTTATAAATAAAATGTATTATTATTATTATTTTTATTATTATTATTTTAAGTAGTTAAAAAAAACAGATCAGAGTGGGGCCTTAAATCTGGGCGTTAGATAAACCCGAGACTGAAAGTAGAGGATGTCTGAATGCAACGTGAAGATGACGGGCGAATAGATCATAATATATGTGAAAAGTGAAACGTATTACCACTTCAAGTTGGATTTTGCATTTATGTATATGACCTAAGTCAGTCACAATTTAACATTTTAAGGAGCAATTTATTTCACCCAAAGAGCATTAGCCACAGGTAGGAGAGAGGTAAAGGATGAAAAATAGGCAGGTAAAAGGAAAGGAGGCATGAAAGACAGCCTGAATGAATGGCATGCTAGATTGGAAAATGAAGGGAGAGAAGGAGGGCGATGGACTCCGGCTCAGGATAGACTTGCTGTTTAATGCACAGTCCATATAGCCTCTTTATCTCTTACTCTCAGTCCCCCCTTTTTCTCACTCCCTCATCCACATTCAGGCCAGCGGTGAGCAAGTGAGGGGTGAAAAAAGGCGATTGAAAAGGCGACTGCTGCAGCAAGTGGAGAAAGATAGAGCATCCTCAACTCTTCTGCCAATCAGTTTCTTTCATCGAGCGTTGTGGAGTGCGTTGTGCAGCGGTTCCCTCCGTATAACTATGCTATGTAAAAGGGTTTCTCAGAGGCTTAAAGGAGGCAAGTGCCAAAGACTAGATAAAGTCCCCTCCTCTGCCTGATAGGTGGAGCCAAATTGAGGGGCGGAAGGGGAGGTTGACTTCCAAAGTGTGTCTACTGGATGCTATAGGATTAGGAGTCCTGTGTGTGATGGTAGAGACACAAAAAGATCAAAGCGAAAGAGAGTGAGGATGTTCAAATGTTCATGTGTCTACCTTTTCACCTTTCATTGCTTTAATGCGTTTGTTCTTCATGTCAATCATGGTGGACTCTCGCCCAAACAGCCTCCTCACCCGACTGCCTTTTCTGTCTTCTCCTCTTAAACGAGGAGGGACAAAGGAAAGTAGACAGCATAGCCCGACTCAGTGAGGGTGAATTCTAACCCAAACAGGCTTCCTGCATCAGCACTGCTCTCTTGGCCCCCATTTTAATATCTCTTTAAAGGGTGGGGTAGGCAGGATTTCGTTATAGAAGCATCTATTTTGTGGTGTATATACAAAAAAAGCTTTTAATATCAGTCAATAGCAATTAGTTATCGATGACATTTTGGCAATATAACTATATCTGTTATGTCTGAGCAGTCAGCATTTTAAATTTTTCGAGTGGCCGCTCTTTTTGACTGCTAACAAAGCCATTCTCCACCTCCTCGACCTGATTGGTTGTGAGGCAGACGCTGCTCTCCCGTGTTTTGAAACACAGTCTAGTCCTCCAATAACGTGCACGAGCCCAAACTAAGTTGGCATGCTACAACATCGGACAATAGAAACCAACCAGAAGGTATGAAAAATTGTCTGAATCCACCTTTGGCCACGACTACCAATACTAGCAAGAAAACGAAGTGAATACTAGAGACTGGCGGAATAACGGGCGCTTAAAAAGGAGGTAGACCGGACGGGAGCCAAGAAGCTGGGTCAACAATGATGAAGGACGCTTCCGGATCTTAGGGGTAAAAGCCTCTGAACAAGTGTCCTCACTGAATCATTATTGTTTTGATCAGGGCACAAGTACCCTGCATTTATCTTCAACAAAGCACCCTCTTATGCAACAAAAAATGCATAGAACATCCCTTTTCATCCTTTTTGAATCTTTGTGTGAATGATTTCCCATCATCTCCTTCACTTTCACCCTGTACTTTTTCCACTCTGTATACCTCTACTTCTCCCTTTTAACCTCTGTCCATCTCATCTGACCTCACCCATAGCAGTCTTTTGATGAATCTACTCAAGTTAGCTTCATAAGCAAGAACCCGTTGTGCCCTTTGCTTTTAGAGTACAAAATATCAACCACACATTAGTGCTTGGGTGGAGAGAACACAGGGCGTAATTTCTTAAAAGCACCCAACCATCTGCTACATTCTGCCTGTTTTCTGAAAGGACTACAAGGTGGCCGGAAAAAAGGGTACACAATGATGTGAGAAGCACGGCACATTTGATTAGATGGCTGAAGATCTCTCTCGCGGTGAAAGCTCTCAAGTGCTCATCTATCAGCAGCGATTTGTGGCTCTCATCTGTTTGCCCGAAACTTTCAATTCATTTGTATTTACAATATGACGCAGGTATGTGGGCTTGACATTTTCAAGATAAAAATTAGTATCTTGTGTCCCATAGAGATGTCGCTTTTCAAGGAGAGCAAGAAACGGGTCATTGTAAGACCATTCCTTATATCTCTGATGTGTAATGACTCCCTTTTTAGTGATAGCTGACAGAATGTTTTTATAGAGTCTGCAAGCTTTCATGTAAAACACCTCGACATTTTTAGTGGCCCATTCTTGCTCAGTTACCTCCTACAAAATTAAAGGTGATTTAGTGATGAAAAAAAAGCATCATTTCATTTCACAGAGGCACTTTTAAGGTGCACCAGACAGGTCCTCCGTCTTCTTTTTAGAGGTGAAATCTGTTATCAGATGGGAAAACGCTTCTTACCTTTTTCTCCAGTACTGCTAGTTGTTCTTTATAAAAGCTTGAAATGCTGGCCAACTCCTTCTCCTTGATCTCCAACTGTTTAGCCTGAAAATAAGAAACACAGAGTGTAAAAAAAAAGAAGACAAAATGACCATGTAGAGATTCAAAATACGGGCACAGGGGCATGGAATGGATACATACATATTTCCATTTGAGTGGTTGCAAACATGATAAAATCATGTTCTACGTGCTAAAGCAACACTTTACTACCAATGCTTGTGAACAAGCAAACATTAGACAGGAGACATAGATACAGTAAAGACTTAAAGAAAGAGAGGCGAGGTGACCTGTTGCGTTTACAGCTGAACATATAAAAAAAACAATGTTAAAAACAGAAGCTCAAATTAATTTGAAATGCAGCTTAAGAGACTTTACGTTAACTTCAAGTTGACTTCAAAAGTCACACAAAGTAACCTGCATTTAAAAAGCGATGCACACGTAACCTCCCTGAAAAAAAAAAATCATTACATGTCACCTTGGTTACATTTGTATAACCACTCTACAATTATAAACCAGCAATTTAGTTCATATGCAGTTGTACTAAGTGGTACTTGCTCTATATTTTCACGACCCGGCAATTCTTTTCCACTTCTTTGATATTGCAATGGAAGCAAGCAAATGTGCTTTTCTATAAGCTCAGGCAATTCCACTTACAACTACCAATTCCAGCACAAACAGCACTTTAATCAAGAACAAGCTAAAAATACCAGAGAGGGCTAGACATAGCGTTTCTTTAGTAAGCAGCAAACAAAACCTTTTTATATCTTCTCCTGAAAACAGATTAACAGATTTATTTTAAAATAAGTAGTAATGACTAAATCCTTCTGGTGTTGTATGATTGGAGTTTGCAGACTTTGTACGTTATTATTCCCAACCTAATGCATCCCCTACACTATTTATTCATCACAAATATATCACAAATCTACAATGATTTATGTATAAATGAAATGTGCACAAGCTAAAACATACAAGACTAACAATTTTACGACAGTTAACTTACAACACTAATCACGGGCAGGCATGTGGCTGGAGCATCAGCTGCAGGGGCTGATATGGCGATGCTGGCGTTAGGATGAGGGGGATCGCTTTAAAAGCCCGCTGAGCCAAGCTTTGACAAGCAGTTAGATGGCAGATTGGCTGCAGGAAGAGCCATAGTTTGGGCCATGGTCATAGCAGCATGCAAGCAGAGAAAGATAGGAAGCAGACGTCAAAAAGAAACACTGTGAACACAAGTTGCTGGAGGTTAAAAAATGCACATGCACTGAGAGTTTAAGATGAAAAATTCTTGTAAGAGAGATTTGCGAGAGAATCTGACAAGAGATTTGGGACAGAGCCACCTTGATTTAGCAGCAAAAGGCTTCACAGTGTGTCAGTATATCGAACAATTTCATAAAGTAAATTGCCTATTATCCATAGCAACATCAAAAACTAAAACTAAAATAGTATAATGAGGAGCTTTTGCAGAGCTGCAAAAGATTAAATAATGAGCGGAAGTGCCAAAGAGGATGTTCATGATGATAACTTAAGCATGCACTGTAAAGACTTGTTTGCATGCCATCAACTTAAGTTCTGATTTATTGTGCATCTCATTGTAGATCACTAATCAAAACATTTTTTTCTCAGAAAATATAAGAAATAATGACAAAACATTGTGTGGCATGGTCACAGGGTCATGTGTGTTGGAATAAAGTATGTTGTGGTCTCTTTAGATAAAAAGCAGTTACATCTTTTGAAAAACATTCACTGCTGTTAGACTGACTGATTTGTGCTACCTCCAGCTGATCTGCATGACAGTGAACTAAACTGAACCAAAAGACTTTAAAAACCTGCAGCACAGTCTAGATCTCGGTGTTTACAGTGCATCTGTCAGAAGTTTGGTCATGCTGCGGAGAGTATGCAGTGGATCAAAGAAGAACCTCAACAGCTGTACAAACCGAATCGCATATTACGACTAAGATGCATTAAGGATAGTCAGCGTGCACATGGAGAACACAGGGTGGTTCAGTTCTCTCCTGTATGCACACATTTGGTTTGTAGAGGTTTGCATACGATATGTGTGTCTGCATATTACAATGAATATTAAACAATGTTAAGGCACTTATGAGTACATATTGTCTCTAACCCATGAGGTTAATAAGTAAAGCCCTATGAACATGACATGGTGCATGAACACAATGACGCTGGCTCAGAAAAGGCAGCGATGGGGCATGGATTTGTGTTGCACTGGAATACAGAGTGTGTATCATGAACATAACCAGACACATACACATACAAATACAGTGCAATACCACAGTGTAATTTTGAGCTGTGTATTAGGGAGTGTGATATAGATTAGATGGAGCATCTGCATTATCCCTGTATGATCTTCTTTGCTGTTAGCTGAACACGGGTGTGCGGATACACACAGACACACAGTTATCACACACTTTTACACACAGACATTACATTACATCTATTGTGATCCAATCTAATCCTATCCTAACTTAACAGGCACACGCATCCCAAAAGACCACATCTGCAAATCCCAAGACTGTGCTCACTGCACTTTTCTTCTTGTGGCGTCTGTTTGATGCTTAAGGGCTGTGTGTGAGTGGGAGTGTGTGTTTGTGTGTAAAATCACCTCTGCTAGCAGCACAGATGATGTGTAATTTTCTAGCTGAATACCTCCCAAAGTGTTGTTGTGTGGAATGGTGGCGGCGGCACACTCACAGCCCCGCTTTAACGCACAATGAAAACATGACATTTGAATAGAGGAGAGAGAGAGTAAAAGAGAAAGAGAAAAGATGAGGTAGAAAGGAGGACCGAGGAAAAAATGAACAGCATTAGTCGTGTTGCTTACCCAGGCATCCAAATCTGCTGGCTAGGATGGAGACAAGGAACAGGGGTTAGCATGACGGCAGACGGTATACAGAAAATGCACAAGGCAGTAATAGAGACAAAGAAGAGAATGATAAAAGACAAGCTGAAGAGGGAAATTAGAGGGGAAGGGGAAAGAAGAACTAAGACAGGAAATGAGCTGGTAATAAGAGGTAAGCAGTAATATGTGATGAAGGAAACAGGGTAATCATATAGCTGATGAAAGAGAGATCAAGAACAATAAGTACATATTAGAAATATTTGACTGATGACAGTATGCAACAGTTTGACAGGATTTAAAATAAGTTTCTGGAGATAATCAAACACCAGACCAGATAAACAGTCATTTCCAAAATGAGAGACGGCCTTTGATTCTTCCACAGAAAGTGATTGTTGGACATTTTGGGTATAAACAAGTGTGCCCAAGTTTTAGGAAGAAGAGACAAGGAAAGAGGTTTTTTTTTATTACAAATAATACAGAATGTGAAAAAAGGAACACATTCGAGTAAACTTCAAAATAGAGAAAATTTCACCTCATGTACTTTGGCTAAACAACATATGAGCTCTCAACAATGTGTGAGCTCTTTTCCCTTACCAAAATGATTAATGTTAAAGTGTACTTCAAGTATACTGTGTTTGAACTAAGTATGCTTTCAGTTTACTTTTATGCACTTTTCAGACATATACTTGAAGTTAATGTTAAGTATTCTTGGCTTGTACTAAGAATTATACTACAGGAATATTTAACCTATACTTAAACAACAATAATTAAGTATGTATTTGTGCCTTAGGTTTAAGTATACTTGGCTTTTACTGCTTATCTTTTTAAAAGTATACTCTTGAAAAGATAAGCAGTGTAAGCTAAGTATATAAATATGTACTACAATTGAAATAATAGCATACTAAAAAGGTAAGTTTAAGTATGCTTCTGTGTCTGGCCCTGACCCTGTGCTACATGTCATCCCCCCTCTCTCTAACTCCTACATTTCCACTCTGTCTTATCCATTAAAGGCAAAAATGCCCCCCACCTCCCATCGAAAGAAAGAGTATGCTTCAGTGTACTTTTATTAACTGAAAAGGGGACTAAAGTTCATTACTAGTAAACAAATAGTATACCAAGAAGTTCATTTTTAAGTATGCTTCAGAGTGTACTTTCATTAACTAAAAATAGGCCAGTGTAGTCCCAAGAAGTTTACCTGTAAGTAGTATTTTTGTATCAGTGTACAAAGTATACTTTGGGAAGTATACTAAAATTAACTTAAGTATACTTAATAAAATGTACTTGAGGTATACTTATTTTTGGTAAGGGTTGGCCAGGGATAGAAGGCAACAATTGTTCATTTGTTTCAAAGTTTGTGCACTCCCTTTCTGGAAGGCCTAAAAAAATCAGACTAGTTCATTTCAGAGTGTTCCCACATATCCTTTTAGGTGAGCTGCCTGAGAAGTCAGTTGCCTCTTATTCATTAAACCCTTCAACGGTGCTGGAACAGATTTCCACCATCACTATCACTGTGTCTTTGTGTTTACAGACAACATGCTGAAATAGTTTAGTATTCGTGCCCCGGAGTGAGTTCTCGGATCCCATCACAATGTTGTAAGAGGTACAGCTTGTAAACACACAACAGAAGTACCACACACAAAAATACTCAGGCATGCACAAACACACCGCAATGTTCCATCCTGCTAGCCTCAACACAACACACCACCACCGGTTACACCCCGCGCTACTTCTGTTTCCTCCGAAGTACGATCAGAGGCAGAGCATCTTCACCCCACCATTACGCCTCCATGCATTACATATTGCAGACGAGGCGTATCAGATCTGCTGGAATCCCATCTAGAATTCGGAGAATGTAAGAGCCAAGTGTTTGCTGTCATACTTTATACCAAAAAGCTAAAGAGGAAAATTACTTAGCTCTTAAGTTTAACAAGTGCACGGAATGATTTTGTAGACATCAAATGACCATTGAATAAAATAAGAAATGATTTCACAGATCGACAACATATGCCACTTGACTGTATGTTATGGCACTTAAATCAGCAAATCAAATGATGTTCGGCTATTATAATGCATACTATAACTGGGCAGGACACTGTATCCTGGTGTGCTCCCAGTCCAGCATGAAGGGAAAGGATAGATTAGAGCACCGGGTGGCTCTAATGTTAGCACGCCTCATAAAAACTCCATTCAGTTAAATGAGGTGGACTCACAAAGCCAGTTGCTGCAGAACGCGCGCTTGTGTGCGGGGTAATCTGTGTAACGGATACAGCCCATGCCATCTGTTTAACCTCCCTGCTCCTCGGCAGCAGGCCCTAAACTGAATGTGTGCCTGAGTGTGTGTGTGAGTGAGTGTGAGTGTGTGTGAATGTGTGGACCCCAACAGAGTGCTTGCAGGAGTGTGGAGGTCCCATTTCCATAGATGACAGACTCCAGAAGAGAGGTGAAGGGTTTTGTTGTGATACAGATGCAGACAAACACACACATAAGCAGTTTGGTGCAGTTCATGGGCCATAACAGACAATGGCATTAAAGGTACATCCACTCATTGCTTTTTTGCGAAAACTCAGAGCTCTCCTGTGGCCAGCAGTCAGGAGGCTCAGTCTGAACATTAAGGGACTTGCGCAAATGAACTCACTTTGAAAAAATGTCACCACAGCTATTCCTTATGGTGTACAGCATGTATATTTCCTCACATTTTACCACGAAAACTCATGAATTTAGCAGAATCTTCATGAAGTTAATCATGATTCCTTAGTAAACATAACGAAGACCACAGACTAATTGGCTTGAGGTGTCTGTGAAAATCATATACCAGGATTTATCAAAAGTCAATAACTCTCTGTGGACATATTAGAGTGGAGTTGCCATGGCAGTAACAACTTTTCCCCTCCCACGCTGTCATGAAAAATGACTGTTGAAGACTTCCTTAACCTTTAACAATGAACCCAGCGGAGAAATTTTCCCAAATAATGCCAACAATAAATATGTAAAGAACGGCTACTCAGTAAAAAAAGGACATTTTCTTATTTCTTAGCCAGCAAGTTATATTGTATTTCAGACGCTCCTTCTTCTACTCTCAATGCATTTGCAGAAGTGTTGGTCAGATTGACAAAAATCTCTTGCACTGCCATGGCTACACAAAATCATGAACCTTCATAGTTTGTTGTGCCTTTATTGCAAAATCTCTGTCTCGTTTCCCGTCTGTCAAACAATCATGGCTGATAATATACACGCACAAGACCTTTGATTGATTGATTGATTGTTTATTTCGTATGATTGACAAAACATATACATACGAAAAGGATAGCTAAGAAGCCAAGGCTTATAAGGAAGGAAATGGTAAATGGTAACTTGATTGCACCTAAACCAACAATGATTATCAATGCAGTTTTCTGATAAAAAAAAAAGTGCTTCGACACTAATCATGGCCTTTATGCTTTTAGGCACTTAAACATAGTGACTGTAGAGGCAGCAGGATAAGGTGCTCACCTGCCCATTAGTGCTGATCCAACAATCACAAACATTCATACACTTGTTGCTATGCATTTAAGAGCAACATGGGTTCAGCATATTGTCAAACAACACAATGATATGTAGACTATAGCCCTGAATCATCCATCAACATGAGGACTGAATGACAACCCACTCTACCACTGAGCCACAGCAGCTCTTAAATTAATCATAGTGAATAACTATAATACCTACAATAAAGAGTGCTAATGTTAGTCTTGACTGTGGGAAAGATGGAAATGTTGGTGACAAAATAAATGTCATTTTTGGTTGCAAATGGCATTATGCTGCATTATGGGACATTGTGCGCTGACCAAAGCTTTAATTGAAAGACTATTTTATTGATTCCCACAAGATGCATTTTAAGTGCTGATTCATTCATTCATGCTCAAATAAGAAGTTTCTGGAAAGATTGTGTTTCCTTTTGTGTGGTAACAGCAACCTTACTTCTGGCCTCATAGTGTATCCTATACAGTGATGAACATCTAAATATCAAAAGAAATAAACCGACCCCACAGTATGTTTTCTTTTGAAGCATTTTAGTGTCAGGGGATAGAAAAACTCACCCATCTTTTACTTGAATAAAAAAAAAAAAACATCACACTCACCTTGACAGTAGAGCTGACGACATGGTTTGGTTTCACATATTCAAAGGAGTAATTTCAGACTGTATGTAATGCAATGCAATAGACTGATACTGGATGCAGCGAGAGGGTGAGTCGGCCGTTTAATGCACTTCACAACAACCAGTAAATTCCTACACCCACTGGGAACCGCTTTATGGGTGAAATGGTGCAAAAAATTGACCAGAACACCGACTTTAACGATGGCATTTATAAAGAACTCACTAATTTCATCGATCTCAATGCGTTTGATTGCATCTGCTTTGCCAAACCATGTTTGCCATGGTTGTATCATGAGGGTCACCAGATGCAGTAGTTAAGCAATGCTTCATGCTTGATTTAGAGCCTGAATCTAAAAGGCAGCAGACGTGAGTAAGTGTGTGTGTCTCGATATCTGTGTGGGAGTGAAACTGAAAAAGTGACAGAGATGTGACAGGGTGAGACCTTTTAGTCTCCAACACCACCTCACATGGTGAGAAACGCTTGCTTGGAAATCAATTATGTAAATGCGGAATTATGCAAATGCTACATTTGAATAAATCTATGTGTTTGGAGAGGGAAGAATTAGGTGTGGCTTTCCGCTTGGAGTTGGGGAACGAGAGAGAGAGAGAGATGAGGAGAGAGGGCTAAAACAAGGATTATGTTGGAGAATGTCACTGGCAGACACAGTTTGTGCAGTCAAACTCCTGATTTGGCTTTTTAATTAGAGGGAAAGACTGAGAGGAGAAAATAAGCGCTAATTCATGGACAGCTTCCTTTGTCATCTAAGTAAGGTTTGCAAATTCATCTTGTGTCCAAGTAATAAACCCTGTTGGGGGCTGTCACTTTGCACAGACGGCTTACCTAAAACTTGATCCCCTGTTTCGAGCTCTAAATATTGCCAAACACTGTCATGCTGCTACAAACAACCTGTCATTTGTGCTTGTTAACAACCAGGTGGTAGTGCATTATACCGTTATGGGAGTAGCCATTAACTGGATAGCAGTGGGCGGCTGTGCTCCAGCTTGGACACCGCATAGAACTTACATTACAGGCCTCCAATAATGAAGAAATAATGATTGATTCAATTGACTGATCATTTTGGTGCCATCATGCAAGAGAAAAAAAGCTGAATTTCTTATGACTAACATCCCTAATAAAAACTTATTACCCAAACATCAGCATGGATCTATTTATACTGGGGTGGAAACTGAAGAATAATCAACTAGCATGTCATTATTGATGAAGTATTTCATCAAAATACTGTTCATTTTCAATGATCTGAAGACTGGGTAACACTTTATTTGACGCCTATCTCTATAACGCATTATAAATATATGGATAATGCGTTATAATCATGTTATAGCACTGTATAACTATAGTTATAAACACTCATAGATGATCATAATGCTTTATAGCAATAATCATAACACATTATAAAGCATTTTATCATGACTTACAAGGTCAAGTATTATTATGTGTTATAACTGTTAACAACAGTTGCATTGCATTATCTATGTGGGTATTGTTAGTGAGTTGTTAACAGTGATAACACATTATAATACCTGACGTTGTTAGTCATGATAAAATGCTTTAAAATGTGTTATGATTATTGCTATAAAGCATTATGATCATTTATGAGTGTTTATAACTATAGTTATACAGTGCTATTACATGATTATAACACATTATACATATATTTATAATGTGTTATAGAGATAGGCGTCAAATAAAGTGTTACCGAAGACCGTTATTTGTGCACAGAGCATGAACACAGAACAGAAAATGGCGGTGAGGTGATCACACTGGCTTGCAGCTACACTGAAGATTTTAGAAGTGAGTAAATCAGGACTTGTACTACAGAAAGCCCTGAGGGGAAAACATAGCAGTCACCTCTGCACTACTGGCAGGAAGCTGCACTCACAAAACCCTGCTATTTGTACAAGACTTTCAAGCTTTACTTTCAGTCACTTCCAGCTGGTACACATTTTCACAAACATGTTAAAAGACTGGCTTGTTTAGTGTCCCCGCCTACTGCGCAGAACCTTTATTAGGGAGGGCAGTGAAGTCTCTCAAATACCCGCACAGGATTTATCACATGAACACCTGTGCCTAGCGTACACACTCGCACGCACCTACAAAAACACGCATGAGCTCACACACAAGCGTGGACATTACAGAAAAAAATCCAGAGGCATGAATTGGTTAGTCTTGGTGTTTGCTCATTAAATGTTCTTGTTACATAGCTGGGGGAGGTTAAGTGAATTAACACTTGATCATCAGCTTGCTTTCTCACCACAGACTGTCACACAGAGACGGATAAAGAAAAGGTAAAAAAAGGAAGGAGAACGGGGTGAGATGTGGAAACAGGGATGTGAGGTGAATACAAGGAATTGTGGGAGGGAGGAAATAAGACAAAGAAAGAAAAAGCCAAGATTGTAAACAGTAACTACAGGCAGTTTTTACATTCTCATTTGCTCACTCCCTCTTCCTTGCTCACTCGGTTTGGCTCAATTAAAATAGTGAAGTTCTGTAAAGTTATACTTCTTAAACTGGGAATCTAATGTCTCTACTAATTAATTGAAACACACTTTCTCTTCCCTGGAAAAATCTTTCCCATTATAGACAGGAACAGATTGGTTGGACTGAGCTCTGATCAGACTAGGATTTCTAATCCACAGGAACATGCCAGGTGAAGTTTTTTTTAATCAGGACCACCTGCACAGTTTTACTTGGCTCCTCTTGGCATTGGACTTTTTTTTTTTTGGTATTGACTGAGTTTTCCTTGAAATCCTTGAATTTTCAAATTCAAACATTTTTTTTCCTAACAAAACCCTCCAGGAACAATCTTGGGAATATTTATGGATGCACTAAGCTATTACTCACAAAGAAACACACCATTCAGATTCACTAAGTAACAAATATATTTTCTAAAATGGAGAAATACAATATAAAATACCCTTACCAGAAACACACAACTAGGCAAAAGATACATGTGGTAAAAATATTACAATTTCTGCAAAAATGCACTATTCCTACAAACATACAAGGTTTCATATAGTCAGAAAGTTTAACTCCCAGATAAACTGCTTCTTAAACTAAATTCAGAGACATCAGATCAATGTCTGAGACTGACTCAAACAACTTCAGAGAATAAGAAATGTAAATTTAATTCAATTTTAATTCAAATCGATCTTTATCTACAAATCAATCAACCTTTGACTCAAACAATGATTTTTTACACATTTCTTATCATTCCACTACGTGAGATGAAGCATCTGGCAAACATTACTTTTCCTCGTATAATAAGTCTCTTCCAGCTGTCTCATTACATCACGACTCCCCTTTGATGGGAGACGTGTTCCACTCCTACACATTTGTCCTTTGAACCTACAGGATTTGTGCGAGGCGCACCCCCCGCACAACCCATCTTTCTGCTCCGCACCGATCAAAATCTCCTCATACGGTGAGCGCTCCGCTCGTCAGCAATTACCGTTGCTGGAGACGGTGGGGGAGTACTGTGGGTGTGTGTGCATGTGTGTGTATCAGTGTGTGAGAAAGTGCAGGCGTGCACAAAGGGCTTAGCTGCTTTAACATGCAGAAAAGATGTCAAGTCTGTGATTACACTCCCTGATAACAAGTGCTTTAGCCGTGGATGTGTGTGCGTGTGCGTGTGCGTGTGTGTGTGTGTGTGTGTGTGTGTGTGTTGTATTTTACACTTTCAGGTTCTACGAGAGAAATTTTATACCTGTGTGAGTGCAGCCACCTGCAGACTCAAAAGCCTTGGCTAAGACAGACGCTACTGTTCACCCACTTTGTCTCAATGTACTGTAATCCTCTTTCCCTCCACATCTCAATGTTTAATTATTCTTTTCTTTTTTTCTCTTCCTTTCCTCTCTATTCTTACAGTCATTCTCTTGTCTCTCTTCTCCACATTCCCATCATCTATCTCTGACTAACAAGCAGGGTTTGTATTTCAGCAGCTGGCAGTGTGCTTTAGAAATCTATATCTATAACTATAGTACCTTCTGAGTCTCCTCTGTACTTTTCGCTCTTGCAGCTTGTCCTTGCATACTTGCCTTTCACTGAGCTCTGTGGCTTGATGCTTCCATGTCCTAACTTTGCTAGTCAATGACCGCTTACATATTTAAGTGTAAATGACTTAAGTAATAAGGAATAAGTCTTGTTTCATGGGATGGAAAAAAGGAAGGCCAGTGAACACGGAAAGAAAACTGAATGTTGAAGGTGGGGTAGAAAGGGTTCCGTTAAAGAAGCTTTTAAAAAAAGCTTTAAATATCAGTCAACAGCTATTAGTTATTGATGACATTTGGTGATATATGATATCACTGTGGTCTGTTACCTCTGTGTAGTCAACATTTTAAATTTTTTGAGCGGCCCGCTCTTTCTGACTGTAAACATGGCCATTCTCCACCTCCCCCAACCTGATTGGTTGGCAGGCAGACGCTGCTCCCCCGTGTCGTTCACTAACCCAAACAAAGTTAGCGCGCTGCAATATCAGACAGTAGAAACCAACCAGAAAGTATGGAAAATTGTCTGAATCCTCATTTGGCCATGACTGCCAACAAAAGCAAGAAAACAAAGTAAATACCGGAGACTCTGGTGGAATAACGGGCACTTAAAAAGGAGGTAGACCACTCAGACAAGAGCTAAAAAGCCAGGTCAACATAAAACAATACGGGACACTTCGGGATCTTACAGACCCTGTAACCTTTCTGCTGGACAGGTAAACCGCTTTAACATAGTAAGCCAAGTGTCTGTAACAGAAGTGTTTCTTGTCAAACGGGACCTGCTGCATGTTGTAGCGCTGCTAAACTGTTTACCTCGGGTCCTGGACTATGTCACTTTATCCTAGTTGTAGAAGTCCTGCAAATATTGTGTTTGCTGGTAGTCTGTTGGCATCTACAGTAGCAACAATGCTTTTTACTTTCACGTTGACTGGGCCCCATTTGTAATGATCTGAAGTATTAATCTGCATTATATCTGAATTTAATTGAAACGATACGAGCGAGCAGGAGCGTCTGTTTGTGGGCGGGGCTTGCTGGAGCAGAGAGGAAGGGGAGAGGAGGAGCTGAGGGGAAAACTGGTTGTGAGGGGTAGAGTTTACATTCAAGATTTCTCCCAAAAACTGGCACTTCCTCAGATCCTGCCTACCCCACCTTTAAGTGTGTGCAAATGCTTGGCAAGTGTAAAAGCGGATGCTCAGAGACATGTAGATTTTTATTTCTGAGAAGTCACAGCGTTCATGCTTTCAGCTCCGTCATCTGCTTGTCAATGATGAGCAATCATCTGCTGAGGAACAACAGTTCCACACTTCCTTTTTCAGATATAGCATACCCTGTCATGTCGGGTCATGGGGGGAAAACAAGATTATAAGGGGACTGGCTGTATGCAGCTGAAACAACATGTCCATCTGGTGCGAGAAAGCAAACACTCAAAGCAACTGAAGTGATGTGAATTGACAGACTGATGTAACCACAGGCTACTTCAGCAAGGAAGGATGAGACTGTGGGCAGTATTTGCCTTAGAATCACAGATTTATGTTATGTTTGATTTATATTATGAGATTATCAAACATTTCAACGACATGATAATACATGTAATATGTTGATGTCATTGTACCTGAAACAAACAGAAATAAAGAAACCCCTCTATTAAAAACATTACATTTGAACCAACAAAATAAGGAGAATTAGCTGAGGCAACAGTAAATAGATCTATTGCAGAGGATTATATTCTGTGACAAATGTCCTTAAGACTTAGACAGCAGGGGGTCCTGCTGGTTAGCGAGAACATCTTGTAACTGAAAGGCTGCATATTCAGTGCAAAACACATTTTCAGCCTCGCCAAGTATCATTTCCCAGTGCTTTGAAGCAGCAGCAGCAGCACTGTTAGCATGTGAAGCTGCATCCTCTGTGGTCTGAGTGTTTGTCATCTCAGGTCTGACTTTAATGAATGTTGGGCTTTTCACCCTGGTTTTCATCATCTTTCTTTTGGACAGTGTCAAATGCTCCTCTCTGAGTCATCATTCAACCTCTCTCTTTCTCTCTCTCTCACTCACTCACACACACACACACACTGAGGTCTCGAGGTTGAAAAGAGGAAGATAAAAAGATGAGAAACAGAAGAGGAGGAAAAAATGATGGGAGAACATGTTGCCCAGGAGCACATGTCGCTGTGTGGAGCATGAATCCATCCTACTTCTGATCACCTCAGAGAACAAACCACGCTTCAACAATGCCATCTAGTGACTGTTTACGGAGCTACTGCACCTGTTACCTCACCTCACACTGACAAACCTGCCACATCCAAACACCAGAGGAGCCAAATGTTATAAAAATGTGTTGAATATAATGGGGGATGATGTAACAAGGCGGGTCTAATGACAGAGGAATGGAATAAAAACCCTGAAAGAAATGCAAATTACAACAAACTATTTTCTTAATCCTCCTAAATAAGACAAGTCTGACACAGACGTTAAGTTACATATACACAATATATGTGAAAACTACCTGCCTCCTCCTCCTCCTCCCACCTGCAATCTGGCTGGGGAAGAGAGGTGTGAGAAAAAGAGGACATAAGGACTGACCAAATGGGAGAATCACCTCCTATCACACATTTAAGTTGAAAAATGTATAACTGTTAAATCACATAAACAGATTTACAGTTTAACAGGAGACATCTATCTCTTCATCCAAAAATCTGTCACCACTTACAGTTACATGATGTCTTTTGGACATAATCTTAGGAATAACTGGCTTGGCTTTTTGCCTTGTTTGGATTGTTTGACTGTTTGGTCATGAGGGAAATAAAGTAGATTGAGCGGCAGTGTCAACAGTGTCACCCTCTGTTGAGCAGTTTGTAACTCAATTGCTAGGTTTATGGGAGTCAAAAGCAAATGAGTTTGAAGAAATAGGAAGAGAGGATGAACAAGGGACAAGTGGTGTGGTGAGGCATGATAAGTAACCTATTTTCCACACCCAAACTGACGTGAAACTGCCTCCAGGGTTAAGAAACTTCTGGGTACCACTCGAGCAGAATATAGGGGAATGAAGCGACTTGACGTGACTCACAGTTATTCAATGTGCAAGGAAATTAAAACAAGCGTATCAACTAGATTACATTATTTTATACCCATCAGATACAGTGTTTGAAACACTCTCTCTCTAGTACCTGATATGTCTTGTGTCTTATTTTGTTAAGTGGAATTTTGCTCTAATCTGGTTTGAATTAATGCTGAATTTAGTACCGCTGTGGTCCATCACTGCTTTATTGTATGTGACAGCAAGTGAAAGCTTGCATACAAAAAGGACTGAAAGCAAATCATCTGACAATTTACAAACATTTATGTGCTCAACAAGGAAGTCACGTCCAAGAAAGCTTCTTACAGCAAATGCTTGTTATTATCTGTGCTTTTATATATATGTGTGTGTCGCTCAGCACTGAATGCCTGTGCATACTAATGGCATTTATTTGCAGCAGCAATGACACCTTCGAGCCGGGAGAATAGTCCAGGGAAGAAAACAAACACAGGAGGTGCTAATGAAAGAAAGCAGAGGAGGAGAGATGAGGTGTTAATATCACATGTTGTCTCTCAAGGTGTTACTGTTGGAGGGGCCTAAATTTGGCCTAATAACAAGGAAAGATGATGTCAGGAATGATACATTGTGTGCGCTTGGTGAGCTTCTATTGATAGGCTGGAGGTCACATTTACAAAGGGGAAGACACAGACAGACAGAGTAATGTGAAAACAAGCAGCAGAAACTCAGATTGCCACATCAGCTGCCTTATTTCCCTCTGTGTGCTTGATATTAATTGAGCAACCAAATAAGAAATGAGGAGTCAAGTGAAGCAATAATTACTTATTAGACAGGGTCAGTGCTGAGAACTAGAGCCTGATTTCACGTTATTCTTTCTTCGCTGAAATCACAATGCTCCCTTGTTTAAAAAAAAGAGCCAGTTGAGAGAATGCAGCGAGGAAGAATAAGAGGAAAGCAGAGAAATAAGTTTGAGTTGCACTGTGAGCTCTCCTCAAAACACTGACTATAGTTGCAGGAGAACAAAAAGAGAGATAATCCAAGTGGTCGAAGACTCATCATGACATAATATAGCATCACATATCACAGACTGTTATGATGTTTTTACATGTAAATTTATGTTCCTGCAGTATGAGACAGTATGAGTATGAGTGGTGGTAATCACTAGTGGCCCAACGATACGATATTATCACGATACTTGGACCACCACACAATATGACATTATTGCGATTTTTAACATTTTGCAATACAGTGAGCATTGCGATACCATATATTGCGATTTATGTGAATTTTTTCAACTTGACCTCATTCTAAATATTAGGCTTTCCTTTATGTTTGTCTTATTTACGCTGTACTTTATTTTCATGTAGCACACCTTGCAAACCTTATGTATATATATATATATATATATATATATATATACAGTATATATATATATATATATATATATATATATATATTTGTTGTACTAACTTTCTCCTGCTCTATGATGTCACTTCTGCCAACCTCACTGGACAAACAGTTGATTTTATTTTTCAATGTCAAAGATTTGACTCTATATTGGCAATTAATTTGAAAAATCGATACTCTGTAAATGAGACGATACAATTTATCACCAGACAAGATATCCCAATACTATGCTGTATATATTTTTTCTCCCACCCCTAGTATGAGACTTTTCCACCCAAACACCTTCTCTTCTCTTTTTGCCTTTTTTTTTGGTAGGACAATGATAGGAAATATGGGGACAGGAATTAATTCTACAACCAATGTAATGAGGACCAACCAAGATAAACTGGTGCACTGCAATAGACAAAACAGATATAGACAAAATGGTCTTGAATTGCTTTTTAAAAATCTCTACAGAGTCCACGGTTCACAGTTCCAGTGAGGTACAGTTCTAAATTTTAATGAGCAATGACTTCAAATGCAAGGCTCCCTTAAGCTTTAAGCCTAGTCTGATGAACAACCAGCAAACCCTGACCAGAGGACCTCAAAGTCTGCTTCAGCAGCTCTTTGATATTAGCTGGAGCTTGATCATGCGATTCTCTGTACACTTTGACAAGTGTTTTGGACCACCAGAGCAAAGACGTGAGGAGATGTAATGTCAGACCCTTTAATGATTTTATCAATAGCTTAGCAGCACCAGTTTTGGACCACTCGTCACCAGGCTCAGGGTCTGGACTCTTTGGACACCATCATTGCAAAGGGCAGGCTCAGCAGTAAAGGGATAAAAGATATTCCCGCTACAGAGCGGACTTCAAGCTTGAAGAACGCTATTTTGAAGTGCATCACATGTCCATCATGATGTCTGTTTTCTAATCATTTTACTGGTGTCAGCCTTCACACATTGATCTTCAACAACACTCAAAGTTGATGAAGCAGTTTGTCAGTCGCCTCCTTGAATTGTGCTGTACACCTCTGTACATATCTTTATATCTAACAGCATAATAACAGCACGGAAAAGGAAGCTGCACTTGATTGTTTATCATCTGTAGCACGTTGAGGGGAAACCTCTCCCCACTCTCCTATATAATGTCTGCAACATAAACACCATCTTTTCTTGGTTCATCACATCCCCAGGGATGGTATCTGTTCAACTGTATCTGGTGAGTCTTAGTTCAACAGTACACTATAAATTACACAAAGACTTTACCTTGGCTTACTTCAAGGCTTCATCAAGACAAAGAAAAACATTTTAGCATGTTTGACTGACACTGAATCAGTAGTATTACAAAAGACAACACTCTGGATCCACAGTCTCCCCTTGTTTCTGTACAGTTGAATTGTTAATCACACAATCAATGTATTGGTACATGATTTATAATTAGAAACCAACTTTTGAAACTTTCAGACAAATGCTTCAGTGAGGGAAAGGAAAACACCATATATGAACTCTATGAACCTCTTTTAATGCATTATTAGCACATTTATTAAGTCTTAAAAAGTCTTCTTTAAGATTTTATAATAACCCTTATGAGTCATAAAAAACATTCCAAAAGCTTACAGAAATGTGTATTAATTGTTGTTATCAGTGTCTTCTGAAGGTATGGTTTATTATGCTTTACACATTAATGCAAAAGAAAAGATTTATTAATATAACAATGTACTATTATTGTGAAGTATTTTTGTCTGACACTTAAAATACAGCCACAAAATACTACTTATAAGTTCTTAAAATGTTTTAAGAATATATAATTGTTCATAACTTCATACAGTGCTGTCACTTAAAGTGCCCTAAGCCATGCTTTAGCATGTTGTGAGTATTAATAAGGCATTTTTCAAACTTAGAATAATTGAAATATTAACTTTTTTTTTGATACATAGACTAAATTGAACCTTTATAACTGGGTAAGCTGTGAGGGTTATAGTGTCTTACAAAAGCCAGAGTTCAAAAGATGCATATGTTATTTAGCATCGGAGTATAATGCATTATAAATACTTTGATAAGGAATTGTGCTTACTGCCAATAATACCTCATGAATACTGCAGTAAGCTGTTACAAATAATAATTACTTATAAGGATTGTTAGAAAGCCTTATAGATGCATTTATATGCTTTATAAATGTGCTTATGATGCATTATAAGAGGTAGATTCATATAAAGTGTTTACAGGAACACTTTTCACCCTGTTGAAAAATATAGAATAGGAGGAAAGATTACTATCAGGTGATGTACAGGAATTGGGAATTCTGTACTAAACACAAATGCAAATGCTATGCTTAAAAAATAAAAAAATATATATATAGTAAGCAAGGAATCTGTAAAAAGAGTGAACTGTGAATGAACCTTGCAGGCAGATTTCCACACACGCACACAGTCCTCTGATGTAAATAAACACTGAGTCTGCTTAATGCACAGGTATGCTCACATGTGTAGATGCGATATATATTTGCGCATACACACACAAATAGTCCCAGCAGTGGCAGTTGGAGCTGAGCCAGGAGTAAATGGCTAATGTGAGTGTTTGTGACAGGCAGCCCCAGGCAGTGTGGGGAGCAGCTCCGCTCTCTGACAGGTGTTGCCTCCACATTCTTCTCTCCTCCACCTCGCCCCATCTCTGACACACAGCCTACCTGCTGTGGGAGCCAGGAGCACACATGGGGAAAGAGACTGAGGGGTGTTAGCTATATATATATATATATATATATATATATATATATATATATATATATATATATATATATGTTCGTCTATTGTGTGTGGATGTATTTCTGTGCCTGTGTGTCTCCACTGGGAAATAAGGCAGCTCCAACACTACTCAAAGCTAAGCGTTTAAAAGGGGAATGGGGAAAGAGAGGGTGGCACAGAAACTTTTCCAGTAAGCTTCCTGCTGTGTTGTTGCTAGGAGATGCAAGGTTGACAGAAAATGCAAAGAGGAGAGGCAAGACCACCTGCTAAGCTCAGAGATTTGATACTGGCAGGGCTCTTCAATCAGATCCACCGGTGCTTTCAATTTTTCCTAAAGCTGAAGCAATGCAACAAGATGTATATAAACCAAGCGTGTCTTCCTTTTTAATGTTGGTAGGGAACTATTTCAGACTTCTGCCTCTTTTGGGTGTTAAGTATGTGTCAAATTTAAACACTGGAAAAAAAACAGAATGGGGAACAATGACTGTGTTTGACAGGTAGGCAAGAAGAAGAGGGATGTAGAGGTGAGCTCAAACAAGAAGGAAAGGTGAGAAGGATATAAAGGTAGGAAAAGAAAGCCAGTGGAGAATCAAAGTTACATGCTGTCTTGGTTTCCTGGCATGTCTGTATGGATGTTTATCAAGTTCCTAACCACATTGGAGGCAGCAGAAAAAAAATCTCCATCTACTTTTTATCATTTATACAGATGGCACTCTACATTCAAATGAATACACACTCACAATGTGATAAAGAGACAACCTGTCAACAACACCAGACACTTAAGTCAATGTTAGGACGATTGTTATTTTCAGTCCCATACAGCCACAGACAGAAGAAACCTCCCAAACTGAACACAGACAGCTGCACAATGCACACACTAACTCTCTCTGTTAACTTGTCATGTCAAAAAAGTATGGAAAGTTGTCAGGGAGTTAAGTCTCACATACCAATGCCTGAGACCCTATCAGTGTAAGCTGAGCCAGCAGGTTTATTCAGTATTCATTAAAAGGCCCGCAGTCTGTAAAGACACCACAGGACAGATCAACCGGAGAGCAGAGGCAGACAAGACAGCCTTAGAAAATCCAGTGTTTTATCTTCACTGAAAAAGGTAAACAGGGTGCGAGGGTGCAAATAAATCATTGCAATACATCATCAATATCTGTACGGGTAACACTGCAAACAGTCTGGGGAGAACAATCTGTGTATTATTTGTTTTATCATTTGTTCATTTGTTCCCAAAACTTTTTCATTGCAGACATTTTGTCATCAAGAGAAGTTGTAAGTGATGTAAAACCAGGTGAAACTGAGCAAATCATAATGATTTAGAGCAGCTTTTTCATTGGTTTTCTTTACATGTTCTAATGATGATGATTATACAAATAGCTTAGGACGTGAAATAAGGAGGAGAAAAATTATGCTATCATAAGAAAACACTGAACATAAAGATCACCCCGCAGAGAGCTTTCCAGTAGCACAAGCTCACGGCTGAGTTGTCCTTTTAAAACTGAGCAGTAGAGGGTGCTGTCGGCTTATGCAAAAGATGTAGTGCTTCGAGATAATTGTATATATGTGCATGACAAAATGCTGATAAAAAGTCATTTTTATAAACTTGCCTTTTAGTCTTTACAGACACAAGACATTTTGAAGTGCTGTGGTCCTAAGTGCATCAAAAAATCCAGTTTTACCAACAAAGAAATGTATGGATAAACTAAACCAATTCACAGTAACAGCTGTTCAAAAAATAATTACTAATTATAGGTTTTGGTAGCTCACATTATGACAATTTTTTTGTTGCACAAGATTACTTTTTTGAGAGAAAGTACAGTATAAATAAATAAATAAAATCAATAGTTTAAAGACTTTTCAGTACATTACAGTAGAGCTCATCATGAGGACCCCTGTTGTAGAAGTACAGCTTTGGCTTCTGGGGTAGACCCAGAAAGTATCACTCACCAGTAGCTTGGCCTTTCCTTGCTCTTCATGAACTTTTCCTCTCTCCAGGATGAGGGCAGGGGCCAGTCCATCTCGGCCTGTGGTTGTTGCCGACTCTCTCTCCCTCTGGGCCAGCTGCGCCAACTGCTCCTCTACCAGGGCCTGCTGACGCTCAAAGCTGAAGTAGGGAAGATAAGAGCTGTTTTGACATTTAACCTTTATTTGTGTCATGAAAGTCTGCCAAACATACGAGTACTTGGTCCATCAACGAGTTCACAGCAAGGTCAGAGATATCCATTTCTGTTGATTAACAACAATATTGATATTTTTGGAAACATGCATTTAAAAGCCAAAGTGAATCTTCAAAAAGTAAACCTGTATCTCTGCACTGGTCTGGTAATGGTAAAACAAAATGCCCATTTAGACCCTAAGACATCTTAAAACATTTATAATTCAACAATATTGGAGTACATAATATTGTTATGTCATGATAACCTGTTTATTTTTGTGTCTGATTTTCCAGCATATAAATCTTTAGAGGCCTGGGATAGTATATGAGCATGCCAGCAGCATAGCAGCATGCCTGTGATTTAGCACAGGCAGTGTTGACAGGTCACTCCAAATGCCTATGTTCTCCATAAAGAGTACACATTAGCACCAAGTGTATACAAATCTAAAGTATATGACATAGACTGAGTTGGATTTCAATATTCTGCACATGAGCTAGTTCTCAAGTTGAATATGCAGTGAAAAATTGACATACCTGGAGGTTGTTAAGCTGTAGGCAAGTCAATGCTCATGAACAATCAAACAAATGCACAAACAAAGGTGTAGTGGGTGCTTGAATTATGACAGAGCAACAACAGATTACAACGATTTTAGCTTCTTGGTGACCTACTTTTTGCGGATTTCTTCCTGAATCTCTGAACTGGAGGGCCCTGTTGGTTTTGCACCTGAGAATCAAAAGGGGTAAGTGTAAATATTAGAACAGGTTTGGAGAACAGAGCAACAAGAGCAAGAAATTGTTACCCAATTACACAGGGTTACATTCTGGCCAATTGTGCTGCCTGTGGAATGATTCTGTATCACTCAGTCAGTCTCCTAAAAATAAACTCTCGTTAAACCATGTCTCTAATGTTGATGTAATAATAACAGTTTTATTTTTGTTAAACTTACAGAAAAACAAAACATGCTCTTGCTCTGACATTCATCCTGACACTATTCTCACGAGTCACTGTGTTGAAACATGTTTGCTGACATACTAGGCCTCCCAATGAGAGTTCTGTGAGAAAAGAAAGGTCTTTGACACTGACTTACTTGGTGGTGTTTTCTTACTTTCTGGTGGGGATGGCGGGGGCTTGGAGCTGTCAGACCCCTGAGCCTCCCTCATTCGCCGGAGCACTTCATCAGAGAGCTGGACAAGAAAAGTGTGAGTTTACAAAACATACTCAAAAACAGTTAAAGCACCAGGATGTGCACATAGGGCACATGGATGTTTTCAGAATCTACAAGATAAAGACTCAAAAGCTAGAGGCCATTATAATGTCACCAGTAACTTGTCTACTAGGGGTGGGAGAAAAAATTGATTCACATAAGTATAGCCATTTTTTGTTTTACAATTTTTAAATCGATTTTTAAAACTGACTTATATGTGAGGTGTATTCAACTGTTTCACTGGTGTTTAGACTAGTTTAGACTAAATCTCGAGAAAATCGACAATATCGTAGAATCACAATTTAAATCAAATTGGCATCCGAAAAATCGTAGAAGAATCGAATCAGGAGAAAAGCATATCGTCCCAGCCCTATTGTCTACCAGCTCCAGATGTGCTGCTGCAAAGCTGTGCCTCACATCTCTGGTTATATGACAAAGAGTGGCTACAGTTGTCTACACAATCAACACATAAATGCATAATAAATTAACCTTTCCTCAGTACAATATGCAGGTTCACTGGGTCTTCGCAGTTTTCTGAATATCCATTGTTATTATACAACACTGCTGTGTAACATTTATGCTTCTACATTAAAAATGTCTTATAATTAACTTTGTGTTCTTGCACTGCAAAAACAGCCCTACTAGAAAGAAGCAAAATATCCCTATATTCAATCAAATAAGCAAAAAAATCTGCCAATGGGGTGAGCTTTTTTTGCTTGACAAGAATTCTCAAAATGAGAACAAATTTCTTGGCCCTGACAGACTCAAATGAAACTTAAAACTAGACAGAAAAAAATCTTATATTAATCTAATTTTTTCTACAGCAAGCAATGAAAAATGAAGATGAAGTTACTTAAAATTAGAATTTTTGTCTCTTGAATAAATCAACTTAAAAAACACACCTCAATCTCAGATTATTAATGAGCATGACAGCAGTTCAAATAAGACATAATTTCTTAAAACAGCATAGCAAATATAAGTGACGTTATCTTCAATCAAGATACCAAAACATTCTCATTAAATATATATTTTTTATTCCACAAGCAAGCATGTGGAAAGCAAGCATGTTCTTTGTTGTTTTGCAGTTTTTATCTGGTCACTGTATTATGTTGTCTGTTGTACAGACTAGACTACTGACATCTTTATATGTCAGATAATGGATGAGGCAGCAGATTCTGTCAGATTCAAATGACCTGCAATGGAAATCTTAATAAAACTGTTCTTGTTTCATGGAATTCTTCAATTGAGAAGTTGTACATATGTCTAATGAGATGAGTGATCTTGTTGCTCTGCTGGATTTTATTGTAAAACATTTTCTACTCTATTTCTGGTTCATTCTATCTCAAAATTAACTAGAATATCTTATCAAGATAAAGTTAGTCGTTTTCTCTTAAAATTAGATATTTTTTCTAATGCCAAAAATGCTTGACAAGATCAATATTCTTTCTGTACAAAAAAAATAAGACTTATTTCCTTAATACAAGGCTGTTTTCCTTTCTTGAAATTCCTTTTCTGCAGTGTGCTGTTTTGGCTTTGCTTTGCTTTTGTTTTAATAACTTTAAATGTCCACTTTTCACGATCGTTGCTGCCGAAATGTATCATATAAACTCGAAATGACTTGAACGTACAAAAGTGTAGCCGTCCATTTTTCTTGCCGTTTGACGTCACAAAATGATAACATTTACAGCAGACGTACGTAGCAGTAACGTAACATTTACGTTGCGCTAGGAAATTCCAACACTTTCCAACAGCCAACATTTCCAACATAATGTTAGGCTGCTTAAATGGTAACCGCTTTATTTGCATTTCGCAAACAACTAAATGTTGTGAATTTTAAACTCCATATGAGATAGGTCGGAGTTGAAGTTGTGTTCTTAGAGAGCGTAAGACTGAGAGGACATTGAGGGGTGAAAGCGGGTATGAGGAGTCATTTAAGGACACGGGACCTGTCAGCCTTCACGCACTACCGCACGAGCCTCCTAGCTAACCGTTATTAGCTTCAGTGGCCGTTGTCTACTGTAAACACGGGTGTTCAAACTTAAAACTCACATTTTTCACGAAATTGCCAAATATTGAACATCTACCTTTACCCCCTCAATTACGGTGACCTTCTCGTCTTCGTCCAGTCCGTACGAGACTTTCCTGGTCGTGCTGCTGTTGCCTCCCATGGTGAGGAGCTGTCGAATCCCACCTGCTTCAAATCAGCAATGAAAAGCCCTGTCTGCAGCTGGGACAGGGACACATACAGATGAGACAGCGGCTGGAGGCGCCACCACAGCGGCCGGTGCTTAAAACACTTCAATAAAGGTCATCCTGGCGCTGCAGTATCCTCACTGCTCATTCGCTGGATGAAATAATTCAGACCCAATGATTTGCAGTCGTGTGCTGTCTTAAATCGACCAAGGGTTTGTGGGAATTGTAGTTAGCCGGTCCGTCATCTCAAAAGTAAAAATGAACTTGCTGAGTTTTTTTCAATCAAATTACATTGAAATTAAACACAATATTGGAATAACAGCTGCGTTTAATTCACGAAGAAAAATCTATGCGAGAAGAGCGTTTCCTTAGTGCAGTTTCCATAAGAAACCACTGAGAGGAGTCAAGGAGTGAACTTGAGTGTACTGCAGTACCTAAACCAGCCACAGTGTGGTGTCTTGTCTCATCCCAAAACAGAGATAAAAGAGTCCTTGGTTTATTTTTAGGGGTCAGGGGAATGATCAATACTTTTCATGGATACGGGGTGGATATGATACAATAAATGCACTTAAATAAGAAGGCAATATACAGATCAAATGCAAAATCATTCAAAAATCTGACACCTTGTGTATCCGGATGGTGAACACATTTCTGAGAGCCATCTCATGAAACAGCAAACTCATGTCCAATTATTTTAACTCAAACCAATCACCAGCATTCAAATGTTAATAGAGAATATTTTGAGCAAACACTGCTTTTCTAGGAAATAAACAAATTTGTTCCTGTGGTGTTTTTCATTAGGATTTTAAAAGAACCTCTTATCTTATCTTTAAGAAAATAAATGTAATAATTCTTTCTGTGTACATGACCTCCCAGACTATGAATACTGCTAGCTCAATACAGTAATCCTTTCACTTTATGAGTGTAATGTTTTTAGGAAAACTCTCAAACAACCCACATATCCTTGGTAGCATAGTGTTAGCAAATGTGATGAGAGGTGGCTTACAAAATACTTATCAGGCGTACTAACGCTGAGATGAATGATGAGGGCTTCACAAGTTGAACAAAGAAGCGCACAAATCAAGCCTAAAACAGGTCAGAGTAAGAAAAAAAGTATTTGTAAACATCCAGTAGATTCTTCATAAGTCTGAAATTTGATGGTGAAGCCTCTCTTGCTCATGGGGAATCTACAAAATGAAACAGCAATCGTACCTTCATGTGATACAATCAAGTTGTGCAATATCAGACACGGTCTCATTTCACCACGTAAGACATTTGCCAAAATTGAAAGGAAGTTTGAGAACAACAGATGTTAACGGAACAATTAAAGCAAGTATTTATAAGAGCGATGCTTCTGCAGCGAGCAAAGCTAACCAGGGACATTAAGAAGAGTGCACAACTTATTTGGAATACATAAGAAAGGATTCTGCCCTGTTGTTGTTCAAATCACATTCAAAATAACAAAAATCACATTCCTTATAAATTATGAAGAAATTGAATGTGCGTTCAGTAGCAGGAATGTTCAATCTTGCATTAGAATAAGAAACTGAAAAGGAAAGAAATCGCAGTGATTTGTTCTTCTGTGTGAGTCAAACCTAGCGAGGAGCCTCACAGACGCTTTGTGATCTTAAATATGAATCCAACGCCTCTGTTTAGGAGCTAGTGACACACCTTTTCAAAACTCTTTGCCTGCTCACAGCAAGGACAGCACCTGCTTTAAAGGGACAAATAAAACAATGCCCTGTGCTGAAGAGAGGCACGGTGAGTCAGAAACAAAAAAAAGATTAGACAGCTGTGTTAAAATATAACACAGACAGCAGCAGACCACAAAGCCAACTGAGACATTGTTTCTCAAAGCCTGCAGTAGGAATGTAAAGATGTTGAGTGTCATCAAAAGAATGAGTCTTCAGATGTGGTGTAATTCAAACACCACTAAACTTCATTTGGGGTTAATCACTTGATGCATGATGCTGGAATGACAGAAAACGTGTTGCAAAAAGTTGGAGAGTCCCCACACTTGAGAGGAACTGAATCAATACAGGGTCTGTGGAGGCTGCAGTAGGAGGACAGTACTCCTACTGTGCTAAAGCTACAGCAGCAGTGCACTCTGGCGACAGTGTTACAAAAGCTTTGCTTAATTTATAATCCTCAGTTTCATTTGTTAGCAAAGGCCTCTCTTTAAGTGTCCACTCAAAAGTTTCCTGATGTCAAAGAAAGACCAAAATAACCCTTCCCCAGTGTCTCACAACATTGCTCTGCAATTTTTGGCCGGCTCTTCAAATTCCCAACCAACAAACCTCATCACATCATGAACCGCTTTAAGTCCCCCTCTTCCTGTCCTTCCTCCTCCTTACTGATTCATACATTGATAGGTCTCCAGCGATCAGCTTCAATACTGTTTATGCTGCTGGACCCATAGGGACCAGAGGCCACATCATCCAGGTATGCTCCGACCACACGGGAGCTGCCTGGACCTGAGCCGTCGATCTGGGTGGAGGAATAGTACAGGCCCTGGTCTGTCATCTCCTTTCGACCAAGAGTTGCAGCAATGGTCGGCGGGAGGTGGACATCACTTTCATCTGGTTCATCCATCTGTGACTTATAGGAAAATAGGATCTTCGGCTCTGAGCTGTGGAGAGGAAAAAGTTGTATAATAAAGGAAGACAAACGCAGGTATTCTGTGCACTTCGTATGATTTTTCATACATACCCAAAGAAGCCCTTGAGGAATGTGACATAGATGAGCGGAGCAAAGGCGGAGAAGTAGAGGAAGGTGGTGACATCGACACAGCTGGTTTAGGAAGTACAAAACAGTGTTTGCTATGTTTGAGATTGCATTAACACTCTTATGAAAGCTGCAGGACAAAAGGGTCAACAGAGTCCACAATTCAACAGATTTCTGGCAAAAGAGAGTTCAGTCCAAAATAAAAACATCTGTTATGTCCTCATCTGATCACATAAACTCAAATGAACTTCAGTGGCTCCACCAAAACACAGAATCATCTGAGTTGATTATTTTATACTGACCAGAGTCCCTCTATGACTCCAGCACACAGTAGGGAGCTGCCCAGGCCCTGGACCAGGTTCAGTACAGACAGGATGGCAGCATACACATAGAAACTCCTCTTGGCTGGACGAAAAAAGAAAAAAAATCAGTCATATGGTCATTAGTAAAAAGCCATTTTAAGCATGCATTACAGCCTGAAGTACAACATTTCAAATTCCATCATAACTACATGGAATATAATGCTCATCACTGGACCTCTTACATATAACTGAGGGTCTTAACTGCAATGAAATCTGCAACTTACATGGAAGAGATATTCTCTCTCTCACTGGAGTTTTAGGCAAAATCACAATCAAAGAGTAGACCTGCGAAAAGAAAAGATCATTAGACATCATTTATCATTACCTGGCAACAGTTCATTATGTTGCACAGCTGCAACACTTACAAGGAAGAAGAAGCAGGAGCTGGCCAACCAGAAGTGGCGTCCTCCGTGACCGTAGATATTAAAGTCTTCAGCAGACAGGTGACTGTCTGGGTACAAGATCTCGAGTGTGCCCTATAAAGATGAATACCCGTTTATTTGAGCTTCACTTGCATGCACAATGAGAAAATCCCCAAAATTTCACACTGTTTAATGCCCACTGAGTTTCTGAATATTATATGACATTACCTGTGTGATGGAGTAACCCAGAGCCAGCACAGCAGTGATAGCCAACACACGCTTTATACTGGATTTACTCTCCAAGTGACCTGATAAATGAATGAACACAGAGGATTATAAAACACAAAAAGATGTACAAATGTTGAGTCACATTCATTTTTAGACTCACTGCAGAGGAAAATGAAAATAAAAGGAAATTTTGAAACAAATGAGTCATGTGAAAAGACTCATGCAAACATCATAGTGGTTGACTTATTCAGTAAAGGAGAACTGAAAAAAGTCAAACAAACTTACCGAAAGCCAGACCCAAGATGATGACACTGAGTTCGATCGCCAGCAAAAAGAAACGGGTGATTTCCCACAGCACCTAAAGAGACAACAGACATGACGAGAATCCTCAGTAGCAGACTGAGGCTGTTTTATAACACCTATTGATCCAGAACATATGCAAACTCCACAGGACAGGTCACACTCCAGAGTATTACATAATTGCTTGTTTTTTTTCTCTCTCTCTCTTTCAAGCAGAGTAGCCATGGCAGTGTGTAGTGGGAACAGTGGGTCATCAGTGGTAACTCTACAGAGATCTGTCTGGTATGTGAGGAATGTCAGACATGCTTTTCCTTCTGGACATAAAAGCCAAACAACACAGTCATGTTGAAGCTCATTTCAACCACACCAAATATTGAAAAATACAAAAACACTGGGAAAAAAATCGGGTGTTGGTTATCACAGTATGTAAGATGAATTTAAGCTTCAAAAACTATAATCCGTCTCTGCTTTAAGGTGCTTTTTTATTTCCTATGGATGATTCGTAAGGATTCACCTCCACTGGGATACAAATTATTGGAATCACATGTTAACATCAGTATCATGTGATGAGTAAAGCCCTAAGTGTGTTTCAAGTTTGAGGAAGTGAGAAGTAATTCTAAACGTATACATTCCTGAAGCATCAAACTATATCACAGCATTATATAACAGCTGTGATATTTCAAAAGTATTCACAGTTAATGTTTTTCATCTTTTTTTAAACATTAATCTACTATTCAGGATAATGTCCATAAGCACTGTTACAAAATATCAAATGAACTTTTAACAATACTATTAAGTAAAAATAAAATAATGATATATTTTCATTTTAAATTAACAACCAAATCTGGTTGGATATGGAATATGAGTTTCATTAAAAAATTGCCTATCTTTAGAACTGGTGTTATGAAAAAATATCAAATGAGGAGCAAAAGAAGAGATCTTAATTATGTGTCATTTCCTATATGTTCAATGTAAAAGCTGTTGGGAAATACTGTTTGCCACTGGTGGAAACAGTTAGCAGCTTTAACCACACATACAATGTCTTTTCAGAGGGGAATAAGTGATACAATGATGGTGAGGCTAGTTATCTGTTACATTGGGAGTAAAGATAAATGAATGATTTAATTTTCAAACATACTCATTAGAATTACAAAAATGTGTATCATGCTTGATGCGCCCCTTACTTTGTCTATGATGGTGGCGGCACTGGACGCACTGACGGTCATGGACACTACAGCCCGAGTGATTCCAACAGCTGCTACAACAAATACCTAAGAAGTGCAGGGTACAACATGTTAGACCAGTCCTCTGAGTACAATAAAAACATATGCTGGGGTAGGATAGCCATCAGCAACAATGCACAGCTCCACACTGGGGACAAACAATGCACAGACTTCCTTCCCTATAGCCTTGTCAAGTATTACTGAGCTGAGATATCCTCCTATCTATAGAGCCTTGAGTCAGGTCATAATCATAAGAATGGTTGAAAAGATACAGTTGTTGTGAAATTTGAAGAGTAGGGAAATTCCACCCGCAAAATTTATGAACTAAGTGTGACCTTAAAATAAAAACAAAGAACTAAAAATATTTCTACAAGGCTGTTTGAATGTTTTAAAGAATAAATCAAAAGTGAAAGCTATTCCAGTATACACCGTCTCTTCAGACTGTTGGGAGAAATCTAAAGCACCTTCAATCATGTTTTACCATAGTCTGATTAAATCATCTGAAGTTATTGACTGAAACTTTTTATTGAATTGTAACATGCCAACATGTTAGAGGCTAGAGATCACAGTTTGAACACACTTTTTGGGTGTTTCTGTAGTTTGACCTACCAGCAAGTAAAAGGTGACAAAGATTGGACTGGAGGTGAGTCGAATCTTTGCCCTGGCTGAAGGCAGCTTCCACATCAGGAACACAAAGAAGGCCACATTAGGCACAAGCAGGAATATGTCCCAGAACCGCACCCTAAGACCAACATAGATGTAAAGATACAGAGAGGACATTGTGGAACTTTCCAGAACACTTAAGTTAAGCTGCAACACTCCCATGTCTCCCATGTCATTTATCTATTTGCTTGATATTCACTTTGAACGGTTACTAATTGATTTCCATGTTGTATTTCCAGCACTTCACCACACATGTCAAACACCAAGAACTCTTTGCAATGTCTTTTTACCTGGAGTTTCCAACATCTTCATACAGGACCTGAAGGCATTTGTGAGGTTTGGTGATGTTACTTTCAGTATCAGGTTGCCAGGTGGGGAATGCTGATGTGTTCTCCAGAGGTGTGGGTGTAACACTGCCATTGTATTGAGCAAACCTAACCACAGCAGTCACTGTGGCTAGCATGGTGTCACAACCTGAAGGGACACAACTCAGTTTAGGGAAACAAGTTTGTATAATATTTCTTAAGTTAAGAAAGATTTTTTTTTTTACATAAGAACCTTCATTTTGAAAGAAAAGTCCTCTTACTGAGATATAAAAGTGAATGAGATCTATGCTTGACTTTAACACCAGGCACAGCTTTCTGTGTGCAACATTATGTAACCAGCTTAGCTGCTTTATCAGCTATGCGTGCTGTTTCAAGGAGTGCTCTTATTTCTAACAGTAAAACTATTTTTCTGTCATAATAAAGTAATTCCCATTCAACAGGTTAACAGCTGACAAAATACTCAAACTTTTCTTCCTTAGCTAAAGTTTTACAAAGACATAACATCAATATCAGCAAGAGCTTCCTTACATGAGCTCGGCTGTTAACGTCAAGCAAAGCACTTAAGAGCCAAACCTGAGTCTTTCTTATGATCGATCATAATCATAATTCTTTCTGCTTAGAGGTGTTTAAAGGGGATTTCAGGTGTCGGCTAACGCTGCTAACATCGCTTCACTAGCAAGTGACGGTCTCAAAATGATATATTTACTGTGACATATCCTCCAAGTACTCGTTAGATACCAGCACAGATAATGGGGATATATAGTGATGATACCCGGTGTTGGATAATTTAGAAGAAGTAACACAGCTTTAAAGCCGACTGGCTCACGTTAGCATCATAACAAACGTGATACTAGTGCGAGTGTTATAACAGCGACCCGACGTTACGAACGCTCTTCTTAGTAAAAGAAAAAAGACCAACTTACCAACTCAGTATACTCAAACACAGGCGTACGAGTGCTGTAAAATGCTTTAAAAACAATCCGACTTTAGAACATGGTCCAAACGCTGTAATCCATCAATAAATTGATCACTAATGCAGGACATAGCTGCACCCGATAGTTTCGTTGACAAAATTTCCCGTGTGGTCAGCTGACACTCTCACCCACAGGAGCGGAGAAAGTCTCGCGAGAAGATACGGTGACGTGTTGTTGTTGTAGGTTTCCATTTCCAGCCTCTTCACAGAAAGGTCATGGGAACAGATAAACTCAGGACTATATTTCTATATTTCTTTTCATGGTGACAGGGCTGATTGTTTTCTTCACACTTATTTGATTCGTAGCAAAAAAAAGTATCCGACCCCGACCTATGAAATGGTGAATGACACAGAGGTTTCTGGAAACAATACATTAATTTGAGATGACAGTCATGGGTCAATTTAACACAAAAGTGTATTATGTAGAATCTCTTACATAATACACTTTTGTGTTAGATGTCCAGATCTAAACAGGCACAGGCGAGTTAGCTGGAAGTAGAAGTGAATGATTTTTAAAATTGACAGTACTAAAACCAAAAACTGGACTGAACACACACACACTCACAACCACTGAACCACCACTTACAACTGTCTACAATTACCTGCACTTTATATCTATATTGATTGATTGATTGATTGACTGATTGAAGTTTATTTTGAACATATAAAAAAATAACAATAACAAAATTAAAGAATACAATAACAAATAAAAAAGTTATTCAAGTTCAAAAAGGAGAGTGAAGAAGTGGAGACTTATCAAGTCCCACCCCGTCTCCTACACTAATGGTTTAAATATATATCATAATATTATATAATAATATTAAATATCTTAGTAATAATAGAAATAAAAATAATCACCACTGTGAAAATAACAAAACAACAACAACAAAACAATGATGATAGTGATAATAGTTACTATGATTGTACATCCCTGTGTCCCATGAAAAAATATTCTTTATATTTTGTTTTAAACTGTTTTATGTTTGGACATTGTTTTAACTCCTCACCCATACTATTCCACAGTCTCACCCCACAGAATGAAATGCAAAATTATTTTCTGCTTGTGCGGATTTTATTAATTTTTAAGTAATGCCTCCCTCTTAATTGATAACCCCCCCCCTCGATCCCCAAACAAATTCTGTATATTTTGTGGTAGAAGGTTATTTTTAGCTTAATGCATAATTTGTGCTGTTTGGAATTTCACAATGTCTGTAAGTTTAAACAATTTTGACTGTAAGAAGAGTGAACATAAGTCCACAATTAATAAAAGAGCATGTTCTTGGTCTTGCAGTAAACTTGGTACATATTGGAAAAGTAAACCTTATGTTTAATACAAAAATTCAGGAAAAAATGGAAACTTGATCTGCGCGGTAAATCCCTGAATTGAAAACTCCTAATCTTTAGCCAGTATGAAAAAAGGGCTGTTTTGTTTGGAATGGTGACTGAGATAAAGTTAATCTGGAGAACATGGAAAATGGACTTTGTACTCATGCATGATTAGTGTTTGAAAGAAATCATGAACACATCGCATTTGACGAGACTGAGACTTTTTAATGAAGACAGGGGAGGTGTGTTAAAGATCAGAGATATTGTGCTGCATTTTTTTCATTCAAAGAAGTAATGTTTCCAGTACAAATTTTCAATTATTTTGAAAAGTAATCATAAATATAACAAAACACAAAATATAAACATGACTGCTTTGAATATAAAAGGAAATTATAATACACTTAATATTTTTACAAGGTTTGTGCCTGTTGTGTTTACGATTTACAGTCCATATTGTAATATGCATTATGAAGTAAGATTTAAAACAATAAAACAAATGTAGTCAAACATTTTAATTCTGTATTTGGGTATTATATTTCTAGCACACTGCAATAAGGTTCTCATCTGAGAAACAACATAAGCCTGACACATGCACACATAAATCAGCTTCCTATCAACTGTGCTTCCATCCTGTAATGCAGAAGGTGTTATGAATGAATAGTGACACGTGCATTGGGAATCCCTGACATCATTCTGTAGGCCAGGTGCACTGGTTCAGTTAGGTTAGCCTTAAATGTGTACACATGAGTCTTCCCACTGATGGAGCTGATGTTGTAAAAGCTTAGCCTGTGCGTCTTGAAACTCAGCCTTATCTCCAGCCTGCACGACACTGTGGTCCTCTTCAGGGGAACACTGTGACCCTGCTCAAAGGCTGTCAGCAGGTTGTTGAACCACATCAGACACCAGGAGCTGCGGCTACTCTCAAGAGCTGACGGCAACCCGCTACGCGCAAGCTTTTCACTGTAGCATATGCCGATGATCCAGGGAGACCCCTCCAACTCTACCTCCCAGCTGTGCTCTCCTTCAAAGAAGCTCTGGGTGCTGAGGACCTGGAAGAAGCTTGTGAACCTCATTGGGGAGGGTGGGTAGGGTTGTTTAGTGGCACTGAAAGTCACAGTCTTCAAGTCACCTGCTAAGACTAGATTAGGATGGGCTGTTTCAGGGTCAAAGGTCACCTCTGAAGGGTTGATGGTGTTTCGAAGGGAGCGCTGAATCTCTCTGAATCTTTCCCTCGTTTCAGCATTCACCTTTACGAGTTTGGGACAGGCTTTTGCCACATTTACTTTAGGTGCAGTTTGGTCGTCTTCTTCTACAGGCTTGGCCAGGAGCTCCATAATGCGAGGCTGTAAAGTCTGGAGGTCATCAGTGAATGTAGCCTCATCCTCTTCAGTCAGAAGGGACTCTGCAGTAAGAACAGCTTGTCTCAGCTGCTTGGTCAGCTCCGAAGCCTGGCTGATGCGATGGCTTATACCTTCTTCACATGGACCCAGCTCTTCTTCGATCAGCTGCATCACCTGTGTGCTGTAGCTTTGCATCAGAACTTTTACCTGCTCCAATAGTTCGGATGCTTTCTCTCTCAGCTGATTATTAGCAGTAGTCACCTCCAACTCATGTTCCTTCTCTTTCTTCAACACGCTTTCTGCCAACTCCAACTTCAGGGTGAGCTCTGTGACTTGTGATGCTAGTTTGAATTTGGGTTCTTTCATTTCAGTCTTGCATTTGCCACCACTTTTATCTTGGTCTGAAGACAAGGGCTGCTCTGTGAATCCAGACCCAATTTGAATGTCATCCTTTTTATTTCTTTCTGAGCTTTCTTCCTCTGCTGTCCCTTTTGTGCTTGGTTCTTTTAAAACAGACCTGTCATCTCTCTCCTCCATCACAACATCAAGGGGGTCTGCATCAGGGTTCACTCTCCCAGCAGTAGCTTTGTAGGTCTCTACAATGCTGCACATTCTATAGCTTTTCACAAGGGCACTGGTACCCTGGTACTCTACCTGGCATTCAGGGCAGCTGTGCTGGTCGAGGCCCTTTCCCATGGTCTGAAGACAGGCTAAGCAGTAGATGTGACCACAGGGGAGAGAAACTGGATCAGAAAAGAGCCCCAAGCAGATTGGGCAAGTGAGTTCCAGAGCAAATGCTTCTGGATATTTCTTGGAAGTATTTGTTTCAGTCTCACTTGCAGACATGGTGAGGACACTGGGAAAACAGAAATCTCAGAGTTAGACTTCAGATGTACAGGTGAGGCTCAACAAGTTAGCATGGCAATAACCCATTATCTCAAAAGATTGGAAAATTGTGAAACACCAATCCAAAAAAATAGATACACAATATGGATATAATATCGATAAGGGGATATTCCAGCCTAAAATTGAGTTAGGGTCAAACACACCGTAACATGGAGTTAGACACCCCGTTGAGAGTTGCTGACCGCTTGTTTCTCTTGTTATACCAACTTTAGTAACGACCGCAGATAGCAATACAGAGAACCACGCGCTAAAGCAAAAAGCCACTCATTTCCTCATGGAAACGCAATCAGACCGAGATGCTAAGGCAGAAGAACGACCGCGTCTGCAGTGCAAAATGATTAATGTGGTGATTATTACTTCAAGGAAATGATAAAGAAATGATCATAAATGTTCTTCCTTGAGCTGCGCCACTCCACTGCAGTCGATCAACTTGCCCGGAGGTCTCCGTACAAACAAGCAGCTGCTGGAAGAGAGTGGGTGAGTGCTATGGCTGGGACCCTATATGTACTGTCGATGAAGTTAGGTGCTGTTCAGAGCATTATTTGTGGCTATAGTGTGGCTTTTTGGTTTGAGCACGTGGCTCTCTGTATTGCTATCTGCGGTCGTTACTAAAGTTGGTATAACTACAGAAACAAGCGGTCAGCAACATTCATCTCTCAACAGGGTGTCTAACTCGGTGTTACGGTGTGTTTGACCCTTACTTAATTTTACACCGTAATAACCCTTTAAGTCAGACATTTACCCAATGATTATGGGTGTGTGTGCCGAACCGGAGAGAGAAAATAAAGGCTCAGTCAACCTTTGCAATTGTTATAAGTCTATTAGCTAAGAAGAGCTCTTTTCAGGACTGAAAAAACTGACAAGAACTGTACTTTTTCACAACACTCTAATGTTTTGAGATGGTGGATGTTTGATTTTAATTGTCGTCTTATGGTTGTAAGTTGTAATCATCAAAATTCAAGCCAAAAAAAAAAGCCTTAAAAATATTCAATTCTGTGTGATAAATGAGTGATGAGTCTAGAATAAGTTAAAATTCAGTAAGCTAATGGGGAAAAAAGAAAACCTTCTCAGGACGTTTTTTTGAGCTGCACCTGTACAATCTATAGACTTTACAGAGTATGGGTGGCTTTTCAAAACGTGATTGTTTTGAAGTCTTGAAATTAAAATACAAAGGTGATAGTATAAGAAATGTCAGACACTGTTGCAAACACGTAAACAAACAAGTACAAATATTTGTTTTGAAGTTGTGTTGATTTGGTACGCTTTTTCATGCTTTTTCTTATCTTAGACAAATAGCGTTTGTGTTAACTAGCCATTCAAAAATTCATATTTTCCTCTTAGTTTTAAGTTTTTCAGGCTGCTACAGACCCAAATCCACCTGATTATACTGACGTTATATGCGTGGCTAGATAGCCTATGATAAAATATATTCACCATCTTTGTAGCTTGGAAGTGACAAACCAGCGTGACAAAGAACAGAACAAGGAAATCATTAAATAAAATTATCACGCAAGTTCAGAGAGTCAGAGTAGAAAATGCATGCTAACACAAATTTAAGGATTACACAGATTATATCGTAACTTCAAAGTTTCGTTTGCTGTCAAATCTGTTTAATCGCTATATATGCTGAGGAGCAAAGTCTAACCACGCTGGACTCCAGTGTTTCTGCGTCGTCACAGGGCAGGGTCTGACAGAGTCACTCTTCTGGTTAAGTTTCGGTTTCCTGAGAGCAGGACCTCCACGCGATAACAACATAATTTAAGATTCATTTTCTTACATTAATAAACCTTTTTGTACGTTACAGAAAATCTGCCTTTGTGACGATCTCGCCTTTGTGTCAAATTACGTCAACATTATTCTAAATAAGCGTTGGCGCATCACTTCCTGCACAGCTGTACGGAAGAAGTATCTTAATTAGACTAATTTGATATGAATACAAATGTGTCTTTCTATTTTAACAAACAGATTTACCTGTTGCACCAGTACTACCTTGCGTCAAGTCTTCCTGTTCAGGTGAGAGCCAATAACACGCACCGGCGCAGAGCAGAGCGCTGCGGCGCGGCTCCACGCCTTTCATAAACACTGTGACGCCCCCAGCTGAGCGACACGAGCGCAGTCAGAGCTATAATCCGAGATGTGGGTTCTCAGGCTTCCGCAAACCTCTTCACACTTAACATCATGGTGAATGTGGAGCCATTATAAGTGGTTTTGCCAAGAACAGCCACTGCTGCAAATAAATTAGAGAATGCAAAAAAAAAAAAAAAAAAAAAAAAATCCCTCTGCAAATAAAAAACAAACGATGCAGATAAAAAAAACGGAAGTTAACGACGCAATGCAAAGAAGAAAAAAAAGTTACTTACTGTGAAAAAAAAAAGGATGCAAATAAAAAAAAAGCCACAGCGGAAGTGAGCTGCCGGGAACCAATAATAATAATGTCCCAGTGTTTTATGATCTAGGCACAGAAGACGATGGCGAAAAGACGAACAAAGAAGCAAGTGGAAATGTTATTGTTTAATTTCGCTTCGTGTGCTTTTCAATGTGTCATTTGGTTAGGCCACGTTTTGCCTGAGTCGATATGAAGTTGAACTGGAGGATGCCGGTGTAGTGTTAGCTTCAGTTTAACTTCATATTGACTCAGGCGCTACATGGCCTAATCACATTGAAAAGCACACAAAGCGAAATTAAACAACAACCTTTCCACTTACTTTTTTGCTCGTCTTCTCGCCGTTGTCGTTGTCTGTGCCTAGATCGTAAAACACCGGTGCATCATCATTGTTGGTCCATGGCAGCTCACTTCCATTGTGGCTTGTTCTTTTTTTTTTTTTTTGCATCCTTTTACTTTGCAGTAACTTATTGATTTATTTTGCATTGCCATTTTTTTTTTCGTCGTTGTGGCTTTTTTTTAAAATCTGCACCGTTTCTTTTTTTATTTGCAGCTGGCTTTAGTTTCTTTTTTTTTCTTTTCTTTTTTTACATCAGTAACTTCCGTTGTGACTTCTTTTTTTATTTGCAGCAGTGGCAGTTCTCGGCCACCGTAGTTTTGTAAGCACACTACTTCTGTAATTTCAAAAGTTCAAATAAAAATAACAATACTGTTCAAAACAATGTGAATTCATAATGTATGACAAAATAATGTAGCTTGATAGGGTAAATATTAAAAATGTATTGTTCCAGAAAAAAAAAGACGCTGAAAACAGGTGGTTTGTATTTCAAAACTCATTTATATTTCCATACATTTTGGTTTAAAAAGAAAGAGCCACATCCTCAGCCTCCATGCATTTCATCTCAGTTTGATAAAGTAAGATATGCAAAAATAATAAATATAACAATAATAACTGACAAAGGCACTTCAGCATTCTGTACTGATAAGTTATTAGTGTCACTGATCCACAACAGTGTTTCTGTGGTGTGCAAACATTTCAAAAGTTGGTAGTGAAGTACTATGAAATGTCCATATTGTGCATTTTAAAACACTCGGAAAGGACGCATATTGCAGACCTTTCCTATAACAATTAATTCAATTTGCCCTTTTAACTAACCATTTTTCGACACCTGGCTGCATGGTTAACTCTGAAGTTACCAAAAGATCTTGCAACCAATCCAAAACTGTTATTGCTCATGATTCTGATGGGACCTTATGAGCTTGAAGAAAAATTCTGACAACATATAAATGCTTAACTGCTCAGGATAAACCTGGGTGATCTCTGACAGATTCTTGAAATATCTAAATTCATTCTCGTACAGTATGTGTCAACTAAATACATGAAACTATAACAACCTTTACAACAAGAGCAAGTCCACAAACATTGTTGCAAGCAGCACACAGAACATAGATTCCTGATCCAAAATGAAAAAAAGGATAACAAGAATGTTTTATAGCTGTGTGTGCTGGAGCAAATTCAAAACATCTACATCAATCACAAAAAAAGACAATGGTTGTAGTTGGACAGTTTTGGTATATGTGGGATTTAGGGCATTTGAATCTATTAAATACAACCTGATTCGTATCAAGATTTCCTTCTTCACCTGAAAGAGAGACATGATGTGAGAAGATATTCACTGTGTAAATTCTTACTTTGGAATGTCTGTGATAGTCGTGCACAAAAAAACAAGAAGATAAAACAGCCCAGACGTCTATTATGTGTGTTCAATAAATCTGTAAATGAAAGTAGTTAATACTGAGTAAACTTGAAAATCAGAGTTCATGCATATTGTACCAGATTTGGCTTTATCTTGCCATCATGTGACGACCTCTCTGTATCAGCTTATTTAATTGGTACCACAGACAGAAAGTCTATCAAAGGCAAATATTAGGTAAACATGGAAGAACCCTTTAGATATCCTTAGTGAAAGGAAACAAGAACAAGGGTATACAGTATGTGCCTGTTTTAAAATGTGTGTACGCAGCAGCTTTTTGTAGAAGTGAGTCTTTGAGTGTCTATAGAAGTGCATTCATGTCCACTTCTGGCAGAGGCTCTTTCCAATACGAGAAGCTGCTGTACTCAGGACAGTCCAAAATAAATGACTTGCTGCCCTCAACAGACAACATGGGGAAGAAATGTTCCACCAGCTCGCTCAGGTGACTGTACCTGCAAAACACACACAAACGTGCAAAAATAAACATTAACTCATGCCTCAATGACAGTCAAGTACTTTTAAAACCTGCTTTCAAGTTCTTCAGTTCAGATTTTTACTTGTTACAACTCAAGACACAAATTGTGAAATCCTGTTGTGTTTTTTTTTTTGTGTCAACTTCTTCTAGAGACTTTTTAATACCATTAGGGTAATCAGGTTATTGTGACTTGTTCAAAGCAAAAATAAAAAAATAAAAAAATAATTAAAGGGTTTCATCCATCTTTTTTTACACTTACGAGGACTTGTTCCCTTTAGTCTTCTCCTGGGTGAGCTCTCCTTTGGGGTTTACAGTGAATAACTTGCTGTCAGGCACCCCAACCTCCTTATAGGCATGAGCATCCTGCAAAATCAAGAGTAACAGACACAGAACAGTTAAACAAAGCGGCATCTCTGCAGCTGTTACTGTATACGTCACAGCAGTAAATCCTGGTCAGTCATTAACAAGTGTTTACTTATCCACTAGCAAACCCAAAACTTCACAACCTTGAACTTTTTTCTACCTGCTGGAGTGCTTTCCTGGATGCATATACTAACAAATTACAAGGTGAAAACCCATGGGTGACCGGATAAAAACTCTGGAGGTTTCAATCATTGTCAAAATGTTAACATGGCAAACAGAAAACCCTGATTTAAAAAAAAAAAAGTTCTAGTCTTTCCATTAAGAGCTAGTTGAACTGCATTGCTTACATTTGTCCTGTTGCCAAACGCTGCATAGAACGGTTGTCTCTGTGGGTTGAACAGGTCCCTGATGTCACTCAGACAGGCAATCTTGAAAATCTCCGGCTTCTTTTCAATAACTTCTCTGCAACGTTGGAAACAAACAGCTCATATTTAAGGGGAAAATATTTCAAATTTTGTTCATGATACATTTTACAAAGGACAGCGGCTCTGTGTTTTTGTATTAGACAAATGGCCACAAGAGGTCAGCAGCACATCACAGTGATTGTTATACTTGAAAGACTATACTTGCCATGGCGCTATAGGAGACGGCAGCCTCCCCGGCAGCTCGTCAATACTGAGTGCTTTAAACTTTTAAAACTCTTTTTTCACATTCCTGTCAACTTTATTTTTTTTTTGAACTTATTGAAATCTTCTTACAGTGACAAAATGTGCTTTTATTCCCTTTTCTGTCTTTAATACATATCCCATGGACATATAAAAAAAATCTTGTTTTATTTTTAATTTCCCTAAGTGAACCCTCCCATAGGGATCAATAAAGTTATATCTAATGTTATCTAATGTCATCTAATCTAATGTAATCTAATCTAAGAACAGCGTCTAACCAACTTAATGTGTCAAAATAGCATTTTTATTTCACACTTTGGACTAAACTCTACCAATTCAATTGACTTTAACTATAAAAAGGAAAAACAATGCATTAGTATTATCTAATCAGTAGTTCTCTGGTCTTTGTTACCTGTGTAGTGCTGAAAAGAGGCTGCTGGGAGCCAACAGCACAGGCCCTTTAGGCAGCACTGTGCCTTTATCATTGACCCACTGAAGGTAGTCCTTGGTGATGGCGGCCATACCTATGGCCCGTGCTGAACAATAAAGGAACTTGTAACCGTTCCTGTAAGGAAAGGAGAAATACCATTCAGATTAAACACACTGATTTATGGTAAACACTCATACTACACTCTTAGCTAAACATTTGAAGTAAAACGTATTTCTTCGGTAAAATGAGCAGTTCCCATTAAATCAGATGTTTTTTCAATTAACCGGACAGCTGATCTTGTTATAAAAGCACAGCATGGGAACATAATAATGAGAACAAGCAGAGAACATCTGGCAAAGCAGATTAGATAACTGTGATGAGAATGAGATCAGAATAAGGTCATCTGCAGTCAGACACATGCTACCTTTTACTTCCCTGTGTGATAGATGTGTGGGAAAAAAATCAGAAAAGGAAAAACACAGACTAATCAAACATGGCTTTTTTGTTGCTTTTGAGTGTTGACTGGTGATATACATACTGGTGTATTTTGTGGTAGAGTTTGGCGATGCCTTTGTGAGTCCAGTCTTTTCCAAACTGAGGTAGAATATGTCCCAAAGCATCAGACCTGCAGAAGACAAAACCACAAATTGAACTGTGAAAATGGGAGGACATACAGCGATCCAATGTAGTAATTCTCAACTTTTTTGAGTCATGACCCTTAGCATCAGTGGAGTTATTCAAACAAAGAAGAGACTAACATGCTGGCTGGATAAATCACTTTACTTGACTTCTCTTCTTCTCGCTTTCTGTGGTTTTGAAATTGAAAAACCCATCTGTGTTCTTCTGTGGAGAGACTACCTGCAGTGTTTTCATTGCTTGAGGGTGATAAGCTAACTCTTAGTGTTCTGCTTAACACTTTTTTAAAAACACAGTTACTCATCACACTGGCCGCAGTCAATGATTATATAGTATCAAGTTGCAGGTGATCCCCTCTTTACCTGCGTCTTTACCAGCTTTTATTTCCCCCAACAACCACCAGGCTGAAAGTACCTCTCATCCTCTTAGATATCAGGGTAATAAGGTTGAAAAACACTACTCCAAAGCATCCTTCATAGCAATAATAAACCCAGCATGAACCTTTTTAAAACACATTTGCCAAATGATCCACATACAATCCCAGGCATGTAAGAAATCACAGTTGTTCTCACTTGGTTATGGTGCCATCGATGTCTGATATGATGATGCGATCGTTCCAGTTCCACAGGTAGATAGCAGCCTCGCAGCGACAGGTGCCTTGGTATTGTGTGGTCACACTGAAAACCACCTTGTTGGCTCCTTCACGCAGGTTCAAGTGTTCCTGGTTTTCCAAAAGGAGAAAAAAATGTCATGCTTTGAAGCAGGAGAGCAAGTGGTAAACCACAATATACAGAGGACAGCAGAGTCAAATTCTTAATGTGAGCGTATGTTTCTCTTACTATTTGTTTAGAGGTTAGACGAAGGGATTTGCGGTACAGCTGGTTGATACACTGTGTGGTGTTAAGGGTTTCCGTTGATAGGCTGGAGGGAATGGTGGCTTTTTGACCAAAGCCAGCAGCCTCATCACTGTCCATATCATCCAATGTGGCCCTGAGGGGAAAGCACATACAGCTTTGTTTTTTTTTTTTTTCAAACTGTGTATTTAATATGTATCTAAAAGTGTAACGGTAATAGTCCAGAACACTAAGGCCTTCCTTTACGTGCTGATCTGTATCATCAATCAGCCTTCAGACAGTCTGAGTCTGTTTCAAATGATGAGACAGCGTTTTTTTTTTAAAATTTTTATATTTACTGCTAAATTTACAATCTCGCCAAGCTCTCTGTTCACTCTGGCTTACTTACACAGAATTTAAATAAAAAGTTAGTTCATGAATTCAATATACCCTTTTGGGCTTCACTGTTCCCTCTAACTTTTCCCTTTGCCTAGTGGGATTCTAAGAATTTAAGGAAATGCAGCAGACATGGTTTGAACTCTCATAAAATACTAATATTTTATCAGTGTGAACTATTAAAAAAAATAGAACAGATACAAAATATATGAAGTCTTTTTATGTTTTCAGATCCCAAATAAAACACAGCAGGTGAGGTTTCTGTTAGATTTTTTCTCTTGCGTTAGGTCATTGACTTACTTTACAGAGGAAGAAACACTCTTGAGTGGCTCATCTTGCTCTTCTTTCGAGGTTTTCTGCTAAAAAGAGGATGCTTATTGTCAGGTACAAGCTTATCAATAACAATGGTCTCAGTCAATATTTCAAATGTGGACAAAACATAAAACAACCTCAGCTTGCAAGGCTACACCTTGCAAGTGGTACACAGTACCGCCTACATATGCAAATATGTAACATTCATTTTGTGCTTGGTACTGCAATAAAATTCTTAAAAACTCACCCGGTTATGATCCATGTCTCTTCTCCTCCAAGAGAACCACCAGCGTCCAGACTTTTTGGGCATCTTGTCTTTTACCAGCCGGTCTACTGTGCTCTACATAAACATAAACACAAACACAAATATGAAAAAGAAATGTCAAATGTGCCCACTTGTTTTTTTGGTTGATGTGGAGATTTTTTGTATTTTGACATGTTTACTGTAAGAACCATCAAATACCTTGGGGAGGTTTTTCTGAAAAGTGGTCATTGACAAGACCATTGGAGCGGCCACAGCCCAGTTATAGTAGCTGTAAGAGATAAATGATGACATGTAAAAGGTGCCAAACGATAAACTCTCGTCAACATTAAAGCCTTTTTATGTCAAGACTGCGTTAGATGTGGCAGGAAACTGAAGATGGCAAATGAAGTAATCAATAGCCTTCAGGGTTTATGTCTTAATCTGCTCCTGCCATTACTCTGTTGCCTTTGTCTCTTTTCACTTTATTATTAATGTTCAATTAACTTGAGCTCAGTTCAGCCAATTGTTAAGATTAAAGTTGGTCAAACAGAGTCTGTGAAAAGAGTTGTATCCAAAGCAACAGTATTGACCATTCACATTCAAGTAATTAAAAAAGCCATGTAATAATCTACTATACATTATTTTTTAGCTGCCATTTTACATTCAACATCCTCTATTTATGAAACAAAGAATCAAAAGAGTCATCTTACTTGGAGTTGATGCAGATCACAAGGCTCGGATCTTCAATGATTCCTGGATTGTTAGCAAAATCCTGGTACGTCACCAAGTGCTGCATAAACTTTTCTGATATCAAAAACATAAAAAGTTTTACCCAGCTGTTTTCTCTTTCCTACAGTATGTTGTTTCAGACCCAGAGTGGCAGCACCACAGACTGTATATACTATGGACAACTTGGTTCCGCCTTCTGCCAGTATACAGATTTGAAGGCAAAAAAGCTCTTGATATTTCCTGTTTTTTTCCCACTTCATGAAACCAACGTTGCGCAATAGTTTTGTGCGCATTTGGCGGGAGAGTCGCTGTGATGACGCTCGGCTCAAACAGCGTATCCCCTGGGTGAGCTATGCAATCTTTGTACACCCATAGGCTGTATCAAATGTCAATAATAGAAAACATGAACCCCTAATAACTATATGTCAACATCACGGGCAAGGGAAAAAAAAAATTCTGTGTAACATATTTCTTTAGTTTGTCCACAGCTCCATAGGGATGGCTGGAGGAGGCAGGCCCGTCACCAGAGGGTGCTGTGCTCGTGGTGTCTTCACCCAGCGAGGAGGCAGACGGCGTCCATTCTATATACAGTCAATGGGCAGCACTGTTTGATTCTTTCTCACCTTTAGTGATTTGACTGGTGTCCTCCTCTTGTCCACAGAGTGACATGCTAACATCCATATTGTAGGAAGTGGAATCAGACAGATACTCTGTCCCACTGTCCATGGCCCCGCTGCCCACTGACTGAGGTGACTGGCTCCCCGATAAGGATCCCTGCTCGGCTCCATGCTGAGACCCTCCCTCTGTCTCACTGCAGGGGTGAATAGACAAATTCAATCACTGTGGACATGAGTGACCCTATTGCCTTTCAATTCATAAACTGTGAGTGTAAAAACTTATTTTTTTAAATGGACCACATAGAAAAACAGTCACTTACACTGTATTCTGAGTACATATTGCATCATACAACAGACACTTTTTAAATTTTACCTCTTGGGGAAGTAGAGTGCAGCCACCTCTGGGTTCAATGAGGTCAGATCATCCAAGTAAATATCTGTTGGTCCAAGATGGTGGTTACGTTTACCTGCAACAAAATCACAACTGAACTTAGTCAGAGAGCAAAACAATAAATGCACGACCCCACTGTTTAATTAGAGTTGTAACATTTAATTTTATTAGAAAGTAACAAAGATAAAACTGAGATCATGCCTTTACCTTTCTTCTTCTCTTGTTGCTCCACTTTAGAGGAAGCCTCTGAGGAATTCGCTGACCCCTCTACAGAAGTCCAAGTGGTCCCAGCATCTCGCCCTTCGGCTTTTGGTCCAGTGTCCTCCTCCCCTCCTTCTGCACAAGGATCTATCCCACTATCCCCCTCACTAAAAGGGGCACTGCTGGTGGACCCATGTTCACTCTGCTCTGATGAGGCCCCTTGCAGTTGTGCATTTGTTAACTCTGTAGTATCTGAACTTTTCACTCTGCAGTCTTCACTCTCTTTTATAAGTTTGGTCTGGAGGTTGTTTCCTTTGGTCTCATTATTTAAACTTTCTTGGCTAATAACATCAGTCTCAGTGTTGATACACTTGAAACTGGTGGTGTTTTTTTGACAGGAGGGAGAACTGGTTCCATTTATTCGATTAGCTGACAAAGAGAGCGACTCTCTGCTCTCCTCTCCCCCTAACTTTGACTCCACATCAGTCTTAGTTGTTGGTGCACACGCCATGGAGAGGTCACTGGGGGTGGAGTGGGCAAGGTGGGAGTTTTTCTCCATGGATAAAGGTGGGGACTGCAAAGTGAGGCTACCTAGATCCAGGGATTGAGTCCTCGGTTGTGGCCTGACCACTGTTACACTGCCCACTCTACCACAGCTAATCACAGGCCCAAAACCCGTGTCAAAGGAGTCCTGTCTCTCAATTGTGCGAAAATAAGAGCTGCCAGGAGGGGGGATGCGCTGCAAGTCCACTGAGGTTCTCTCTGATTGACAAGGCTGTAGGGAGAGAGGGGGAGGACAGTAAAAGACAGTCAGTGCGCTACTGCAGACATCATTTGTCAATAAATCAGTTACTGCCAGGTGTTTATATATTGGTACAAAAACAGTAGTCCAGTTAAATCTTCTAAATGGGTCAGCAAGGCGATTCCAAATCCACAAATAGGAAGAAAGTAGTCATATCGATGTTTGTGTGTTTTCATACCATAGGAAAACCTCCCCAGTTCCACTCCATCTGAGGCCCTGATGACCCCTGGGGTTTAACCACAAGCTCAGAGTCACTCTTAGGAGAATGGGGGCGACTGAAGAACACACTGCTGCAAGAAGGCGAGATAAAAAAAAGAGAGATACAGAGAAAAAGATCAATTAATGGACGGGCGAGAGACACTGAAATCAAAGTGACTTTATCTCTGTCAGCTGATTCTAAAGAATAGGTGAGACTGTTCAACACAGACCAATCAATCATCAGTCAATAAATATGTGGTGCAAGTTAGCATTCCTCACTTTTCTGAGGGTGACTGCTCTCCATCTGAGTGTGGATGCATGTCTCTGGTCTGTGCGGCTCCTAGCTCCTCATTGGGCTCCTCAGATAGAGAGTAGTACACTGATTTGCTGTAACATACACAAGAAGGCATTATTTTCAATTGCAAACTTTGAAGCAGTGAAATACACTCCAACAAAAAAATATACAGCAATATGAAGTATCACACACCTGGCATGCAATGTTGAGAAAGTCCCCTCTTTAGCAGGACTCTCCTGCCCAGCCTGATCACTTTCTCTCTCTCTTTCTCTCTCATCTGACGAGGAGCCAACCTCATCTCTAAGGTGGCTATCAGAACGCCGTTTGCGGCGGCGTTTCTTCCTACGGCAACCAGATCCAGCCATGGAGGACCCCTCGGCTGTCTCCTCCAACTCCTCAGGGAACTCGAGAGGAATTGGGGAGGTGCACAAATGTGCCGGGACCTGGGACTAAAGTTAGATTCACAATTATGCCTTTAGGTTACGGATTCCACATCCAATCAGACCAAAGAAGTTAGAAAATTCATAATATGAAGAAGTGCTTACCTCCATGTTTTCATTTTCCTCCACAAAAAAAGCTTCCCCATTGTCCCCCAGCTTCATGTGCAGGTCAACTGGTTCTCCATTTATCTCAATGTCCACCTGAAATCACAGTAGTGTATGCATGTTTACAACTGAGGAAGCATGAAGATAAAAATACAGTAGAGTTGTAGTCAAAATAATTGATTATGAAATACTTACAATTTTCTCCTTGGAGCGCAGCACACCCAGCTTTCCGAAGCGCACATGAAACGGGGAACACTGGAATGATCCATCGGGCTGTCGAACCACAATGACATCGATCCCTCCAGTCAAAGTGGCAGGGTTGAGGCCCCGGTACAGCTCCTTCACTGTCACAAACACAGTCTCTGCAAGGTGGCCCACAATGTTCATGGTTTGTGACTGGAAACAAAAGTAAGCAGAAAAAAAAAAACAAGAAGTGAAAACTGCAGGTTTCAGCTGTCAGACAGGAACAAAAAGTGTCTGTCTTCAGTGTTCTGTTTGTTTAATTCATTACTTAACATGTCAAACATCAAAAATGACTTTCATTACAGTTAATACAGCAGATGCAGAATTTTCCCAAAGTATCTAATGAGTAATGATTAAATGCAAATGAAACAACATGAAACATGTACAACTTACATTCATGATTGAACAGCCAAAGAGAGATTCAGAGGATTTCAGAATAACGACCTAGTGACTTAAAGCCTGTCTCCTACAGCAAGCAGTAAACAGAAGGTTTTACTGTAAATGATTGTATTGTCAGCATTTCCAGTGTTTGGAGTAAACCATATTGACCTTTGGATCACATCTTGTCCATGACGAATGTGCTAAAGATCAACAGCGGTGAAAAAAGGTGGGGTCTTTTAAAGACACAAACCCGGAGACTTATTATTAAACATGAAAAGGAGCTACCGGCTGCATTAACTTGCAATGATAGGATGATTATGTAAATGGACAAAATTAAGTGAGATAGACCAAAGAAAATATGTACTTTAGTTCACTTTTAGAGGTTGGTTTGATAAAGTTTGACATCTAAATTATTCCTGTTTTACCCCCTAACAAGTCAGGATATGTCCAAGATGAAGCAGCTTTTGAGTCAATAAGTCAAACTTTGCTGAAGGCTCCTGAAAACATCACATTTAACCCAGTTTGAACCTGCATCAACAAAGCAGACTGTCATCGTGCTTTCTGTGAAAAAGTAGAAATAAGTGGGTCACCTCATGTAGTTGCCTACCATGCATAAAAGAGGACCCAATGTAGCCTGTTACATTGTAATTATTGATCCAATATCAGTATGTGGGCGGATACATGCTTCAAAAGTTAATTATCCATATTGACTGACATAAAAACTTTACTAATATGTACTGCCATTAAGGTGACACATTAATCATGACAGCCAAAGATAACAGCCAAAGCCAACATCAAGCTTCAATGTAAGTATTTTGAAGTGTTGGGAACCGACAGCATAATGACTGTTAGCATGTTTGTAAAGCACAGGTGATGAGAGAAGGTGCACAACGCCCACTATTCAACCACTTTAACAGAGCATCTCAGAGGTGTCATTCTAAACAGCACCAAAATTATTCATTTATTATCAGTGCAGGAGGGACGAGTGTTCTTTAAAATGTAGAAAAAAGTCAACAACAATATCAGATTATTAGCAGAAATTAGTTAAGCAATATCGGCATGTGAGATTTCAGCAAAAGTCCAACATTGTCTATCCTTACTGGTAATTCTGATTAAATTTAATCAACTATACGGCTAAAGGAAGTTCTTTATTTTGACAGCGAACTGCAGTCACAAAAAAGAAGCTGAAGGAGGTAGCTTTTACAATATTAATGCAAAAATTTAACTTTATGCTGCTTAGAAATCTAAAAACAAACCCCCTACAGAGTTCAGTGGTGCCCCAAATTGGTAGTTTCACCTTTGTGGAGCTTCTATTATTTAGATATTGTTCACACAATTTAATTAAACAAATCAAACACAAAAGAAGGTGCAGTTTTAAAAAATTCTCCACCCTATTAATTTTCCTGTTAGTTAATCACTTCTGTTTATATTCCCAATATAAAAAACATAAAGTGTAATTTTTTACTTAATAAATCGACTTCATCTTTCTTACTATCTGTCCTGAAGTCTCCATAACAAATCAGATGTCTTACCCACAGTGAAGAATGCAGATGTCCCTTCCCAACCAAGCTGTGTTCCCTTGGCCTCCACTCTGCCATAAGACACCACTAATAAGACTTTTCCCATCCCAGGAACTCAGTTACACGAAACTTGACCTTCATTTCCTCCTGTCAACTCCATTCCTCCAGATGCTCAGGTATGTCTTCAAGCTAAGATGACTTAAGCCTGCCGTAAAAGTCAGGCTACATCTTGCTAGCTCCAACAGCTGAGTACAGGCTACAAAGTTTGTGCTGTCAATTTTCTTTTGATCAGCAATCATCAGAGATAACTGCGCTCGATTGTCTACTCTTCACAGCTGTATGACACAAAATACATTCAAGTGTAAGAGAGTCCTGGTATATCCAGTCACACACTGATGCTTCTCCTATCTAACTTAGTTACACAATCATAAAAACCCTCATGTCACCCTACTTCCCCACTTGCGCTGCACATGACAGCTAGACCAGCAGTTTCTGAAAAGCTCGGACAGGCTATTCAAACACGCTCAACGTGAAAACACACACACACTAACTAAGCAATCGCACAGTTTCTGGGCCTGACCACAGCTCTCTGGGCCATCAAAGATGAAGAGGATCATCCCATAGCCATGTACTACCAACACTGGAAAACCCCACAGAGAAAGCCTAGTTGACTGGGGAGGTGGTGAGGCAAATAAAGTGCATTTTTAATGGACATCACTGCCTGTGCTGCATTTGAAGGGGACTCAACAGAAAGGTAGCCCTGAGTTTGAGGATGTCTAACCAAATGAAAAGTTGTTGAATGGAGATAGCTAGGAAGTCTTAATGTGCTATAAAAATAAAACTACTGTGGCAACCTCATAATGATTCAACAACACTATGTTCAACATGGGTGTGTAGAGGCCTTTGAATGGGGAAAAACTTCAGTTTACATTAGAGGCTTTCATATTTGATCTGGAGTGATGCCTGACTAAAACAGCCATATCAGCTGTGGTTGGATATAGCAAGAACGGACTGTGGTTAACAATGGTAGTAAGATATAACCAAATGTAGAGCAGCAGGATGGTAACAGAGGGAAGACATGACGGAATTAATGACTGATGTACATCACTGATCACTGTTTTCACATGTAACAACATGCACTTTGTAATCTGTTAAACAATTTATGTATCATTAATGGCATCATTCCAGTTCTCCCTTGCTCCCTGAGGAATTCCAGCTGTTGTTGACACTGATGCTGGTATAACAAGTTGACAGTCAATTGTAGATGTACACATTGTAGATGACTCATTAATTTGTCATGATCTTGAAAAACCGCAAAAGGTCTCAAAATGCCACCATATCACCAAACTTGGGGATATAATCTAATAAAATCTCAAGGATGTTGTGAACACAGAATATGCAATAGTGTCCTTTGTAGTTCTACAAATGTCTTTACGCAGTCTGATAGGGTCATTCATATATCTTGAAATGGCCATCCATGCTTTTATCAGTGCCAGGTTAGATTATTGTAATTCCTTATACGTTGGTATCAAGCAATCTTCTCTCTCTCTCGCCTCCAACTGGTACAAAATGCTACAGCACGCCTTTTAACCGACACCCCCATCACAGTCACATCACTCCCGTTCTTCTCTCCCTGCATTGGCTCCCGGTTTAATTCAGGATCATTTTAAAACTTTTAATGTTTGTTTTCAAAGTTATCCATGGTCTTGCTCCAGTATATCTGTCTGATTGCCTAACACTTAGATGAAACTGTAGAGCCCTCCGGTCCTCACAACAACCCCTGGTGGAGATTCTTTTCTCAAATTTTGAACCGTGGGGCGATCATGCCTTTCCAATAGCAGCCCCGAAATTATGGAACTCTCTACCCCCTGAACTACTTACTATTAATGACCTGGCACTTCTTAAAACACATCTTAAAACTCACCTATTTAAAAAGGCCTTTAATATCTAGTGTCATTTGCCATTTTCTATTTGATTGTTTCTGTGTTTTCTAACCTTTTATTGTTATGATATCCTGTGACATTTGTCACTTGCCATGTACTTTTTTTCCCTGTATTTGTGTATTTGACTGTGTAAAGCACTTTGTTCATCTTTCCGGATGTTGTAAGGTGCTACATTAAATAAACATTATTATTACTATTATTATCTATTTGCTATTCTGACACAGTTTGCAAACCTAGTCTTATTTAAAGCAGTTTCAGAATCAGAAATAGGCCTACTTACGGAATTACATAGTGTTTCCTTAAGTTTAAAGTTGCCCAAAGTCTGTGGAGGGTGGTAGTCCTTGGCTGTCACTTGGCGTTGCAGTGAGTCACTGAAGCAACCTCGTGATTCAACACATCTGTCACACTCTCTTGACCTCTTAGTGTTGCATGAAAACCCCAAAATGTCGGATTACATCAGATTTCAGGATTACATAATAGAGATGACCATCGCTGACTCGGTGTGGGCTGAATAACATGGTGTCTTAGAGAGCTTTGGGGCTTGTTTGATGAATGACTTCTCTAAAATATCAGTGAACCGCCGAAATAACTGACTTCATCGGAATGAAGCGGGTTTAAACACAGAATGAAGTCACCCGTGTGTGCCGATATAACAGATATCTATAACCAAAGAAACGCCACGACCTCAACCAACTTCCGCAACAGTGTCCCATAGTGTCATAATATGGCGCAACCTTGTTTTGGCAACCACAACTTTCAGTATTTGTAACAGCAGCTAAAATAACATATCCCGACTATTACTTTTTCTTTGCTCTAGACATTGGTCAAAACTTTTTTTCAGATTTTTACTGCGTTTCACATCGTTAAGTACAAACTCATCTTCCACTTGTCCCGAAACCATGATTCGAAAACCGCGTGTAAAAAATATTACATCTACGTAATTGTGTTTAAACCCTTGCCTGAACATCTTTAGCGACGGTGAAAAACGTTTGAGACTTTTTTCCCTTGTACTTTATGAACCTTAATGAATACAAAGTGTAGACAGCAGCTTACCTTTCGGGGGAGCTCTTTAAAATTCACAAAACAACAGCAGACATCCAGGATGCTTCCTAGTGTGTTGCGCATGCGCATAAGACATGTCAATCAATCTAAAAGCCAATGAGCTAACTGTAAAGGATAATATGTCCCGCCTCATATGTTCAATTGTAAACAAAGCGCGTAATGACCCATGAACTCCTATAGTCTGTCACAGGGCAGTGGATTAATCCACTGCTCTGATCTGTCATTAAACTATGCTGATGACAAAAAAAGATAGATAAGAATAAACTTACAAACCTATTCGATATTTGAATAAATAATAAATAGTAGTAGATTATTGAAAGATGAATATTTCATTCATATTTGGCACAATACTCGCAGTTCCTCATTTCGGCTGTTGATTGGCACCGATTTTGGAGAGAAAACCTTTTAATGAAGCTATAATTAGGCAGTCTCGAAGTTTTGAAACTCAACACTAACTCATAGTTACTGAACATGCAAGAAAAAACTGAGCACACATGACTGAAATCAGCCTGAGAGGTTACAACGTGGACTAACAATCAATTTCTCTGAATATAGGCTACTTATATGTGAAAGACTCTTTGCCCCTCAGTTATTAAAAAATCTAATATGAAGTTATTGGAATTCAAATGGCACACATTTATTTGTATTAACTCTTCATTTCACCACATCCTCCTTCTCTAAATAAATTAACAATACTTAAACAAATGGTTAGATGATGTAGATTTGGGGCTGACAGCTCAGTTTACTTCAGACAAAAATATAAGCATTTGACTCAAAAGTTTCTTTCTCCTCCAGTTGAGATGACACTATGCTGCTATTTTTCAAACTCCCTCATAAGATAGATCTGTACAAAAAGTGCCAGTGAAAATAATAATAGAAAAAGTGAGATATGGGTCATTAAAAAAGCACAATCTGAAGTTAGGTACAGAGATCAAACACTTGTAAGCGTTAACAGCTAGGCTATTTTGTGTGCATGTGTATAACAGTCAGCATTAATGATTCTTTTTTTCAATTCAGACCTTTGCTAGGCTGAATAATGTTCTTAAGAAACACACGTCTATTCCAAAAAATTGATAACCAGCGGTTTTACACTTTCTTTTTCTGAATTAATCATTTTAATTATAAAGGCCTCCTTTTTCTTCATGTGTGGTCCTTAACCTGTCTTATTTCTGGCTTTTCAAGAATAAAAAGATATTGCCTCCGTTGAGTCATGTACTATATATCGAAGTGAATTTATCCAAACTTGAAAAAAGAAAAAAAAACATATCCAACTTCAAAACGTATATTTGTCTCACAGCTTAACGTTGAGCTCACAGTCAGACAGCACCTTACACCTACACAATTTATCGTTCACTGAGGAGTTTTCAGCACATTTTAGAGCCCATTACTAGTACAGCCCAACAGAGGGCGTTGATGCTCCTTCACTGCCTGTGTTTACACAGACACTTTTCCCTACTTTCATTCATGCTTTCTTTATAACTGTTTCTTTATGATTTGATCTTGAAGAATTTTGCTGTCACCCTAAAATTTGGTCAAAGTTTGGATGCTGCTCAGCCAATTAATAATGAAAACACACGATGTGCCATTTAAATAATAAAACATACTTATTTCAGATCTTTCCATAGTAAATTGACAATAAAAAGATAAAAAATGAAGGAAAGCTGAGAGATATCTTGTTAATAGTAATCCCTGAGTCAAGCCTTTTGCCCACAAAGGTTTGGGTTCTTGTGATTCAGTTCAATTCGATTTAAAACAGAGTACTAGTGTTGCAGAAGTTTATCAAGATTGTTGTGAAAAAAGAAAATAACTAAAATGAAGGAAAAAGTGATCAGATACGAGGCTGTCTGAACCTTACTTAATTCAACCTTTTCCAACCAAAGCACTTCAGTCTGGTTTTAAAATAGTAACATATTTCGCCTTGACTGCAAAGTACCTTGGAAATGTTTTGATGGATTAATGTTTTTTGGGGAAAAAAATCATAAGCAAATCATGTTTTTTGCAGCTACAAAACAGATGTTACTACCATGATATAATTTAAGGTGTTCCCTGCACGCTCAGGCCTCACTGATGACCAGCCAAACTGACTATTTAAGGAAACCCACAGTCTCACAGCATGTTCACTAGCTTTCAAAACTGCTCTGCAAATGCTCACATCTCTCTCCCCCATGTTTCCAACCCTCCACCACACTCGGCCTCCTCTAAATGTTTAGGCTCTTTTTTCTCTAAATAAGGCAGCCTTATCGTTGTTCCTGTCATTTCTGCCTCTTTCCCAAACATCCTGAACAGCGTCTGTGGCAGTAGCAAGCCGCAGCCTGTGCATTCTTTTGCCTTGTATGGAGAAACGGCCCTGCCTGAGATGTCTTTGTACGGGACATGCCTGCCTCTCCATTGGCCGGGGCGGAAAGGGGTGGGACCCGCCGGGAGTCTGATTCTTTAAACAAACTTTCCAGTGGGATTGACTGTTTCCCTTTTGCACTGCTGTGTCGGACCCAGACAACAGGAGTTTGAGGGACTTCCACACATTTTCTACCTGAAATCAAGGTGAGAAAAAAAGCTGTTTTTATAGACAGTTTATTGTCTGAATATAAAGTCTGACTATCATGTGTTTTAAAAGCCTGTGAGGGTAAATTCTCTTGCATTGAACTGTCAGTGTTGAGAAAAAAGAGGAAGGTACAGTTACAGAAAGCTCCTGAAGTGGAAAGAAAACTTCATAACTCTAAAGACACACCTGTTTAGGATGCTCACCTTGAACTTGCATGTCTTTAAATTGTATAAATATACTGTTTGCATGTGTGATTATCTTCATGTCATCACTATGGCACATTAGACAGAGAAATTTCTGAATGCAGCTGACCCATTTAGATCACACACTGACACACACACACACACACACACACACACACACACACCTCTGTGTGTCTGCTCTGTCTGAGCTATGAGAGCTTGATGTCCACTTCACTCTGTTTGTTTTCGGAATTCCTGACCGTTGGCGTCCTCTCTCAAGCATTGGTGACCTGCACGACCTGGAGTTAGGGAAAGGGATGACAGCCGCACTGTTTCATGATATCAAAGTGTGTGTGTGAGTGTGTGTGTGTGTGTGGTGAGTGATTATGTGTGGACTGAGGGACAGAGGAGCTTTGTCATTTGAGAGGATAAAAGGGTGCACAGAGGAGCTGCGGTGGTGGACAGAGAACAAATACATTTGTCAGGACAGGCCGAACTGAGGCATGTCAGACAAATGCTAGCATTGCTGAAGTCAGGGGAAGTTGTAGTCTGCATCATTGTGATTCATTTTAAGTTGTTACATAGTACAGCTTCAGGTTCAGAGGTCCTGGAAAGCATGTTTCTTATCATAATGCCTTTAAAATGTAACCTCACACCACTCACAGTATCTAGGTTATTGATTCCTTGAAAGAGAGGTAAAGTTTAACATCAGTCATCCTCTCTTCAGAGACAATGCTGTACCTAAACAAGTATTCACACAAGAGATAACCAAATCCTCCTCCTGTTTACATCAGTGGCATTTCATCTGAGCCGCAACAAATTCAATCACAGCCACACAAGTGAAGCGTAATGAAAATGTTGTGTGTTTTGTGAAGACTGTGCCATCCGAGCGGGAGAGAGTAACCCTAATCGGATTGAGGAATTCCTTCTCTTCCTGGAGCCTTACATTGGAGCCAGGTGTCGTTTTGTTTCCAGCTTCCTCACTGACTGCTGGATGGAGAATGGGAAGGGCTCGAGGCCAACAACACACACACCTTCCAGATTTCTTCATTTCTCTGGCATATGAAGGGACAGAAGCAGCCAAACAGTAGTCGTAGGGAAGAAGACAGTCGTCCAACATGTGTCTGTTGTGAGAGAAAAGAAGGATGAATGCAAAAATAAGTGTGTGTCACAGAGACTTACAAGTTGCTGACCTGCTATAATTGGATTTCAAGTTGCACAGTGTCAATCCATTTCTGGATAGTACATGCCACAGTGGACAATCAGGTTATTTATCCCTGGTCACACTAGTTTGCATCGCTCATGAAAGTTATGATCCTGCTCATTTGATGCGTTAGCTTTACATTTAAAGAGAGAGGGAGAAACCACCACATTTGAAGTAAAGAGATACTCAAAGCTGCTTAGTGCTGTGAGGCCTGTGTGTGAATCATAACAAGCAACAGACACAGCAAACAGAAATTTCAGAGCAGCCCTCACAGCAGCTTATTAGACGTGATGACAGACAGACACTGCCCATGGAGACAGAGATTTGGTGAATATAGGACAGCCAAGAGCTATTTATAAGCACTGGAGTACACCCTGTGGCGTGTTTGGAAATACACTGTGTCTTCTGCCAAAATGCAGACATATTCTAAGTAACCACAACAATCTTTTTATGAACATAATAGAGTTTTTATTATCCTGCGTTTCAATTTTGGTGAAGTAAGAGACGCGATATGCTTCTCTGAGTAGGTCAATAAGATACAGGTTTCTTGTTACAGTACAGACTTAGCATGGCAACTATAGGAACAAATAGAGGCTTCTATATAGGCACTGTAAAGCCTTCGATAATGGTTCCTATTTTGTTTCAGTTATTATTATAAAATCAAACGAGTGACTTTAAGTCGACAAATGGACTGATGAAAATACACAGAGCTAACCTCAGACACTAAACTACACTTTAATTTTTTTCTTAAAAAATTGCCAAAGTGTGCAAGTGTTAATATTTGATAGACCTCTATGATCAACTTTTTTTTTTTTTAATAAAACTATTTGTTACTTTTGATTATTTCTCAAACAAAATCTACCTTTACATCTGTTTGGCCTTTTGGTGTTGCTTCAATTTATTTATTATTCTTTTATGTGGAAAAATAATAAATAAACTGTTTTAGAGGCCACTTCATTGAATCGTCTTTCACTGTGAGGTAAAGCTACATTCGGCATTCAAATGACCTCAGTGTCTCTTGGTACATGATGTCATGTCACCCCATCTGTGACTCATCCACAACACTCACCTGCTGCTCCCTGTCTGTTCTCTATCTACTAATACCCACTGGGTACAATACAATCCCAACATACGCACACTCACACACACACACACACGCACGCATGACAAACACTTTCAGAGCTGAAAATGAACAAGTCTAAATTTGAAAGGATATGAAGCTAGAGCTGCAGAGAAGACTGTGCACACCATGCCATTTTCACACCTATCCCTCAACCCAACATTCAAACAGAATGTGATTTTTCAACCTTTTCAAAGCAGCAAATGGAAAAAATCTGTAATCTTTTACTTTAGGGAAAATCACAGAGAAAAGCAGGTGCTAGATGGATGTAAATATACATTAAAATCCCACCCCATTTTTTTTTTTTTACTACTTAAACTGTTCTCAGTGGTCTTTAAACTATGATTATTAAGTTTTTAGCCAAAACCACGTTACCTGTGTCGTTTTCAAGGGCTTTTCTTCTGCGGAACTCCAGCAGATCATTAGCAATTCGCCTCTGAGTCATGGGCAGAGACAGCACTGCTTTGCACACTTGTCTTCACGTTAGCTTGTAGCCCATAGCCTAACATTGCTAGTGTGGTAGAAGTAGCAGGTAATGTAGGAGCTATTCAGCTCTCTGACACTAATGTCTTTTGGGACACAATAAAAGCTAATATCATAATTAGCTTTCTTACGAACATTTCAATCAGCTAACGCAGACGCTTGTTCCGCGATCGTCCTCTCTATTTCTCCGTGCCTGGCCTGCATAGCGGGGCTCCAACGGCGGAGCTTGGATTGGTTACGTAGGAAATCTCCCTGCGTCAGATCCTGCCCTTTGGGTCTGCCAGAGATTCACAGCGATTTCAATGCAGAAATACTCAGAAATGCAACTTTGTACTTCTTTTTCTCATGATATGTCCTCTCTTATCAGAAGAATGCCATATGAACATGTAGACAACAAGAAAAAAATGAATTTCATCTGAGTGGGTCTCTAAACTAAAATTTAATCTAAAAATGAGGAGACAGGTGATATACCTCAACCACCACTCTTTCTATGATGTTACAGTGTTACTACAATCTATTTATGAATTGTTTTTCTAAATATTCACAGGCCCACAAACAGACGCCAACATGTCGAGCAAGCGTGCCAAGGGAAAGACCACCAAGAAGCGCCCCCAGAGGGCAACCTCCAATGTCTTCGCCATGTTTGATCAGTCTCAGATCCAGGAGTTTAAAGAAGCGTTCAACATGATCGACCAGAACAGAGATGGATTCATCGACAAGGAGGATTTGCATGACATGCTGGCCTCTCTGGGTACAAAGGAACACTCTCAATACACTTAGTCCTTTTTTGTTTTTAACAGTATCATGGACAGGGCAAAATGTTTAACAGCAGAACTAGAGCAGCTTATTTGCTTAAACGGGTTCAAATCAGTCTAAGAAAAAAACATCTAATTTTGGTATAGTATACTGTAGGTAGTTTTGGTGCAAGACAGGTAGACACTGTCAGAGGTCAGGATTAAGTTGTTCAAGAGACTCACTGTTTGGGGGGCGAAAAGTCATAATATATAAGCTTCAACTGTAAGTTTATTTTTTCATATGTCTTTTCAAGTTTTTGGAAGTGCAATTTTAAATTGCAGAAGTGACCCTTGAATTTCATTTGTTTGCAAGTAAATACACAGCTGAGTACATGTAGAGGGATAAAAGCGTGCCTCCCTGGTATTGTGTCACCCCCCAAAAAACACAAAACCAAATCAAAACAACAGAAAAAAAAGGATTATTTTTTTTTCTTTTTTTTTTCCTTTAGGTAAGAACCCCTCTGATGAATACCTGGAGGGGATGATGAGTGAAGCACCAGGACCCATCAACTTCACCATGTTCCTCACTATGTTTGGAGAGAGGCTCAATGGAACAGACCCAGAGGATGTCATCCGCAATGCCTTTGCATGTTTTGATGAGGAGGGATCTGGTGAGTCGGACTTAAAATAAGCATAAACAAACTGTACAAACTCACTGCACTTATACTCACTTAATCAACTTGGTGTCTTTTTTTGTTTCCAAGGTGTGATCCATGAGGACCACCTGAGAGAGCTCCTGACCACGATGGGTGACCGCTTCACAGATGAGGAGGTGGATGAGCTGTTCAGAGAGGCGCCCATCGACAAGAAAGGCAACTTCAACTATGCAGAGTTCACCCGTATCCTCAAACACGGCGCCAAAGACAAGGATGACGAGTAGACGGAGAATCCAGCTGCCTCAACCCCAGACACAAACTGCGACACAAATGAGTCTCTGGCTCCTACCTTTACAGACCCTGTAGGCCTTACAGAAATCAAACAGAAATGTTTATGCTCAAATATTTTTATAAAAAAGGAAGATTTTTTGAAAGCTGTTAACACATATTGCGTAGATTTCAATTAGTACTTGTTTTGTAATGGTAGGATCTTGAAAATCACTTGGGCTGGTTGGACTTTTCAGATGCATCAAACATGATGTTTGTGTGTGTAAGCTGGGCTGTCTTTTTGAACTGCCTGATTTTATTCTGTGCCAGCAATGTTTACCTCCTCTTGCAAATTATCCTTCACAACTGCAGAAGCACTGCATTAGGTCTGCATACTTGTTATATTTGTAGCCCTGTACATCCAGAAAATGATTAAAATCAATCATTCCGGTTGTTTTTATAAAAAATATTAATTATGGGTCCTCCCACTTGGTATTTTAAAGGCTTTCCTTTTACTGTCAGCTGGTAGTGTGAGTTTGAGTTTGTTGAAGGATCAAGTATGTCTGAATATGTACTGAAGGAATTTAAGCTAATAAAAGGAATTTTTTTTCATGCCATTGACACCAAAAGAAAGTTAATGTTTTACTTGGTTGTGTGTTTTTGTCACTGTCTCATAACAGTTTCCTATGCAGTGATACAGAGTAGACTCTATAGCTGAGAAAATACAAAGATTAAGTGCATTAACCTAAATATAATTACAGACAAATATGATGCAAATACAACAAACAGTGCTAAGAGTGCATCTCTAATTTCTCTATCATTTTAAATTCACAAGACTTTTGGAAGACATGTTAAATGTGCCACAGACTGTTTTCTGTCCAGCTGTTTGTATTGTATATGTGTGAGACATTTTAGTGATAAAAACAGACTTTGATGGTTTTAGATCATTTCAACTGGGTATTGAATTAAAAACACTATCAAGACAACAAATCAGATGTTTACAGTATCTTATTGCTGTTAGAGCATGTTTTTAAAAAGCTTGGAGAGGGTCAAAAAATCACTAAATACAACTGCTAAAAAACCTGGAGTTTTACTCCTAATTGATCATTTGCGAAAGATTAGTAACATGGGTATAATAATAAGCATTCTGGGGAGGCTGAATCTCACTGAGGATAGCAGAGATTTACCACTTTGTGAATGACTGCAATAATTCAACAATCAAAACAACAGTACTCAGCATAAGATTAGATATAAGTGCATAATTTATCAAAAGATTCAAAGATACCAGAGAATTCTCTGTACAAAAAAAAAGTCTAAAAACCACTCCTTGGCCTTTGAAGACAAACATGACTGTAGTGAAAATCACTGCTTGGACAGTTTCTTCTGGCATTCACATTAAGCTCTACCATGCAAAGAGGGAACCATACATATATAATTTTAACACAATCCTAAAACACGTATAATCTCAGAATTTAAGCGTGAGCAAGCCTAATTAAGACATTTATTTAGAAACCAGGATGTTGTGTCCTCCCTTCTAAAGAGGGAACCCTTGGCTTGCCATCAGGACACAGTTCCGATCAGCTTTAATTGTAGTTAGCGTTGTGTCACATATAGTGGACTTCAGAAATTAAACTAAAAAAGCTGCTGTCCAGTCAGGGAAATAACAGCTGATAGGTTTACATAAGAAATTATTAAATAATAAATGCATTTACTTTCCGTGACATTTCCCTAGAAATCAGCCTGCTAGTTTTTCAATATGAATGAGAGCTTAAAAATGACTATGAATGAAAACATATAACAGCCTCATTTTAGTTTTAAGTTAAGTGTGGCCCTGTTATGAAGTGCTCCAGTTAGCCATTATAATGGAGCAGTTTTACTAGTTTGGACTATACCAACTCCTTGTTGGACCATTTAAAAAGGTCTTTTTTAAAAAACTTATGTGTCCAAATTTACTAGACAAACAGGTTCACAAGGACTTGAACTGTCATGAAGATGCTATTAACTATTGACTGATTGTGCCTTTTAAATCTGATAAACCCTCATAATTCAAATTTGTTTAAGCCACAAAAAGTGGAGGAGAAAAGGCGTTTATGCAAAACTGAACTTTTATTTTTTCGAAATGTTTATACAAAACACACATTTAAAGTTTAAGGCATATATTGCACAGACTATTGAGAAGTTTTTATATAAAAAAAAGACATTATCCCTCAGTTGTGGGTATAAGGCACAGCAGCCAGTCATACTGCTAATGGTCATGATTCACAACATGAACTACAAAACATTTGAATGTATTTGGCTGAAAAAGGAACTACACAGTTTGAGATAAAGTTCATGCCGATACAAATCAAAACAAAAACAAAAAAAAATGACTGAAAATATTTATATACATGGTCACATTTTCTAATCTGATTGGAGCGACACTCAGCATCTAAAAATCACATACAAACCTTGCAATAAAAAAAGCCTAATGTTAAGCCAGCCATTACCAGTATAATAACCGTTTAAGGTGTTGTCACAGTGGCATGATGCAGTCTGACCAATAAAATATTACTATAATACTCAGTATTCTACATGGGACTCAAGTCTGACATGACCTGTGAAAATTTGAGGTATAAATGTACATCAGTTAAGTGAGTGAACCTGTGACGAGAGCACACACACAAAGAAAAACAAAAAACACTGATCCACTGATCCCCCTTGGCAGTGAGGAGCAATGAAAAAAAGCTGTATCACAAGAGTGAGCTCAAGTTTTTGTATCTACCATGAAAAAATGTTATTCTGGGAGATTAGGTTGGTGCTCAATTGTAATCTGACCAATCAGACTCTCTCCCTATGTTGGCAAATCAGCTATTCAAACTCAGCTCAGCTAATGAACACAGGTAAACAAGACTGTGATAGAGACTCGTCTCACAATTCTGCTACGGTTATATTCTGATGGGACATTTCCCACATGATGCTACTGTTAAAAAGACATCCAGGTGGCAAGAGTATGCTAAGACAGTTTCATGGAAACTACAGCTCTGAGAATGATTTTAAGTCCTAAAGAAACCATTTCCACAGGTGGACAGCAGGACTGAGGAACAGCTTAGTTTGATGCTCTTGGACCTTCTTTAGAAAAAAAAGCTGACTAACACCAGCAGCTACATCCTGCTTTACCAAGACACTGTATGGAAAAACTCATTCCTCCTCATGTAAGACATTCAGGTTTGAAACACACCTACAGATACACCACCTCTCAACAGGGAAATCAAAATAACTTGTATCCTTCCCTCCAGATGGGGATCAAACAATTAAAGTGTTTTACAGCACAAAAGATAGAAGGCGCCTTGACTCTCAGGGAGTGTAACGTTTCAGCTGAGGAGCTGTGAGAACATGAAGCTGTTCAGGTCTCCACTGAAATTGATTTCTGAAACAGATCCAATGTCACCTCCTTTACTTCCTCCAATATCCACAACAATCCTTTTAAAACACAGATGAATTTCTTTCCTTAAAAAAAACAAGACAAAAACAATACGTTTGGCAGCATGTGAAGAGTGCCTTTGATGATGATTCAAAGTGAATCCCCTTAGCTACCAATACACAAGGAAGAGCAGAGTGAATGTGTGTGTAGGAGGGGTGTTAAGACATTCAGTCAGGCTTCAATACAATCGTTTCTTTTCTGTTTATCTACAAGGAAAAAGGGAGGTGTTTTTGTGTTGTTGTGCAGAAGAACGGAAGGAGGGAAAAATGTATGAAAAAACAAAACTCTCTCTTTTTCCTTGGAGGGGCATGAGTGACAAGCAGCCTAGCCAATGACATAAAATGTCTTTTGTACATTCAAAGTCCGGCACTGCTACTGAAGGGGCTAACTGCTGGTGCTGAATTTACACCCACTGATTTTTTCTTATTTTACAATTTCTGGATATTTTACAGCTCGTTTCTTTGAGTCATGCGGATAGAGATGTGACATTTCGTTTAAAAACTTTGAACACTCCTCAGTTTAGAGTCAATGTCATTGTACAAAGTGTCATCATGAGCAGGTTCCTCCATATCGAACACCAGTTCATGAAAGATAAAACAGGAAGTGTTGCGTCTCTTTTCTGGAGTTCATGTGACTGATGTTGGTTCTGCAGGCACAGACGTAAAGACAAAAGGATGAAGATACATTCTCATATTTACATTGATGTCCAGCAAAAAGGAATGTCAGGTCTCCCACCCATAAACACGTATATAAAAAAACAAAAGTGTCCAGCTCCTAGTTCACGGTCTCACTCACTGTGTGCAAGCTGTGCTGAGGGCCCCACACTTTGCTCAAAGGGGCCTTTACCACCTGAAGAGAGCTGGGCTGTCTGGTCTCTGAGTGGACCATGCTCCAAACACCGGGCACTATTGCTGAATTCCTCTGAGTGGTACTGCTGCTGCTGCTGCTACTGCTGGTGGTGGCGGTGCTGCTGGTGGCAGGGGCCAGAGGATGGAGAGTTTTGTGAGAGGCCAGACCTAGAGGAGGAGTGACTGTTGGTGTTGGGGAGGATACGGTAGTGGGAGCTTGTGCAGAGAATAGGGCTGAGGTCTGAACTGGAGTTTGTGATGATGCCGGGGTTGGGACAGGTGATGTATAAGGAACGCTGACTGGGATTAGAGGGGACTTGTGGAACGGCAGGTAAAGTGGGACTCCTCTTGGGGCTGATGTTACAAGCTCCACACTTTGGATTGAGGCCTGGTTTGGAGCTGTGACGGAGGGGGAACTTTGCTGTGCTGGGAGAAAGACTGTCGATGGCACTGTGACTGGTGACGTTGCTGGTACTGATGCACTTGCAGGACATATAAGAGGCAGTGGAGTTGGACTTGGGGTTGAAGTCGAGGGCGCAGTTTGGGAAATAACTGGAGAAGTGGCTGGTTTCTGAGAACTAGGCTGTACTAAGACTGAGGCAGACACTGGCACTGGGATTAGAAGAGGCTGGTTTGGACTGGAAGATCTGGCAGAGTCCTTCTCCAAGGGGCTCCAAATGATTTTATTCACAGGGAGCACAGATTGCCTTGGTGCTGAAACTAAAACTGGAGCTGGCGCGGGCACAGAGGCTGCTAGCGATAAGGGAACTGGATCCTTTATTAAAGTTACAGATGTTGCTGGAGTAGCCATCGCCTTCTCCATCAGACTCTGCACCCTGGACGGATCCATGACCTGCTGGGTGTCCTCAGGAGGTGGAGTTGGTCCCAAGTCACTGCTGCAAGCCTCTACTGATCCAGTCTTTGCAGGTTTGTTCTGATTCTCCTGCTCCGCTGCCCTCTGTAAAGCTGCATCCACCAGGAGCCTTAGGTCGCTGAAATCCTGTGTGGGGAACAGCTCAGGCGGGGTCGGGGGAGGCGTGTTGAAGAGGCCGCTGGTGGGACTAGCTGCTGTTGTGGTGCTGGTATGAGATGCCTGCTGCTCCTCTGCTTCTCTCAGAAGACTCTGCGTGTCCAGCTTCATTAGCGCCTGGACAGAACCATCTTTTCCAGGATAGCCTGCTCCTGTCAGGATAGCTGTCGCCGTATTCCCAAGGAGGCTGAGGTCCAAGGTGGGAGCAGAGCGGATGACTGAAGGGCGCTGCTGAATTGAGCTGGTGGGAGAGTTTCTTTCTGGAGAGCTGGCTCCACCTGCGTTGGGTGAGGGGCCTTCGTTTTTGCCGCCGACCTTTCGGGAGATGGTGAATTTGGTGGGATCCTTGCCATCCTTACGAAGCAGGTCTGGGAGGAGGCGCCGGCGTGCATTGATGAACCAGTTACAGATCTGGGGAAATAGCAGGAATGACCAGCATTAAAAGAACTGACTCAAAACTGCTAACAGGGATGTTTTCTCTCAACAGATTCATAACTCAACCCTTGCACACCACACTCAAGCTTGAAAAATGATCCGCACTCTGTGATTTAACAACCGCCTACACAATCCCTTTATCTACATCTGAACATGAGGCCCTTCTCACCCCCTCTGGTGGTTCCAGCCTCCCACACAGAGAAGAAACAGAAAAGGAGGGCGAGACAGACAGAGATGAGAGCCCTCAGACAGCTGGCAATAATGAAGCTCTGAGCTCAAATATGCTGAGCCACTGAGAAGGCAGCCAGGAGCATTCCAGAGAACTGAGCGCAGGACAAGAGGCTCTGCTGCCGCCTCATGTTGATCTGTGATGCATTCACTAACGCTGGATGTTTGTGTGTTGTGAGGGAAAGAGGAAATTCCTACTGCTGATGCAATGAGGTGAGAAGGGAAGGCTGGGAAAGTCCGATTCTCGCTGCAGTTTATTCAACATTGTAATGGTGCGATCTGATTCCTGTTTGCTTTGACATTTTCTTAAAAAGGTAATATTACTCAATATACAATAACTTTCAACCTGAAACTATATTTCTATCTGCAGGTAACAGTCAAGGATTTGCGCTTTAAACACTAGGATGCACAAAGATTTTACCTCCCTGCCCTAAGGTTTGCATCATATATAACAAGTATATCTTATGTTTCATGTATTGAAGTGAAAACACAACAAGACCCAACTGTTTTATTACTGCCACACAGCTTGAACAGTTCAGTCATTAATCTGACTTTTAAAAAAGGAAGAGGGTTAATTTTGGCGTTACAGATAACAACTCACTCATGCAAAGGGTACACATCAGCAGAGAAATAAGGTGTGGTTTTGTCAACAGGGGGCGCCAAAATCACCACAAACTGAAAGTTCCTCACAGGGGCTTTAGAGGTACTGAGCATAATGTTTCATGCAAGTATACAGTACTTTTTTAGGGCAGAATAATAATTAGATTAACTTTGAAAATGATAAAAGTTCATTTTCAATAAAAAGAGGTTTATATCTCAGAGGTTTAAGGCTTTGCTGCATGATGCAGTACAAAGTGAAAAGGTTTTATAATACGCAGGAATGTTTAAATTACATATAATTATCTGAAAGTACAAAATGTTTGTCTTTTTTTTTGTACAAGCTCTCTAAATTCACAAAAGAAATTGTACTGGTTATTTTGATAGGGTAAGACGGCAAATAAAGGATCATACTAATGCATCACAGCAGCTTCCTGTCCTCAAAGGCCATCCTCACTTCAACAACAAAATCCTAACTAAATATCTTTATCTATACAATTTGTATCTGTGAAGCCCCCCCAGTATAACTTTTGGTGTGTGTTTGTTTTGGCACCCCCTCTGAGCAGCATTTCTCTGTTGGTCTTTACCTGTGCTTATGTCAGAAGTGTTTTTGTAAAATAAATTATCCTATTTAATGCTTTGCAGTCAAGTCTAACGCTCATCGAGCTTCTATGCAGAAGTTATTAAAAAGGGGGAAATCAAACAATCTACTTTACTTTTTAGAGAAAAGGTATCACTTTTAAACCTCCTTTTTTCAAACCGGTAAAAATGATGCTGATTTTTTAATCGGGTTTAATTTGTAAAGACAGTTATTTAACCCCTAGCAGTAAAAAAAATATAACTCCTCTGCTTACCTGCAGTACAGAGAGGTTGGTCTGACCAGACAGACTCAGTTTCTCCTGCTCTGATGGGTAGGCGTTGAAGCGGTGCTCATACAGCCAGCTCCGCAGAATCTGTACCGCCTCCTTGGGCAGGTTGCCGCGGCGACGGCGCTTTCCACAGAGTCCTCTCCCTGACAGGTCGAGGGGGGAGCCGTCATCGCTGTCCGACACGGCCGAGGAGTGCTCCTGCTCTGGGCGATGTTCTTCTTCCAGAGCTGAGGGAGAGCGGAGAAACGTCAGTCAAGCTCACTGTTTGTTACAAAAAGATGTCACCGCGTCAAATCCATGAGTCACTCGCTTTGAGAAGGTGGTTCTCAGTTTGGTTTTCTGTTTTATCTTTATGTCATCAAACATGAAGTGTTAGGGGGAGAGAAGAGAGCTGTAAATCTTGCTTTAAGGCTTTAATCTTATTGTCACCTCTGCGAAAATGGCTTGTTTTACTTCACTTTCTGGCACAAAGTCCAATTTAATCTACTTCATCACAAATTCTGGAAACGTGTGCACCAAACATTTAAGAAAGTCAGCTATAATTAATCATTTCCACTTACTTTTAACATGCCTTTTTCTGAACCAATTCAAATTTAGATCCAAGGGTCTTACTCTCTCTCTCTCTTTTTCAACAACACCCCTCAACTGTGTTTGAACTCAGTTGTGGTTCTTTTTTTATGTCATTTACTGGTTGGCCACTGGAGAGAATCTCCCCTCAAAATGGAGCATGCCTGATCCCAGGGGTGGGCTGCAGAATGCAGTAAATGTCTTTCTCTGGGGCTGGGTGAAACCTGACCCCCGGGGCAGCGCCTGTCTTCACAAAGAAGATTGTGTGCATATCAGCATCACAGTAGCCAGTGGCCCAGGAGCCTATTGACCATGCAAAGGAGGCTGTTTTCACCTCATGCCATTTGGGCTCAAGACTGCTGCAGCAGTTGACAAATCTTTTGAATCCTGCATTCCTGAACAAGGAGGGAAGTCTTTAAGACAGTGAGGAGAGAGGGAAAGGAATTAAAACATGCTAATTCAGACCCCAATGTCTGCAAAAATGACCTCTGCCACATTAATCTTCACAATCAACAGAAATATTGATCAATCAGATGATTGTGGATCTTTGCCACGATAAGCTCTTAAACTTAGACAGTGCAAATGAAATTACTACGTTTGAGTTTTTGTTATGATATTAAGCGAAGTAATTAGCAAACGTATCAGTCTATCCCAGGAGCTGTTGCAATGAATTGAAATACCCTGTTTTGATCTTGTATAACCCCACTGAAACACCCCTGCAAGTCTTTGTTGTGGATTTAAGTGATCAAAACCCATTTATATGTTAATCTACTCCAAGTATGTAACATTTCATCGCCAGTTAAGTTGTGTTTTGTCTGCAAAATGTGCTTAAAAGTCTAGACTCATTCACAAGACATACCAAAAGCTTTCTTGAGTCAGAGAGAGACATGGTGTAGCTCACAACAAAGTTTAGTTTCTCACAGCTCTGTGCAACATCATTTGATAGACGTTTAAAGGGTTCGCCATAAAGTATCAACACCCATTCAATGTGGAAGTGATTTAGAACAAGCCAAGACACATTTCACGCAGATGTTAGCTTTGTACAGTACGTCAATCCTGCTGCATGCAGCATTTCACAGGGAGGCAACTTTTTTTTGTTTGTTTACACGTTGTTCTCTAATCAAAAAGGAAAATCTGTGCATTGGGAGAGTTATTCTCATACAATAATGTCATGTAAGCAAAATGGTCAAGGGATAAGAGTTGAAATGTTGAACTAACTTTTCACAAGACTCAGTCAGAAGCAGTCAAATATCAACTTACGACCATATCACTTTGTCAAAATCATTACCTCACACTTACAGGCTAATGATGCACGATTGATAAAACACAGCACTGAGTCAAATGTGACGGTAAAACGTGACAAGCCGAGGAGCTGCTCGGTAAATTAGCCATCTGGAGGCGCACAAAGGAGGCGAGCAGAAAAGCACACAGCCTCCCTCCCGCATGTCACTCCGCCAGATGGACACCATGCCTGCCTCCACAGATAACTAGCTGGCTAGCTGTCCCTCCAAATTCAAACACAAACACACGCCGCATTTGCTCGCAACAAAAAGCCCGCATACCAGGCAAAACCAACAGAGAAGACACGGCGTGGAGGTAGACGAACACTCAGCGAGTTTTATCCTTGCGCAGCAGTGTTAAAAAGCACCTCACCTCGTTTGAATGCTTTCATTCTTTGTTGATGGCTTGCTTGAAAACACGCAGCTGTCCAAGTTGCTTGCTGTACAAAGCGTGCCCGGGGAGCCTGAACGATGGTTGACACAACGCCACTTTCTTCCAAGCAGCAGCAGAAGGTGTTGCGCTTTTTTTTGCTCCCGAGTTAAACACGTCGCTTGTGAGGTTCAGTGGTGAGATAGCGTTTCACCTGGCGGACTGTTTCCATTTCCCTCCTCGCTTTCTGCCAGGATAAATGTTTCTGTTTTTTTTGTGTGTCGCTTGTTCCTTTTTTTTACCTGCACACAGCAGCGCCAGCTCTTTGCCAATCTTGACAGTCGCAGCTGAAAAGATCCCGCCTCATCAACAGCTGTCAGCCAATCACAATCCTTTATGGAGCCCTCTTTGCGTCCGTTAGCCAATCAGAGCGCCTCCCGAGACAGCAGACGGGCTCCGCGTCTCGGTGACTGACGGGAGAACAATTTCATTCAAAGAACATCGCAGTCATTCAAACAGTGTTATTTTCTCGACACGGCTGAAACCCCACTCGGTTACAAGAACCAAAGATTGTTTAAATAAAGCAAAAATAGCAACATAGTAATCTTGTAACCATGGTGGCTATTTTTTTTTATCCCAGTGTGAGAAAGACAGCTACACAGTGTGGTGGGCCTTATGTAACGTTGAGCAAAATGTTCTGGTTACATAAATCATGAACGCCGTAGACGTCGACTGGTGACCACATCTGTACAGTAAAAATATGAAAAAACAAGTTATTTTTCGCCTTCTATCTAGTGAGGCTTTTTGAATTTCCTCTCTGGTATTAATAAAGTATCTATCTATCTATCTATCTATCTATCTATCTATACTAAAAAAAAAATACTAACCTAACTAATACTAATACTAACCTAGCCCTAACCTTTTATTGCCTTTTGTATTATATTTGATGCAGACTCTTATAATACTTCTATCAAATCAATATGATCAATAAATTACAAAAAAAAAAAAAGAAAAAAAATTAACACAGTGTGATAATTGATAAAAATGTCCTCTTGTGGTTTATCGGTTTCCAAAAACATCTGCTGTATCAAATGAGATAAATAAATATATTTGGTAAATATTAAGGACATTTTGATTTTTGGGGGTTATAGTAGTAAGCGAAATAAACATTTCAGCTCCAAATACTTGGCCATAATTTGTGGTTTCAGGCATTATTGGACTAATATCAAAGAGTCCCCCATAGTGAAATGAACATGTAAAATCTATTACATGTGTTATGAAGCAAAAACAGAGTGACATCTAGATATGAAAGTCTCCTATCCTGTTTAGTCAACAAACAACTTGTAGACAATTAATTAAAGGCCATGTTGACTTTTTTGAGAAAGTATCATGTGCATTTTATTGAGTATTTCTTTCCTTGTTATACATTTGGACAACCTCGAAATTGTATAAATAGATCTACAGCATTGAAAAAGATGATGAATTTCAGTCTGTTTCTTTTCTATTTACAGAGGACGACTAAAGAAGCACATAAGGGAAAAAGCAGTTAGTTAAATCTCAATATCAAATGACCCTTTGACTCAGTATTGCACATAAGGTTTAAATGTATCAAGGATCTCTGCAAATTTCAAAGTATGGCAACTGTGCCCAGCCACTCACAACTTTAGATTGAAAGGGAAAAAATATATATTAAACTCCAAACTCCCACATACACACGTAAACACGTGCAAAGAGAGAAAGAGAGAGAGAAAGCGAAGAAAGAGAGAGAGAGAAACACAGGCACACACCACTCAGAGCTTATTGTGTTAAATATATACTCTATCCTTTTGAATATGTGCTCCATCAACAAAAATATACACTTTATCTCATATCTCTGTTGGGAAGCGCTCTCCCTCACCCCTAACCCAAACAAAGCAGAGGTGGTAATGAGCTTGTTGCTTTGCCAGCATGCAGGACTTCAGACCACAGTAATGGAGTTGATCACTGTTATCTCAGCAGAGGAAACTCATTTCCATGGATCAAACTGTTTGCCTTTATGCTTCAGGTTAATGTCAGATTAAAGAAGAAAACATAAAAAGTAATTTCTAAACAGATGCTTCACTTCAAAGACAGTGTGGTCAGGACATGAATGGTTCACAGGAGTTGAAACAACTTTGACCTTAAACATTTAAAAAGAGATTTAAAGACATTTTAAATTTTGTGGCTTAGACTACAATTCAAATTTTTGAACCAACCGTATAGTTTGTGGTGTCAGAATGAGGCACATTAAAGAGCAGCCTATAGGGACGCTGAAAAACCAGTTCTTAAATGTAGATATATGGAAAACAGACCACTGCCCAAGCAATCAATGATGGTTTGACTAGAAAGGCCAATTCTATCAAACCATTATCACCCTGGCATCAATGGCTTCACAGACACAAAGCCCCCCACTGTGCAGCTGTTAGGGTCATGGATAACCCTACCCAGGAAATAGTTTGAGGTGTGTCCTAGTGATATCTGTGTATTGGAAAAAAAAGTCTTGGCTGGATGTATTACATGAGATTAGTTTTCCCTATTTTAGTTTGTCTGTGACATGTCTATGAGTGTGGTAAACAGCCAGGTTTTAGTGAGCAGGAAATGCACCACAAATAAGTACATGGTGGTTAAATAGAAGAGCTACTTTTGTCTCTGTTGCTCCCTGTTTTCCTTTGAGTAATTCATATGGCACAGTATTTGGTGTGAATTCAAATCAGATGAGGAGAAAATGTGATGAAATTGGCTCAAATATTAAAAAGCTTGTTGCAGTAAAGGACATTCTATTTCTATTTTTTCTTTTTTTTTTGGAGTTAACCACTTTTTTTAATCATCAGTAAAGAGATCATCTAAAGTGTGTCCATAACACACTCATCACCACACATAACCTTAAACATTTTTGGGGGGCACATTGGCCTATTTTTCATCAAAACTTTTTAGTTTTTTTTTTATGGGCAGTCAGAGATCAAATCAAACTAACGACTGTGTTTGAGTCACACAAATGGCTGTCAGGTGCTAACAATTCTACCCACACCGATTGAATGGAGCAGGGGCATTGACAGCCACCACAGAACAGCCTTTTGACATCCTGAGCTATATTCCTTGCTGAGTTGTTCCCAATCAGGCAATCACAACAGTCATACAAAGGGGCAAGCTCCTGCTAAGGCAGGGGGAGAATGGTGGTCTTCAAGCTTTTCCAATGGAAGACCCTAAAGCTGCACTTTAGAGGTCACAGGAGGAGAGAGTGAGACACTGCTGTAGCTAAAGTAAGGCAGTGATACTGTTTTACATAATTAATTAGGGAGGGGAGGTTGGGGGTTGTTTGCTTTTCATTTAGAAGAAACTCAGTGTGAGTGGAAAACAAGGTACAGGACTGGGGTTAATGTAATAATGTCAGGGGTTGGTAGGTGAGTTCTTTCAGAGGTAAATAACGATTTTTTTGAGGCCTGGTGTCATACGTCTTTGTCTGAGGTGTTTGTGTTTGGTGGAACAAAGGTGTCTGTAAATATGTGTAATCCCCACAATGTGCCCCTTTGATGCAAAACAGGGCAGGGCTGACGGCTAAAATCACTTTCTATTGTGTGTGTATAGAGTTATTAGATGAGGTGTTGCTTGGAATCTCGCCTCTCTCGCCCTCTAGTGGACAGAAAATAAACTTTATAGAATAGGGGCTTCTAGTCTGAGAAGCTGAGAGGCCATTGTTGTGATGAGGAGGAGTTGTGATCAATCTATCAGGCGTCTGCTTATAAAAATGTTAAACCCCGTATACAAACAGTGCTGTGGCTACACTTGTCGTTTTTCACAGTAATGAGTCCCCTGCTGCTGCTGCTGTTTGAATCCATGAGATGAATCTGAAACAGTGAATTCATCTTTGGCATGTGAAGTCTAAAGAAAAAGGTTGAACACATGATGAAAACACGATGACTAATGTATGAGATGCTTTTCATTAAACATTTCTTTTTATTTGAATAAAAAAGTGCAGGTACTTTGGGTGATGTTCAATAAGAGAGACCAGGAATTGGTAACAAAAAAAAATTAAGATTGATTTTGTTGTTGTTTTTTAATGACAGTATAAAAATGACATGTCATATGTGTGTCGCACATTAACACACTGCTATCCTGCTCATTCAGTCTGATTCATATCTTCAATAAAAGCCCTAGATTCAGATGAAATGTTTAAGTTGGATGGTAAGTGAGGTTCATAAAAGCACTTAAAGAAGCGTTAAAGAGACAGATGGATCAAAGAAAGAGCCTGGCTGAAATAACCACAGATCTGCAGTTACAGCACAAATACGGAAAATGTGCTCATTCGAAACCATCTACAAACTTTCTCTCTCCTGTGTTTAAAAATCTTTGACACAACTACACTCTGTAGGACACACACATTAGAGTTAACTGCTAGGATCTCTATAAATACACCTTTAAATCTGGCTTTCATAAAAATATTCATAATAAGCGGATCTAAACTGATTCTTTTTACAAAACTAAAGATGGACAGAGTTGAGAAATTAATATGAGGAAGACGTACATAAGTTTCGGTCTGTGGTAAGCTTAGTATGTGTAGGAGTGCTGTGGGTGTGCTGTGTGTGCAGTGTGTTTGATGGCCACAAGGTGGTGTTGTGGAAAGCTACAAGATGGCCAATGATCTGGGAAGAGAAGAGGACAACAGGGTGCAGAAGAGCCTTAATATTTGCCTTCTGTCTTCTTAATACATCTTATAGCCAAGATAGAGGAGTATTTAAAACAGTCTTCATATAGATTCTTCTGGATATAATCATCATAGTAACAATAACTTCTGTAACAATTTTATGATATCAAGAGTAGGAACAAGAAATGACAGTTCTTCAGGTGAGGTTTTCAATGGCAGCCTCGAATGAGGAGTCTCCTGCTTCATGGCCTGTTGAGTCCAAGAGAAGTTCTGATTTCATTTTCTGTTTTGTCTAATAATTGTTTGATTCCATCAGGACCAGCCTATCACTGTAAGAGTGTGTCAAAAATGCCCAAACCTCCCCCCCAAGCCCATATCTCCAGGAGTTTGATCTCTCCTCCCCCACCACTGTTCCTCTTTTCTCAGAGAAGCTCATTTGCAATATAAAAGTTTCTCTTTCCTCCAAGTATTTCAGTAACACTTATCTGTCCTCTGATCCAACCCTACATCCTTCCCCCACCACCATCATCACCACTGTCCCTCTCAGAGGCGAGTCTGTGCCTCAGGGACGTATATTTCGATACTGTCTGCGCTTTCTGTGGCGGAGTTCTGGCGAAACGAGGCGGCCTTTTTGGCAGCCAGCAGACGCTTGCGAGCCTCTTGTCTCTGCTTCTCTGCTGAGGCCGAAGAAGAGGTGGATGAAGAGTCTGCGCTCTTCTCGCGGCTCAGCAGTGGTCGTCCCTTACCGGGCTTCTTTGTTGCTGGAGGGTCCGCCTTCTCCTCGTCCTGGAGTGAAATGTGGCAGACGGCAGGGGAGACAGTAGAGTGCAGAGGGAGAAGAGACATATGACACAGTGAGATAATGTAATACACAAACTGGGATCAAAAGGCTTCATTTCAAGCAGGTTTGGCAGACAGGACTTTGACAGACAGAGACAGTATGCCAGTGCTGAGTTCTTTCATTTGTCTAAGTGTAGCTGTTTCAGGTGTTAAACAGAGAACACAGATCAACAAATCATAAAAATAGGCAAACATTAGGAAAAACAGTCATTTGCACGACATTCTCAGACATGAAATGGTTATATGAATTAATGGCTACGCTGGATCAAACTTAAAGCACAATCATTTATCACGGGAAACAAGGCCAAAGCAGTTGCACTCAGAGCAACATGACGCAAGAGCATCTCTGCAACAGCAGTTAAAGGGTCACTATATGTACAACACACAGACACAGAGATACACCACAGGACAAAAAGACAGACACACACTGAAGCTGAGACATCTCGACAGAAGCAGCAACAGCAAGACTGCATCAGGAACCCTGAGCCGGTGCATGTTAGCCATGCCCCACTGCAACACACTCACAGTAAGTGACACATGCATGCTCAAAGCAGGGCTTTACACCTAAAAACACACAAACAAGAACCCTCTTTGAGATAAAAGTTCTCCATGCATGCCTAAAGGGATCTCTCCAACCCCTTTGTATTGGACAGAGAGGCCCTGTTAGAGTCCATCCCACGCAGGGACAGGGGGAGTTGAAAAAAAGGGGAGGTAAAAAAGAGTGGGAGAAATGGTGGTGGTGGTGGGAGGAGAGAGGCCGGTTTCGGCGGCTTTCCTACCCCAGCCAGGGCACTGGGCAGCAGGGGTGGGAAGTACCTTCCGCTCAGGGGGCGACTGGGCAGCCGCAGACTGTATGGGCTGCCAGTCATTAGACTTGAGGTGGTAGAGCTCGTCAAACTTGAGGCTGATGTCCTCGATGGAGAGCTGCAGCAGGTCCCAGAAACCAGCCAGGTCCTGGTCTGTGGGCCGGGGGTTGGCGTTCACATTCTGAACAGAAGAATAAGAGAAAAGTTAAAGAGCAGTCAGTAAAGGATCAGGAGATTGTATTCGCAGTTTAGTCTTATCAAAATAAGGAAATAAACTCTCTTACTTGGACTCCGCATACAGAGATGGACCAGTTACACAGTTCAACAAATTCTTATCAAATACACAAGCCTGTCCTGTGTTTGTGTGTCACATATTTCATTTGCCTACCACTGCCATTTAAATGAGAATAAATGTTGTACTAATGTTACCACAGCACGGTGTATGTTGATCTCACAAATGATGTTAGGATCTTCCAAAAAATGCTTCCCCATTGTTCCTGATTGTTTTGTGCTACTCTTTTTAAGTGGTGGCATTTGTATAACAGCACTGCAGTACTGACGATTACAGGGAGCAGTCTATGCCTTTATAAGGTAGCTCAGAGAGGAGAGATGACAGTAAACACGCAGAAGCAGACTAGGAATGGTATTCTACATTTCCTGGCCAATCTGACAACAGAGATTTTGCAGCCTATGTTCAGACACTCAGCTGTAGACGCTGGGATGCCGTCACAAAGAAATTCAGTGTTATATAATGACATTATGACCATGCCACACCTCTTTACCAAATGACCACATACTGTGCTCTGACCAGTCCTGCTCTCTTTGATTTCACCATTAGAGGGAGCCATTTAACAACTAAATTCTTTGGTCCCACTGTACTACAGTCCACAAAAAAGATCTCAACAGAATTGTATCCTTTAAGTAACTGTTGGCATATTACTAATTAAGGAATTAGCACTGTATTATAGGCATGTTAAGTAAGCCTGTCTGTTGTGTCAGAGCAATAAAAAAAAAAAAAAAAAAAAACGCTGTGAAAAGATTTTTACAAAATCAACATGCAGTAATGCTTTTATTCAGGACTCGGTGTCCCAAGAAGATTAAAAGTTTCAACAGACTAAACCCTTTAAAACTGCCTCGTCTGTGTGCATTGTTTGCTCAAAGTCTGCACAGATTGTCAGGCAGATAGAAAGTAAATCCGATTGTGACAATTTTTTATGAGAGTAATGCTAGAGACTGGCTGGCTTTTGTTAGTACTGGCTTCTTTATTTGGTTTTTATTCACACAGCTGTATCCCCAATTTAGAGTTCAAACCTTTGGGCAAATGTGTTGTTTGATGCTTAGTTGAATAGCTCGGATGTTATGACGGCATTTAAAAAAGGTTGAACAGGAGAATATTTCGGTATTGTTATTTTCTCTGCTGAATGCGCTTATGTTGTGTTCTTACGTGAGTATCTTTCTGCCTGCACACTTTGTCCTCATTTTGGTAACCTCTCAAGACAATTCACATACTAAAGGTCAGGTAAAGGTAAGGGAGCACATTACTCCAATCCTGGCCTCCCTCCACTGGTTACCTGTGCATTTTAGAGTTCATTTTAAGATTCTTTTATTTGTTTTTAAATCTTTAAATGGTGTGGCTCCATCTTACCTATCTGAGCTTCTCCACCCCTACACCCCTGCTCGGTGCCTCAGGTCAGCTGATCAGCTGCTCCTGGAGGTACCGAGGTCCAAACTGAAGCTCAGAGGGGATAGATCTTTTTCTGTTGTGGCCCCAAAATTATGGAATGAGCTACCCCTCCAAATCAGACAAGCCCCCACACTGTCCATTTTTAAAACTCGTCTTAAAACCCTTTTTTATTCATTAGCTTTTAACCCTGCATGAGACTCAGCTCCTGTTTTAGTGTTTTATGGTTTGTTTTTAGTTATTTGTTTCTACTGTTTTTAAATTAGTTTTTAAAAACATTGAAACTATATTTTACTTTTTAATATCTGTTTTTATTTTATCCCTTGTTTTAATTGTTTTTTTTTTTAAATAGTTTTTTATGTCTGTGTTGTTTTGTCTATTTATGTTCAGCACTTCGTTCAGCTGTGGTTGTTTTAAAGTGCTTTACAAATAAAGTTGAGTTGAGTTGAGTTTAAGTCTCTCCCTAGCTCAATGGTAAAGGTATCATCAATAACAAGATATTATAATCAGCTGTACTTCTACATGTTGCAAGTCCTGGCATGTCACAGTAAAAGTTTTTGGACTTCTCAGCATTAAAATCTTTTGTCTGGCTAAAATGGCAAAGAAGTTCTTAATTAATCCGTCATGTTTTTCCCTCCATGTGATCTGGTGGTAGTTACACAATTTGCACAAAGCCAGTTCCAGCGAAACAAGTCACCTGAGAGGAATGGCTTGTTGGCTTATTATAAGCTCATTGTATTTTGGACTGGTGGGCCACCAGGACTTTGTCTTTGTAGAAGCGGAGAGGCTGTTCAAATACTAGACAGTGGCCTTTTGTGGGAAGGATTTTCTGTTCATTGGTGCAAGCTACTCTGTGAGAAGAGAAATAAGGCTAAATTTAACGCTAGCTTTAGTCAGTCCTACAAAACATGGGTTTGGGAACCTGGGTGCTGGTCTTGTAGAGTTGAAGCATTAAAAAAAGGATTTATACACACCAAGTTCTGATCACACAGTCCCCGGAACTGCTTGAACTTCTTGGATATTAGGAGCTGGGCACTTCCTACTGCACTGCGAACCTTTCCCAGCACTGAAGAGAGAACAAAAATCCCGATACATGAACATTTGAGAAAATAATGTAAAGACAGAGTATTATTTCTGCTCTATTTAAACAGCATGCTGTGTACACAAAGGCACAGAAACAGTCTCAGATTCACTAAATTATACTAGCTTTACTGTTGATGGAGGCAAACTAGAAGCTTACTGCAGGTGTCCTCACATTTTAAAATGCAACGCCAAACCATCTCATCAGGAATGAGGGGGATTACAGAAAATTGGACGATATTATCCTCTTGAGAGGAATCTGAGCTTATATAGATACTATATTCCTTTTCCTGTGAGTGGTGACTGAGCCCTAGCTAAACTGGGACAGACATCTGCCCTGACAAAAAAAACTGGGACTCCTATCTGATCACTGGATTGAAAAATTATCAAATTAAACATGATTATGGTGTATAGTGATCCAGCTCTGGAGTACAGAACTGCATTGGATTTGATGCTGACTATTTCATTGCACAAGCTCTCTCTGGCTCTCTCTTTTAAACACACACACACACACACACACACGCACGCACGCACGCACGCACGCACGCAACCTTTTAAAGGACGCGCGACCTTTTAAAGGAACTGAGCATCTAAAGCATGCCCAGTGTTTGTTTGTTTGAGTGTACATTTGTGTGTGTGTGTGTGGGTTTGTGTGTGTGTGTGTTCACTGCTGCTGTTTAAGCACTAATCTAATCTGGAGGTTTAATCAGTTGCAGAGTAGATTTGTGTAATTCTGGGGATTACAGGCCTACTTGTGTGTGGTAACCCCAGGTATTACCGCCTCATTCCCTCCATGCTGTGTGTGTCTGATAGAGTGATTGTACAGACTCAGGCACAACTTTACAACAGAGCTCACTTGTAGTGTTTGCGCCTTAGACAGGAACAGAGTAACCTTTGAAAGAGGCTCAATATGCAGGGCTCAGACAGAGGACCCACACGGGATTGAATCTGGCTGTGCTTTGACTCTAGTTTGGTCTTTATGTGCCATATCTGACTCAAATACCCACATTTAGCTTGAATATGATATTTGTTATATTCAGTGATGCCACTCACGTGTTACTTAGTACAGCACTACTCCAATAAGTCCACTTTTTTCAGTAACAAATAATCTAACGCGTTGCTATTTCCAAACGAGAATTAGATTTAAGTTTCATGTCCAAGTCACTGTGTGCGTTTTTTTTCTCATTTTACTTAAAAAAATAAGATTGATTTGTTTTCATCTGGGAGGAGTGACGTCAGTCACATAGGCGACAAGTCATGTTTTTAGCATGAGGAACACTCGCATGTAATACCCCACTGAGCAATAGACGGCTATTAGACATAAAGAAATTTTCAGACCTAATTTCAACCGTCTTGATTCTGTATATTTTTAGACGGATTTTAGATGTTGAACTTTAACCCATTATTCGATAACTGTTTATTTCAAAAAGCAACTGTGAGTTGCATAACTGATCTCCAAGTACTTAACAAAAATAATTATGATAGCCGTTGAGCAATATACAGTGTAGTATAGATATAGCCCAGATTTAGACTTGGTCTACATTCAGATGTCTAAAAAACTGTCACTTTTAGACCTGTGGTAGTCTGATTTTAGACCAGTCGTCTAGGCTACATTTAGACGTCTATTAGACCTCTTTTAGACCAAAAAACGCTCAGTGGGACATGTGCAAACACATAAAGAAGCCATGGCAAAATGAACATAAACAACAATGGAGGGAGGAGAGGGGTGCCTGTTTTCAAGTTTTCAAGAAAGACTGTCTAAAACATGTATTTTTTGATATTCCTGTTAAAATTACACTTCCAATAAAGTGAGTGTTGGAAAGAAAATGGTTGTCATTTATATGTTGAGGCTGTTGAATGTAACTTAAAAAGTAACTTTTAATGTAACTTAGTAACTTTTAAAATCAAGTAAACAGTAAAGTAACTAAGTTACTTTTATAAGAAGTTATCTGTAATCAGCAATCAATTCACCTTGTAAAAGTAACAGCAGCAACGCTGGTTATGTTTCATGGAGAGAAACCTTCTACGGGTGAGTTGGAAAAATCTGTGGTGCTGTATTTATAGTGAGATAATTCACCAGAGAAGCCAGAAGTTGTCGGAAGTACCGTATTTTTCGCACTATAAGGCGCACTTAAAATCCTTTTGGCTTGTTGGAGCACTGCAGCTACCGTAGCCTCGTGGAGTTATTGAATGATTTAAATAAAGTTCGACTTTTCCGACTTTTTTGTTTGGCTTAATGCGCGTTATAATCCGGTGCGCTTTATGTATGAAAACAGACACAAATAATCGCATTCATTGATGGTGCGCCTTATAATCAGGTGCGCTTTATAGTGCGAAAAATACGATATACTGGTTCCCTTACCCTCCTCAGAGAGCTGGTTGTCTTTGGTTTCTTGCTCCATCTGCTGACACCAGCCCTCCATGCGTCCTGTCTCGGCCTGCAGCAGCTTCAGGAACCAGTGTCCGTCTCTCCGGCACAGAGTCCCCCCTCCTCCGCTCTGGGGGGCACTGCTGTTACTACCATTACCACTCTCCAGCCAGGGGTCTGGAGGTGGCAGAGACGAGGGGTCCAGTGCGGGGTCTAAGCTTTCAGAGAAAGAGGAAGAGCTACTTCGTGTGGTGGAGCGGTTGAGGATCTGCCTGGGGAGTGGAGGTGAGGAGGTGTCACCAGTCGTGTCACCATTGTCTAAAGAGTCCTGTCCAGGAGGGGAGCTCATTGATTGGCTGCCACTGTTGACCATGACTTTCTTCTCAGGGTGTTTGGTGTTATTGATATGGGTGATGATGGGGATGTCCTGTGTGTCTGAGTCTGTCTCTTGTTTTGAGGCCATGCTGCTGGAGCGACTGTTCCTGAAATAAAGGGGGATAAGACTGTTACAAGAATCGACCTCAAATACATCAAGACCTCTTGGTTTTTGCAGTTTATTTTGGTATCTGACTTGTGTTGAGCAGTGTAAAACGTAGACAAAACAAAACTTCCATAAGAACTTAAACTTTTTAATGATCATGTCAAATCTTCTCCTTTCGAGGATCTATATAATCTAAAATACTACATCTACTGTATATGTAGTCTGTTAAATTTACTGTGGCATTGCTTCTACTGCTTCTAGTTTTACTGACATTAAACCAGTCTAGGGCTGCCTGAAGCTCAACTCTGCACCCCATTTTCTACATGAGTGACAGAAATGCTGCCTCCACAATCATCTGGATGTGGACAAATTTGAGTAGGACAGCATACGAAGACTCAAAATGCTAAACAAGAGCAAACTTTTGTGAACGGCTTTGAATTACGCCCTGAGACAAAACTGAAAGTGGTGGCGAATGACTCTTGGTGCTATTAGAACTGACAATGCATTGTTAGTGGATTCGCCACTGTGTGTTTGACTTAGAAAAGCGACTGATCAGAGAGCTGGCTTCCCACTGAGCAATAGACGGCTATTAGATGTCTAGTTTTTTTTTTTAGACCGAATTTCAACCGTTTAGACTCTGCACTTTATTCGATAACTATTTATTTCAAAAAGCAACTGTGAGTTGCATAACTGATCTCCAAGTTCTTAACCAAAATAATCATGATAGCAGTTGAGCAATATACAGTTAGACCTCCATTAGCAGACTAGTCTAAACTTGGTCTAAAAAATTGACATCTAAAAAACCTTCGCTTTTAGAGCTGTGGTAGCCTGATTATAGACCAGTAGTCTAGGCTACATTTAGATGTCTGTTAGACCTCTTTTAGACAAAAAATACTCAGTGGGTAAATACATGTGACAACAGGGCACTCATTCTGGCCCCATCACTTATCACTGTGAGTCTGATCTTCTATTTTTATACGGAAAATGGAAGAAAAGGCTAAAACTGGACATTGTCTGATTCTACATTTTTCCATTTCCTGTTTTCAGGAAATGCTGCTGTGTGGATAATAAAAAAAAAAACTAGATTTGCTTAACTGACTAATCTTAACTCATGCCAAGAGGACAGCAACAACAAAAGCACAGTGTACACTTCATTTGGAAAATTATCAAAATAATTCAGATCACCTCATCATACAATCATGTGTGTATAGCCTCAGTGAATGCTGAGAAAACATATGTTTGCAGGAATAAACAGAGCACCCTTTAGTGCTGCTGGGTTTGTTGGTAAAATAACAGTCAGGAGTCACAACAGCTGCTATAACAAAACACAAAACACAGCAAACACAAGTGAGAATGACTTGTAGCAGAGTGAAATTACTTAGGAAAAACAGGAAAAGGTTTGGAGAGTAAAAATGGAGAAAATCTTATAACTTACAATGTCAGTAGTCTAAGCAAAAAACATCAAACGTCACACAAAGATGGGTTTACATATTCACTTTACAGTCACATCTGAGATATTCTGTGAAGGGAAGAGAATGGTCAGAACAGTGTATGTGGCTATAATATAAATTCCTCACGTTGTTACAAGGACAGGAAGAGGACTTACTGCCACCCGTCCTCCACCTGTACTCCTATCGACTGAAATTTGGCCAATGGCGGGGTCTCTTCTCGTGGAACTTCCTGGATACAGTCAACCTTAGAAGAAATGAATAGTGAAATGACAACAGCTTAAATCAGTGACAAAGTTAGGAGAATCAGACAAAATCAAACTGACTTAACTGCTCTCTCATCAGTTATATCCAGCACAAGTACAGTAGTGTGGGGTTTATATTCTCTAAGGTATAAGAATCAAGATCTAGGGTTACCCAGTGCAAAGAATATCAATGCTGCAGGGTCTGAAAAATGGAGAGAATGGCTGTTATTTCAACACACACAGGGCAGAGATTCACGGCTGAGATTTAACAAAAATATAGGTTTACTGCCCTCGGTATGCAGCCAGATGTAATGACAGAGTGCTCTTCACCCTAATGAAATCTTTAGCTGGTATAAGCACATTCTTTAGCTGTAAGGGACACATGCAGACATGGGCAAGAACCACAGAGGATTACTGTGAAAATTATCTTTCCTGGATCCTCCTGGAGGGATAAGTTACACTTTGAACACAGAGTGGATCCATCATGACGGCGCTGCTCTGCATTAATGTGTGAAAACAACACCGACGGTGTTTGCTGCTGCAGACCCCTCACCTACCTGTATGCCAATGGAGGATAATTTCCTTCTGGGTACTGGGGCCACAAGAGGCTCTTCTGCGACTAAATTCCCTCTATTTGGTCCTGATTTAAGGGATTCATTCTGGATGACTGCGTCACTCGTCTCAGTCGAAGCGTTGGAGGTGGTGGGGGCGATTGGCTCTCTGGGGATTGCAATGGGAGTTGGGATAATGTGTGGAGGGCGAGGGATACCCCAGGCCAGGCTATTGGCACGGGTGCTGTCAAGGCTGTCAGAGGAGTTGCTGTGGGCGTGGCTCGACTGGCTGTTGACCTCCGACCTCCGGTCCTGCTGGTCCAGGTAGTTGTCCTGAGCCGACTCTGTACTGCTCTGTACCGTCACAGAGATGTAGGGCTTGGAGGTTGTGCGGGGCGGCACTGGTGGAGGGGCAGACTTCTTACAGGTGGTTATGCATGTAGACACTAAAGGAGAAAAAAGAGAGGGACACAAGCTTCAGAGAAAAGGATTACATGTGAGGGTGGGTGCTTTTGAGATGTTTTGGAAAATCTTTCAGGCATAATCATGTCAAAGAAGAGCAAAATACAAAAAATGGAAGTTTCCCAAAGGTGTATGCATAGACCTTCAGGATCAGTAGAGCCTCTTGTAAAGCATAAAATCCAATCAGAGAGGAAGCTGAACAAGCTTACTGTTCCACACAGGCATCTACATGAACTCACACTTCAAAGCCTTGATCAGGAGACAGGTGACGTCATAAGTTGAGCAATTTGCCGGCCATTTGACTCTTGAGACCAAATATGGCTAAAAAGAGAGGACGGACATTTATCAGCACCACTCCCTTATTTTCTCTCTGGCTATGAGAGAAATAATAGAGAGGTACATTAACAACGCAGACAGAGGCCTTGTAGAAATGAGTTAGACTGTTCCGTCTGTTACAGGAGAGGATCACACCCATTTCTTTCACCAGTGACTTGATTATTGTATAAACACTGGACAGAGTCTAACATCACTGAACTCCACACACTCTGAACTAAAACTAGTTGACACACACCGACACTCCCCCTTATTGCTGTGGAACAAATCCATCTAAAGTTTTAAGTAGTCGATTAAACGTTGTTTTTTTTTTTTTGATTGACAGATTAAATCTGTAAAATCTGATAGATTTTTATCTTTTCTGTGAATATCTGTCCTGTCAATATTGGCCCTGAAAACCCAACCCTTAATTACTATCTTGTTTAGTTCCATGGTCATGTAGGATGATGTAAAGGATTAAAAACGTAAAGCTGAGCTTCTTAAAGTAGGGACTCTTCCACACTGCAAGAGTCCAACAGTCAACTACAAAGCAGATATCATTTCACCACAGTAACCTCTGTAAAACATCTCTGTCATTATTCTGCTGTCTGTTTTCATCAGATTAAAGATATTCATTATCTACAAAGCCACCGAATCACTTATCCCATCCCTGAATGTGAAATTATCCATCTGGTCAATGGATACAGATTGTAAGTACAAATAAGTGACCCTCTGTGGGCAGCAGTTCAACCAGTGACTGTACAAGAAGAGACCGAGCTAATGGGCTAGGGAAGGTAACTGTCAAGCAGGACTAGGTTGCAACTGTAAGTACTGTAAGAGACGGACATCTCATGCAGGAAGTTGTCTTTAAGAAAAGTTCAAAGAGTCCCTGAAGCTTCAAACCAGGGCAGAAATTCCATAAGCGCACATTCACAGTATATCAAAGGCAGAGTGTGATACTGAACCACAGAAACCCATAATCAAAACGGGGAACTTTCTGTGGCTGCCACATGATCTGATAAACAGATGCTTTATTTGATACCACACTAGAGACAAAACCATGGAAAGTTGATGGAGCAGGAAGATGGCTGAAGACAGAATAGAACTGGTTGTACTTAGACTTGGGAAAGTCGCGTTATGTTGACAAAGTGACTCACTGTGTGTGTGACAAGTTCGGAAACTTGTTAGATGGCGTGCTGAACAGTTGGTGGTCACTTTCATACGTGAGTCCACTGATTCTGGACAGTCCAACCACTGTTTACCAAAAGCAGAGGGCTTAGAGATGTGAGCATCTTTCCTTGTCTTTGCACATCATACTGCTCACAGCTAGGGCTGGGTAATAAAACGATAATGATATAGATTTTCGAGATATATCGAAAATTTGTTTCCCTCTATATCGACATAAAACATGGTCAATATGCTTTTTGATAGTCGGCATTCTGCCATGTTTTGGTAGACTATACAAATAGCCAATGAAAAGGGGAGTTGCTCTGCGTCCGCTCAACCAATCATGTGCTGAATTAGAACCAAGTAGCAAATAACTGCATAGTAGCAGGCTGCAGCTACACACAAACACAGCATTTTAGCATGTGAAGCCGACAGCAATGTTGGTGAGAAAAAAAGAAAATGAGTGCTACCTCCGGCCGAAATGCAGATGAAGGCTGAACAGATGATGACATCTTAGACAACACTGGCACGAAAACATCAGTGGTGTGGAGGTATTTTTGAGGTTGGACATGAAGCAGAGTCAATCATCCATCCATTTTCTACCGCTTATACCCGTTAGGGGTCGCGGGGGGTGAAGTTGCCAGTTCATCGCAGGGCTGACATATAGAGACGAACAACCATCCATGCTCACATTCACACCTACGGGCAATTTGAAAGTGGCCAATTAACCTAACCCCACTTAGGCATGTTTTTGGGATGTGGGAGAGAACTGGAGTACCCGGAGTAAACCCAGACACAGGGAGAACATGCAAACTCCACACAGAAACGCCCTGAGCTGGATTCGAACCCAGGACCCTCTTGCTGTAAGGCGACAGTGCTAACCACTACACCACTGTGCCGACCGAAGCAGAGTAATGTGCACTGCAAATTATGTTGAGTACATGATCTCGCAAAGTCTGGGGATACCTCACCTGAAGCAGTGCCACGCAGCAGAGCACGTTCAATGCAAAAGGTTACAAACCTCGTGCAGACCAAGGAGCCCATGGTGCCGGTGCAGCCGAAACAGCCGACCGTTCAGCTTTCTCTAGTGCAACACCTTACGACAAAATGTCAAAGAGACACAAAGACCTCACAGATGCAGTAGCTTATTGTACTGCAAAAGACATGCTACCAATAAGCACTGTAAAATTTCATTGAAGAGTAACAGGGAACATTTAAGATTGACAAGTGATTTTTTTATATCGTGAAATATATTGATATTGACTGATATGAAAAAAATAAATTGTGATAAACTTTTTCCTATATTGCCCAGGCCTACTTACGACTATCTTTTCACAATCTCAGCCCTGAAGAGCCCTAAAGCTACAGCCTGAGATGTCACGCAGCTTGAATGACTGTACGCTCCTGATTGCATACATGAAGAGGCACACACATGCGCACACACAAGTAAGGGGTGCTCTTAACAATACTTTAACATAACTGTCAGCATCTTTAGATTGCTTTAATAGGGCCCAATGTCTCATTGTACCATGGTATAAAAAAATAAATCACAATCTAGAAGTCGGATGTTTGTAATTTCTTGCCTTGAAACCAAGACTGATCAAATCAAGGAAAAGAGGAAGCTACATAAGTCTGTAAATATTGTTCATGCCTTGTTTTGCTTTGCAGGATGATGTTACTGAAAATCTTGATAAGCCATCCAGGATTTTGAAGAATCCTTGCAGCAAACATGTGAGCCGCTGTAAGAGACTCGAACAAAAAGACTGTTGTTCGTTATAATCCACTACTTAGATTTCCTCCAATGTGTATGGAACTCATATGATCCCACACTCAGTGCCAAAACAAACCCTTTGAACTGTGAGCTGCTACAGCTGTCAGTTAGCTCTGCTTTTTCACACAGCCTGAACTACTGCAACACCACTAGCCCCAAGTACTTCCTGGTCTTTTTTCAGAGCACCTTTAACAGTTACCAAGTGCTTTTGTGGGTTATCTCTACTTTCAGTTAGGAAATTAGGTTTTTGCATTTTCAGTCTGCTATTGCTTCACATGATTTCAGAGATCAGCTAAGTTTAATTAGTAGGGGTGGGAGAAAAATCGATACAGCATAGTATTGCGATATTTTGCCTGGTGATATATTGTAATGTATCGCAATACTCACTTTATTGCAAAATGTTAAAAATCACAATAATATTGTATCGTGGCCCAAGTATCTTCATAATATCGTATTGTGGCACAAGTATCGTGATAATATTGTATCGTGGCCCAAGTATCATGATAATATTGTATCGTGACAATATCGTATCGTGGCCCAAGTATCGTGATAATATTGTATTGTGGCCCAAGTATCGTGACAATATCGTATCGTGGCCAAAATATCATGATAATATTGTATCGTGACAATATTGTATCGTGGCACGAGTATCGTGATAATATTGTATTGTGGCCCAAGTATCGTGATAATATTGTATCGTGGCCCAAGTATCGTGACAATATCGGATTGTGGCACAAGTATCGTGATAATATTGTATCGTGGCCCAAATACCGTGATAATATCGTATTGTGGGGCCACTAACCCCTATTAATTAGCTTAAGTTCCCTTTATTCTCATTTATTAAATCCAATCTAAGCTTTGCACCTTATCGGGACGTAACCATCAACTCAGGTTTTTAAGGAGTCTACCTTGTTGTCTCTCAGAAAACCAGCCCAGTGCGGCTGAAACCACATTTCATATGATAAAACAGTGACAAGAACCAAATGTCACCAAAAAACCACACCCAATTTAAATAATATTGACTGGATAGGATTCCAGCCCTCAGTGTAAATAAATTACTGCCAGTACAAACATAGCTTCTCATGCAGCAGGATAAAAGCCAGCCTGATAGCGAAGTGTGATGTCTTCTTAATGATGCACATTTAATGATGATGGGAACCATTTGCAGTCTAACTCCAATAGTCTACCACAAGAGAATAAGGAGACATGCCAGCTATACAGTCTCTGTGACAGAAAGCTGTAACCTTCCCAGAATAAACATTTGGCATCCCCCAAAACCTCTTTCAGACAAAAACAGAAATCCAGTCCAGTCAATCCAGATTTACTTTAAGAAACCAGCAGTTCAGCATCAGTCATAGTTGAAAGCATGTGCCACCAGCCATGGATTTTCCACTAACCTCTGCTTTAGAAAACCTGCTGAGACAGATTTTACATGTCCACGATCCCTTCCATGGCTGAGTTAGATGCTGAGAAGCTCACTGTTTTCACTGATGTAGCAGATATGTGATGCACCAGCCCAATCCAGCATCCCAGCCCAGCCAGATAGTTGTTATAATGGATGATAAAGACCATAGATCTTGTGTGGGTGTGTTTGGTCCCTTGCCCTGCGGTTCTCCTAAGGTCACATCCTGCTTTCGTCATTCTGAACAGAATTCCCCCTTAAGTCCTAATACCACAGAAATCTGCTTTATCCACCAAAACAAGTCCTAAAATCATATCTGACAGCTGCTCTTCAGATTAGATAGGAGCTAAATTACTGAAACTGGACACAATAAATAATTCGGGTCAATATTATCATCCGATTTTTAGCTTAGCAAAAATATACTGATGCTGTATATGTAGGCTGATGAAGATAAAAAAAATGGAAGTAAACAAATAGCCAAGTTTATGAATCCTGGTTGATTTGGAAGCAGCCCTATCCTAAAAAAGAGCCTCTGTGAAGAGCACTGATGGTTAAATAAAATATATGCATGCAAGAGAGATGTAAATAATAGCAAACATTAATTAGCTATTTATGATATCAGGAACAACAAAGACTCAGGGGAGGATTTTTAGAAAATGTTGAAGTGAGGCATAAAGGCAGGAGTGTCTTGACTGAGTGCTTATTCTTTTATTAGAGCACAAATATATGGTGTTTATTTGAAATTACTCGACCCAGCTTAACTTAATGCAACAAGATGACCACATCAGTGATCAAACAGGTTTCAGACAGGTTTGGAGTTTAACCACATTGGTAATTTCTCATGGCTGAAGCTCCTGGTTTCACCATAGCCTAGGTCTAGGTGGTTAAACTAGTGAGTACTCAGCCACACAAAACTTAAAAAAAGCCAACAGAATTTGACACTGCAGCACAAAAAAACTCAAGCTCATGAAACATAATCTTGCATAATAATGCAACCATGGCAGATTTTTCCGTGGGCAGAGAATTCCCACAGACAAATTATGTACGCATAGTAATTCACACATGCTCTAATGTGGACCATTTCCTGAATATGATTATTTTACAGAACTTGGCCTCACAAACATTCACAGCTGTGCAAGCATGAAACACACCCTAGGATGTCATAGCTGCTGAGAATAGTACCAACATTAACAAAGCCTTTCCTAAACCTGAATATTCTCAGCACCTCAGAAAAGAGTTATAAAACCCTACACAAAGCCAGGAGCTGCTCAGCTCAGTGGCTGCTCCACTGTAGGGAATATAACAACAGAAACAAGCAGACGCTTTGTGCCAAAATGTTTGAGTGGAATCTGGAGTGGGTGCTGAGCAGTGCTGTTTTCATGCCATCTGGACAGTGGTTCTGTTGTCCACTGAAAGCCCTGGTTCAAGATGTGATTTTCAAGGCTGGGAAACAATTAGTTGCAAGGAGCTAAAGCAGTGAGAAACAAATTCCAACAACCCCATGACTGCTTTTGATCCACTCTCACTATGGAGTAAGACCTGTAGCTCAATATATCTAATCACTTTTCAATCCTTATTTTAATTTCAGCAATGATCTACATGTTATGTTGTCGAAATAATCACAAACTGAAAAAAAACAAAACAAAAAAAACAAAAAAAAACACAGACACAAAAAACCTTGGTCAGATGTGATGTGCTAGACCCTTCACACTGTCTCAGTGTTTGCTTTGAGAAGACAGAGTAGGACAATTCAGCAACCATAGCTTCAAAATGCCATCACTTGCAGCATAATTATGTTTTTGACCCCTGAAATCCTCATTAATTGTTTGAATTTCCATTTTTTGTCTAAAATAATATGGAGAGGTTAACCCAGATTCATAGATCAGGTGGAATTTCTCCAAGAGGTAGAGTATTGCGGTGAATAAACGGAGCCTTTCCCTCATTGCTAAATGCTAAACTTTAACTACTGCACTGGGTATGATTTACAACCAATTATGCTGCTTTACACACTGTAGGAAAGAGCTTGGCGTCAGTAAATGCTAAAGATGGTAAATCATTTTGAAAAACTATTGTGGCGATTAATTCCTAGAAGCATACAAGTTTCATTAAAGGCTTATTAATGACATTGCGAACAGAGCTATACATTTCAAAATCCTTTGTAGAGGTGAAGCTGTGCTGTTGTCAGTTGGTACAAGACAATAACAGACAAAAGGTGAACTGTGACGCTCTATTTAACATCTTAGCATCGCTTGCCAAGTTGCCTCCTGCCTGCAGCTGACCCATCTGTATTGTTTTATAACATAACAGACGTACAATGAGACACACAAACCTTGCCTGCAACTTTAACCACTCCATCAACCCTCGAGCCATTATCCCAATGACTTATCACAACAAATGCTGTCAACAACAGCTCAGCTACAAAGCTGCTCAACCTAATATATTTAAAGTGACTTTAACTTGAGATTTAATTCATGTTGCCACACATGGGAAAACCCTTAAGGGAAAAAAGCAGGGCAGCCCTCAGATCATTCCCTGTGGATGCCAATTTTCCATTTCAGTGACCAAACATAAAGCACTTTTTAAAAAGATGAGGGGATGTATTTTATTTTAGAAAGCTCAGGCAATACAGTATACTTTACTATATTCTTAAACATGCTCTTTTCTAATTGCAGTATGGGTGAAAAAGAGAGCATCAAACTTCTCTGCAGGCATTACTGACCATTACAGCTATGGGAGAAATGCTGTTTATCCTTTTTGTAGGGGAGAGTGGGGTAAGATGAGCCATTCTTCATATTTCAGATCACTACATAAAGACAAACATAGTTTTGTCTCTAACTAGTGTATCTGCATATATTTCAAGATGTTGTGCATCCCTGCAAACCAACAGAATGAGTGGAAACATAACTGTCTTGATAATACAGCATGACAAAAAAAGTGGTCTCCTATGGTCGACTTGCCCCGTGTATGGGGTAAGTTGACCACCTTCTCTCTTCTCTGTTTTTATCGATTATACACTATTCAACTGGTACAATATTTCTTTCACCATTTCCAAGTAGCCGGGGGTGGCTCAACTTACCCCACTCTCCCTTATTAGCATTTAAAAAACCCAATTAAAATACGAATTTGCTTTAACATGAGAATGTCTTTAAGTGATTCAGAACATTCACAGCTGTATTTTTGGAGAGAAAAAGTAACACATTTTAACAATCTGAACTGAAACTCTGATCCTCTCATCAGACTCCTTTACCTTCTAAGATGAACCACTGACTTACTCTACGCCAGAATTAGGATGATGACTTCATTAGTCCTCTAAACTAAAATGTTGGACTTTTATGCTAGGTTTTTGACCTCATGTTGTAGCTCATAGATACCACAATTGATGTATAAAACAAATTTAAAATGATCTTTTTTGGTCTGAACACAATTCTAATAAAACTTATGACGGACTAAATCCACTTTCAAGAGTGAAAAATGTTTTTTGGAAATAAATGTCTAACCTCTTCACCCATGTGCTTCTAACCTTTACAGACTCTATGAACATTTGGTCACATGATCAATTTCTTTTACCATTTCCAAGTAGCCGGTGATGGCTCAACTTACCCCACTCTCCCCTATTAGCATTTAAAAAGCTAATTAAAATACGAATAAACTTTATCTCTAAATTACTTCTTAAGGTGAGCAACTAAAATGTTGATTATTCTATATGAGAGCAAAAGAGAGGCATGTATCAACTGATGAGAAGTTGAGCAGTTGAAGTAATTTCCTAACACTCTCATGAAAACACACACCAGCGATATGATACAGTTGGTTAAGTTGCGTTCATAGTCGTGGAAAGGTCATTAAGTTTGTAGAGTTAAAGATACCATTTGATTTAAGTTTCTTTTGATACCCTGCTGAAACAAGCACCAAACGAGCTCGAATAATACTGACACAGTCAAACTAACTCACTCAGCGAAATGACCAAGTAAACACTGGTCTTTACCGAGACGTTATAATAACAGTCTGTATCACCCAGAATACTCACCCAGAAGTCGGTCGCAAACAAACACACCTCACCATTCCCCGAAACTACATTGAAATCACTGTCAGACCAGTAGCTACAGCACTCATGCTCTCTTCCTTCAAGGTTGTGGGTTAGAAAAGCCGGGTTCAGCTGCTTTTTGTTTGTCTCCCGAGGGAGGCGTGTCTGCTGATGCCTCCAATGACGCCTCGGAGAGTTCAGCTCCTAACGATTGATTATTAAAGGCGAGCATGACTCTAGTGCACAATGTGTGCTTACATTAAAAGCAGTCACAACTTATTAGTTATCTAGGACGGGCAGTAAAAATCCACTTCATCTCCAGGGGTTTGAAAAGAGGAAAGACTCAAACACTTGTCCTCAGCTTTGTGAGTGGGTGGCTTGTCTTTCAGCATGCCAACTAAATATCCATATAGGCTATTTTGGAACTTAGGATGTTATCAGTTTTAAAATAGCCCATGATGAACTGAGACCACCATGAGGATATTCAGCAAAATCAGATGAGAAATCGAAAAAATGTTGCAAGGCAGCATAGGCTCCATCCTGATGCTGGCAAAGAGTGCCTCCATGTGGATGCTACATGGCACAGTTATAACAACCCTGCAATCACTTCAACCCCCTTTCTAGCGGGCTATTGGCCGATTGGCCATGCTGTACATGTGGGAGGTATAAAGCTACATTCTTTACAGAAATACCTGGAAGAGGTTACAATACTGATCAGTGAAAGATTCCATACGCTGGAGAGGAAGCATTCCTCGGTTACAAATCCCTTGCTCAGTCGCCTAAAATGAACCATAAATTCAGTTTAGGATTAAATATTCTTGTATGATCACAAAAAATGACCCCGGAGTAGCATCTGTAAAGTAGCTGGGTGTGTTCCCTTGGAGAAAAAGTAAGAGAATGCTGTGATAATGACCATGTTGTATACATCGGTAATACCGATCAGTGAAAAAAAAAATAAAATATATGAAAAAAAAAATCATTAAGCTACTCATCTGGAATGGTTAACATATTTTTTTTTCATTCATTGTGATGAGACAAATAAATTGCCACCATTGAACCTTTGCCGCCTTGGATGGTACCGACATTTGGTTGGGCCTATGGACTATTCTAAACTCATTCACACTTAAATATCTGTCCACCTGCTAAGAGGCTGCCTGCCCTGATAATAAGTCTATTTTCTTATTTGGCAGTTCTTACATAATTATACTAATAGACATCTTTTTTTTAAGGTTTATTGGTTAAATTTATTACCTGTGTGTGCGTGTAGGAGGCGTGGTCTGTCTGTCCCAAAAAGCTGAAGAAAAATTGCAAGTTGTTTCTCCTTTGGGGCTTTGTCCAAGCCAGTGGCTATCAGGTAAGAGGCAAACTGTTCTTTCCATGTCCTCAAATGTGTTGAAAGGTCTTCTAGCATGGGCAAAAAGGTTGTATTTGAGCTTAAAAAAATAAAATAAAAATCCGGTATGTGAGGGACAAGAGCCCCCACCCAGGACCATGAGGGCCATAAAAAGCAGTCAGAGTAGCATAATAGAAAAAAAATTTACCTAAACAAGAATGTGGGCCCTGCCACAATAGAAAATTTAAAAAATGATCTAGATTTTATCACCAAACAGTGACTTTGATAAAAAGGTTAAATGTGTTGTATACACCATTCTCTACCATAGTATTCTTATGTCTTCCACCAGCCTACTTTATATCATCAATGATGTAAAAACACAAAAGTGCAGCAAACTCTATCATCAGTGACTCACCAGTGCTGGTGCTGTAGGTGCGAACAGTGGGGTCAGTAGGAGGTGGTGAGCAGCCTGAGTCCATAGATGCTGTGTCATCATCTTGGGAACAACCAGCCTGGATGGCTCTCAGGTAACTGTGGCTGCGTGATCGGAAGCATGTCGGCATGGGCAAGTCTGGAGCCTCTGGGTTGTCCTGAGAGTGGGAGCGAGAATCTCTGAATGTGGACTCAGAGCTGCGGTCCTCGTAATGACTCATATCTAGGTCCCGTAGCTGGAGGAACAAAAAGACAAGACTGGTTATAATGAAACAGTAGTGAACGTTTCAGTGAGGGGTATTCTTTATCTTTTGTCAAACAAATGATAGATAACATTGTGATAATATTTCACCAAAGCGTGAAAAGGTTTACCGTCTCACATTATGCTAAAAGTGTTGCTTTTCCAGTAACATTGAAGCAATGGAAGTGGCACTACATGCTTTTCGCTAACTAAATCACACATTGATACCTATTTACTGTAAATAAACGTATCTGATAAAAAATAGCATATGAATCAGCATGGTAAGAACTAACTGCTGTGTATTTTTTATGGGATTGAATTTTCTAGTTTGTTCTATATTCTATCTGTTAACGTAAAGGAATTAAAGGGATATTCTGGCATAGAATTAATTTAGGGTCAGACACACCTTAACACTGAGTTAGACACCCCGTCAAGAGATGAATGTTGCGGACCGCTTGCTTCTCTAGACCTACCAACTTTAGTAACGACCGCACGATAGCAATACACAGCGGTCTGATGAGCCATCAACAAACCTCAACAAAAACGCCACTCTATAGTCACAAATAATACTCAGAACAGCACCCAACTTCATCAACAGTACATATAGGGTCCTAGCCACAGCACTAGCCATCAAACATCTTCTTAACTTTGTCTATTTTCTCTAGTGAAGAGACTAAACGTATCTCACCTACTCTCTTCCAGCAGCTGCTTGTTTGTAGCGAGACCTCAGGCCAGTCCATTACGGACTGCTGCGAGGTTACGCAGCTCAAGGAAGAACATTTGTGATCATTTCTTCATGGAAATGCAATCAGACTGAGACGCTAAGGCAGAAGAACTACCGCGTCTGCAGTGCAAAATGATTAATATGGTGATTATTACTTCAAGGAAATGATAAAGAAATGTTTATGGCTCCTCAGACCGCTGTGTATTGCTATCCTGCGGTCATTACTAAAGTTGGTATAACTAGAGAAGCAAGCGGTCAGCAACATTCATCTCTCGAGGGGGTGTCTAACTTGGTGTTACAGTGTGTTTGACCCTAAATTAATTTTACGCCACAATTTCCCTTTGAGCTTTCAGATCTATACTGCAACCAGTCACCAGGTGAAGCTCTGACAAGTTTTTGCTTCACTTGGGGTAGCTATGTAGCTGTTCTGGTTTCTAAACAGTTTCTGATTAGAACCATCATTTTACAGAAAATGAGATAAAAATGAAGGAAAGAAATCAGACATTGCGCTGAAGAGGTTTTAGTATTAAAGAAAAAGTCGGTAAGTGCTCAAACTGTTTTTGAAAAGTGGAAATCAGCCCTGCGGTGATGGGTTTCATATTCTGCTGATTGGCTGAAACTGCCTGAGTCCAAAATGTACTCGGAGCAAAGTTATTTAGATGCTTTAGAAATTGGAAACCTCAGGTGAGGCAGCTCGAGGAAAATAAAGAAGAGGATGTGGTAGTCTTGAATGACCGCTTTAAGAATCTGAAATTAAGAGTTTCAATAATTTTTTCTTGTTCTCACTTTTTTTCTTACTTCAAACAAATGCATGAATTAATATTTATCTAGACCAGTATGGGGCTGTGCATGCATTTAAACAGTACATTTATTTAATGCTCTGTGCATTGAAATGCACCAACCAGCGGCCTGCTAATGATTGCTTGAAAATCTGATTCTGATAGCCAACACTTCCTCTTTTGACAGGTTAATTGAAAATGGATTTCACTTGCTTCATGTAGTTGCCCATCATCTCAGTTAACCTTTCAGTAGGAGGCTAATAACTCTTATTTTAGTGCTGAATTAGACTTGAACTACCAGTGTCAGTCATATGGCTTTTATGTTCATAACATTAATATAAGACACGCTTGGGAGTCTTTGTTCAGGGGAAACTAATTTTTTCAGTTTTTCAAGTTCTTTCAGTAAATATGCTAATTATGGAAATGAGCATTAGTGGCTGAAGACTGGCAAGGAGCTCTTTGAAACTGGGTGGTGGTGTAAAAGTGTGAAGCTCAGGGATGTCAATGTCTAGAAAATACATATATATTTTTTAATTAATTAAGAACGGGGGGCTGTAACACAGAAACTCATTGTTGTTTACTCCGACAACTCACAGAAGCCACATTTTATACAATCTCCATCAGTCCTGTCCACTGAATACTGACCTGACCCATGCAGCTACGTCTCCCCAGGGTGCTGCAGGCCTGGCTAAAGTCATCATCATCCCAGGGTGGCAAAGATGAGCCTGGACCCCCGATGCAGTCGAGGTTGTCCAGGCTGCGATTGTTGGAGAGCTCTCGAAGAGATGGAAGACAGCTGAAAAAAGGAAATACAAGATAAGGGTGATGTGCTGCAGAATTTGAAGGAAGTGTTGGGAAGGCATGGGGACATGGTCATAGAGGAGATGGATATATATTTCAAATAAATATATGATGACGAATGGGCAAGGGAAAGAAAAATTGAGCAAATGAGCAAAAAAAGTATTTTACTGAAGACACCCCTTTTACTTCAGTTTTTAATTATGAATTATGGACTATTATGTATATGTTATAATGATTTTTTTTGTTGCTTCTTTGCATGCAAAGTCTGTACTAAAACCTGTTGCATGTATTTCGCTCTTTATCATGCCATCATGGTGCCAAAGACAAAGAACAGTCTGACTTGATCAGCAGCTCTAAAGTTTTGATGTATCCTTTGTTGGCACACAGTGATTGTGACATGGCGGTAAGTCGCCATGTCATGGTTAAGTGATGCTGACTTCCCCTGATTCCATTCAAAGTGTATAACTCAGCCACTTTCCACCTAAAAGCACTGGGCAGATGGTGTTAACAAGCTTACAGGAGGCTGGCAGTAGTTGGCAGCAAAGCATGAATTTGGCAGGAGCAGTTGCCACTGACTCTTAAGACATCCAAGGGGTGCAGAGCAGAGTCACTGTTAATGAATGAGCCAATAAGACTCAAATGTTCTGCACCGCACCTCTTAGACGTAGCTTACAGACCTACCACTGACCTGCTCATTGATCTGCCCAGCTGATGCAGGGAGGACACACTGTGGAGAGGTGACCACAGAGCATCCAGCTCCCCCTGCAACAAGGAGAAATCCAGGGTTCTGCTGCTCACGCCCAGCAAGGTGGAGCAGACCAGGAAAGAGTGGGGATGCATGGTCAGGGATTGGCAGGGGAAGCAGGGTTAGTCATTCAAGAACTCTTAAGGGAAGAATAAATCCCTAAGTTTCGAAACACAGGCTTAAGAGGGATTTAAGGTCAATGAGAAGTTGTGTTTGTCAGGTAGCCAGAAGACATTTTTTCTCTCTTAAAAAAAAACCTATAACAACAATCTATGGATATCAACAATCTATAACTGTACATCTGGCTGGTGTTTTGGTCCCTGCTAGTACATTAAACCATTAAAAACAGATCCCTGTCATTAGCCAGCCCTAATTCTAGAAACACAGAAACTGTTTTATCTTAGAAAATGTAAACGCTGCTGAAACTTTCTCCACTTCTGGGTATTGAGATAATTTTTGTGTCAGAGTATGCATAGCTCTGGTGGCTGAGTAGATAGTACAGAATATGACAGTTACGTCTCAGCGCACGTTTGCTTGACAATGCCTAATGCAAGAAAGTGAATCTGTTTTCATTTCTGTTTCATGAGAGGCAAAGTCAGTTTAGCTTTGTCCCAGAGCACATGATTCACGTACTACTGTGTCATATGTTGAACGGAAAGATAAGGCCAACTTGTGGTGATTTTAATATTTCAGTGGAAACAAAAAAAACTGTGTCATTTAATGCAATCATTGTTACTCTTGTGTGTTTCATGTAAGCCAACAGAAGGAAGGTGAGCTACAGACATTGAATGGAAGTAAGGCTGGCATGTGGAAGACCACAGGGAGTCTGACACCACTTAATTGTATGCGTGAGTAAGCGCAGCGTGGACTGTGTGTGCTTTTTTGTGCCTAAGTGTTCTTGTGTGTGCATGCTTTGTGTTTCCTGCATACTACCACGAGGTTAGCCATAATAGTCTCCTGTCTCCTGGCCTCATATAAAACACTGGCCTATGATTGTTCTCTGGATGGCTTAGAGATTCAGCTGTATCTGGTATTCCTTGACAACTAACATAAGCACACATTTCAAAGCCAGGATACTTTTTACCTTAGCCAATTCTCTCTCCGGTATATGCTACATAATAAAATTCAGTCTGTTGTCTTACTTGCGTGGGGGTAGCTGTTCGCTCAGAGAATGCTGTGTAGCCCTGAGGTAGCTCTGGCGACGAGCAGCAGTTTTTGGCGAGGGTTTGGGGCTTCCATCTGAGTCGTCGCTGTCTTCCATGTCTCCCATGGCCTTCACGTAGCTACCACTGCGCATTCGCCGACATGGGATTTCGTTGGCACCACTAGTGCGGCCTAATGTGCTACTCCATTCACCCTAAATGAAAAAAATAAAGCTGATGATCTGAGTACGAAAATGAGCAGGTAAGAAAACATTTTTGAAGTAGGCCTGTATGTATTTCATAAAATATTAGATGTTTAAAAGCACTGCAGTCCAGTCAATTCTCCCTACTCACCCTGCGTCCAACCTGCAGGTAGTTGCAAGTTAGTTCCTGCTGACAGGATTTGGACTTGAGCATTGACCTGTCCAGAGTAGCCGAGCCCTTCTGGATCACCTGTCTTGGCTGGCCCATCGTCAAAGTGGACCAGGACCCTCCTTTCATATAGTCATTATCATTTATCATCATTCTGCTAGGACCACCCACTCCACCACCTCCCCCAGACACAGGAAGTGCTGGATACTTCATGTCATTACTGCTTTTAGAGGTGCTGATAGTGTTGTAGCCTCTGTGGATGTATCTGCTCTGCCCCCCTTGACTGTCTTGTCCAGTTGGTCGCCCCAGAGTCATCATGGCCATGGTGTTGTGATAGCTGCTCAAATCACTGCTGTCCAAATCGTCTGAGCTCCAATAACCTGACATGTTGGATCGTGGCCGCCGTTTGGCAGTGCCCTCTGATTTAGTGCCCCGGTCCTTGCTTTTGGATCTGCGGTTGTGCTTTCCTCCATCCTCTGTGCCAGACGAGCCTCCACCACTGCCAGTGGAACGTCCATTGATATTTCCTTTCATGTGTTGACTTTCCAGTGACTGAGATTTTGCAAAGAGCTTCTGAACCGAGTGCACCATTGAACGTATGCGTCCAGGACTGTCTGTATGCTGCTTGGCTGTTGCAACAGCGGATGTTCGATGAAACTGTAAAGTGCTGAAACCGTCACGGCCTCCGGGAAGCTGCTTTTCAAACTCCAGCAGATTTGGAGGTGTCTGGTTCTTGGTCATATGATGTGATATAGTTGCAGAACCACTTGTAATCATGGGTGTTCGTGCACTCAGCCCTGCCATTCCCATGCTCATTCCCATGCCCATGGACATGGAGGTGCCCATGGTTCCAGTGCTTATACCCCCAATGCTGTCCCCTGGTGGGGAGAAGTCAGACTGGTCGTAGGAGTTGTAGTCAATCCGGGGGAAGGTGCTGCTGTTGGACAGCTGGTTGTTGAGAGGCAGCATACAGTCTGGTGGAAGGGAGCCAGGATTTGCAGACTGATAGAGATGAGGGTCCATGGTGCCATAGTGGTCCATTGTGGGGCTCAGTAGGTAGGGGCTTCGAGGAAGGGTACTGGTCCTCTGATTGTAGAGGGTGTTTGTATGCCCTGTTGAAGGATCACAGGAGTCAGACAGGTGTCTGTTGCGGGTCCCCAACCCTTTCATGGTGGAGAGGAGGTCCAACCCTTTAGAAGACCTCCAGGTGGAGTAAGAATGACTGATGACGTCTGAAGTGGTTCCTACAAAACAGAGAAAACAGGACAAAAAATACAATGAAAAAAAGTTAACAACTGGCCTATGGAGCGAACAAAACGCACAAACACAGACATCAAACTTACACCCGACAGTGTTTATCAGCTCAGCAGCACAAACACGCCTACTCATGTGCCAAACCAGACAACAAACAGGCTAGCTGTAGGACTGTGAGGGAAATTCTGTGTAGTGAATAGCCAACGCTAGCCTTCTATTGCTTCCCACAGAAAACATCTGCTAAAATGCTGGAGATGGATGGAAAAACATTGTGCGGTATAATAATGAGCTGTAGCCAGTGGGCTAGGGCATACATTATGAGGAAAAGAACAAGTGCTAGAAGTCATCAGTAACTCCCAACACTTTTTTGGATTGGCTATGTGGGAGTGCAGTATGCAGCAGTGAACAAGTACCCCCTCAGAAAAGAGAATGGAATAACTTTATGAAAGAAATAAGTTTACAAATAAACTTTGTCTTCTTTTTTAGACACCAGTTTGCACAAAAAAGGGGAAAAACAAAAAATGAGGAAAAAGTCACTGCAGAATGTATTCTAACAACTTCAACTTCTGTTGTAAATGGACAAACAATGATTATGTATTCAGGTTCTCCATCTACATACGTATACCATGAAAAGGGGTAGAGTACATCTAACACCTGTTGAAGGCAACTAGAGCAACCATGAACAGCCTTTACATAAAAATGATTTGTACAAAGTATTCTGTGGCCATGAAATGTTTTTTTTCTCTCTCAAATGTTACTGTAGAGGCTCAGTAGTACCATGTTTTTTAGTAGTAATTTTTCTGTTATTGTTGTTGCATCAAAGGTTCTTGGTGTCTGCTATTAAACTCCCCTATCAGCTCCTTTATTCTCAATTTCCTGGCATTGCAACTGCTGACAGGTAAGTTAGTGCTGCCAAATAGCCAGGAGAGACCTTTCTTTTAGCTTGCCACCTTCTTTATTTGCCCACTTTTCCTTCTGCTTCCCTTCCCCTGTCTCCTTCCACTGTTTCCTCTGGATCCTACATTCACCTATTGGGTTTCCTTGGCACTGGTTTCTGGATTCCCTTCTTACACTTGCAAGGTCTGCCAGGGCTGGCAGACAGACCTTTATAGTGAAACTAGTAAAGAGGATTTGACCATTGGGTGAATGGTGAATTTAGCTGGTAGCCAAACCTCCTTGTCTTGTTTGTCAAGCTGTGCCAGGGCCCTGCCTGGCAAGACTGTGAGGTTGATACTTCTCCTCATAAAAATATGGATGATAATAGATGTGGTGTACCCTGCAAAGGAACTGCAACTATAATTGAGATTATTCTGGGTTATTTTTCAACACTGCAAAACCAGCTGGTTGGAGGTCTTGTTTCTCCTTAATCCTCTCAGTCTGAGTTCAATCAGCAAAACTGAAAATCAAAATCATTGTAAGTCCATTCAGAAATCAATGGTATGCATGCTGCTGTCTTATCTTTGTTGGTACAGCTCAGTGGGTGTGGTATACTGCTCTACCTTTGGGCCCACAGATTATTTAAAGCCCCCCAAAATGACTGTCTTTCACTGATACATTCCCAGCCTCATTGACTACATGATAAATTCTGTCTTAATTCGTCCTGAGGGGAACAGCGATACAGCGGGTCACCTTAAATTCTTACATTTGTAGCTAGCTGCTTAACTGCAAACTTGGCTATGAAGTGTTGCTTGGTGACCCCTTCGCCCCTACTCTTTACCTTTGACCAGTTGTTCTCATCGCACACCCTCTTGGTGCAAACACAAGACAGATGAACCAAAATAGCATTAGAGACTTCTGTAAAGGGGAAGGGAAAATATAAAGTTGCTTCATGTTCCTGTGAAAAGGTCATTTGAGACTTCAGAAACAGACAAATCTCTTTGTTGAAATGTTTTAAGGGTGACTATGTGCGACAAATCTCTGTACCCTACAGAGAGCTACAACCTTTTAAAAAAATTGGGTGAATGCAAGTCGTGTTTTAGCGTGAGAAAACAAGGGGTGTTTAAAAGTAGCCGTTTTACACCCTTACCTACAGTCCAGATCACAGTGTAAACTAAATAGCTCTCGGTCACAGTGAAGGTATTCAACTGTATTATGTGTTACCATGCTTTCATGTACCATGTTCAAACTCGAATGTCTTCAGCACAGTTCCAACAATTAGCTATTTGCAAAAAAAGTCTCCACATAATTATAAGCCTTGTTTTCATACAGCTGTCATTAGCATGCTGCAGGCACAGACTCATTTAGTGTCATTAACAGAGCCTCTCTGAGTGTCATCTCTGCTGATAGGGTCAAATCCTCTAAATCCTTTTACACCACATTAGCTAACTGCCTCATATCCTGGTGTGACACGCCACTCAGCTAAGCTTAGCATACCCTTCTCAATGTGTCGAGCAGCATGGTTTGAAATGACAGTGAGGGACGCATTATTAAAGGAGGAAGGACTGATAACTGCTCAAAGCCACTCAGAAGTTTTCAACACTTTGACACATCAGTGTTGGCTTTTTAATGCTCGATAAAGGACAATGATCCTTTTTATGGTTTAATACAGTGTGATGGGACATAAACTTAAAAATCTTCCATATCTGAAACACTCTGTGAAATTGTTTTTTTCTCCCCACTGGGGTCTTACAGTAAATTTGTCTTATAATTGTCTTCTGTCAGTTTTAGTTAAGGTTCCATGATTCCTGAAGATGAGCTTTAACACAGATTTATGGTACAGCAAAGTTCCTTAAAGGTACACACCCTTATATTGTAGTGCCCTGATAGGCTTTCAAATCCATTGTTACTTTTCACTTGATTCACACAGGATTAATTCACTGACTTTCACTGACATTTTCTAAAGTTACTTCCTAACAAACTTTAGATTACCTTAAATTGACCCAAAATGTGAAAAATGTATGGTATTGCATGCTTAAGAGTCATATACTGTACTTCAATTCAATCTAGTTAATCAATTTCATTCCTAAAGCTCAACTTGGCATGGTACAGTGTGTCTACTAGGGGAATTAGTGACATTATCTAAATATTGAAGTCAGAATCCAGCCAAATCCAATCAAATTCCCCTTTCAATCTGAATGTTTCACCGTTTGATCTTACAAGCACAAAAATCTTACTAGTAGTAGGACAAAAAAATAATAACCTGGCAACCTATATTAGCTCATTGTTTGTTATATCTGATGTTACATCCAGTGACGCATACCTGACACATTATCCCTGCAATGTAGAGTAGAAGCAGTCTGGAGCATGTTGACGCTTGCAGAAGGAAATTATAGAATCTAGGTCAAGCATCTTCATTCATTAGTTTGTCGCTGGACAGACAAAAATGTGTAGGTGTCTTACTCTGTGTGTACAGTCCTCATAGAGAATACTTTGCCCACCAGAGAACAGACGCAAGAATGTGAGTGAGTCTGCGTTTGTGTGTGTTTTTTACATCCTGCTTGGAGCGTCTGGTGTCAGCATCTCCCTGCCTCGTGCACTGGGGAGCTGCCATCTGCTCCTCCAGTGGGAAATGGGGCGTTTGGCACCTAGTCCAACTCATGACCTTACTCATTTTCTGAGCAGCCGCAGCTTCAGTTCCCCTGCTGGCCAGAGGAGGACGATAATGCTCTTAAAAAGCTGCACTGAGCTTGTGTCACACTTTATCAGTCAGATGTTTTCATTCAGAAATTTCAGAGGCTGTGAGGGTTTACATGCTCAAAATTTAGAGGTATTTTTGTTAAAAGTATCACAGATGCGATGAAAGGGTGAGATTGGATGTCATAGTTGTTAAATAGTAATACCCTTTACATTGTCCCAGTAGACCAGTGTAATTAAATGTCTTTAAACATCTTCACATTTAGATGCAATTTGCTCTTAGAAATGATCAAGTGTTTATTTTTTCCTCTTTTGTGTATGACTTGGGTGACTTTTGTGAGAACCTGTTGAGTTTTCAGGTGCACTATCAGTTATGACCAGCTCGATGATGAGCCCCCCTCAATATTGATTCGAGACAGATTCAAGACAGATTCACCTTTTTTCAATATCAGTCCCAAGTCTGTAATACAGGAATAAACACTGTATTCCACAGAAGCATAACTATGAAGCTGTCTTCCACCTCTAAGTCATGGTGTGAGATGAATATTGCATGATGTTGTAGCAGTGCAATATTTATTGAATATTAAAAATCAAGATCATAAAGTAGAATTCAGTGCATTTATTTGATTTCTAAATTAAAACACCTGAATAACTTTCTTTAAACTGTTAGGATGGAGTTACAAACATGGCTGAAATGCAAAATTGTTGGATTTAAATATCAGTTAAACATCATGTTTTTATTGAAGCATCTATGTTCCCCTGTTTTTAATGTGTTCTCGTGTCTTTGTTTTATTGTTCATGTTAATTGTCTGTTTTTACTGTTTTTTAATTTTTACTGTACAGCCCTTTGGTCAGTGTTTTGTTGTTTTTATATGTGCTTTATAAATAAACTTGGATTGGATTGGACTAACAGTAATTTTAAAAAAATCAATGGTGACAATGTCTCTCTGAAATCAAAAGTAGTAGAATAAAATAAAAACACACACTTGAGGCACACAATGTTCCAAACCACACATGTAAATGCACCACACTTCTTTCCATTTCTACCCATTGGTCAGTTATCTTACAGTAAAGCATGTGGACCAAGAGGAGAATGAAAATGAACAAACTGAATGGAAAAAAGGAAACATTTAGCATTAAGTAGTGAAAAAAAGATACCTAACCGTAGTGAAACCTAACTGTGACCAAATGGTTCTTTATCATTACCAGGAAATATATATTTCATTTTTTTCCCAGTAAGCCTTACCTCTATTTACAATTATTAAAACTCTTGTCTGTCAATATTTGACCATGAAAAAGCGCAAAATAAATATTTCTCCAGTTTATCCCCCAAATATTTACTCGATTCACATATTTCCTGGCCAAGACCAAGTGAGAAAATTCCTTCCCAATATTTTCATTCACACACCTTAGCTTTGCCATCCACCAAATATTCAAACCAATGGTTTAGATTCAGGATCAGTACGTTTTCTGAGTTGATCTGCGTTGCCCTTGAGTGTCCAGATTTTTCACTCAGATGCCAGTTTCTAGATTGGCGAGTCTGTGGGCGGCCAGATTAAGAGGAGAGACTGCGCAAAGGACATCCTCCCCTCATCTGAGCAACACTGTACAGCAATAGACGGGCAGTCAGTCAGCGAGCCCATCTGCTCCATAATCTTGCAGTCCTGCCTCTGAAAACAGGGTGCAGCTCAGTGTGTGTGTGTGTGTGTGTGTGTGTGTGTGTGTGTGTGTGTGTGTGTGTGTGTGTGTGTTTGTGTATGAACTAAAAAGGAAGGAAAGTGACTGCAGAAGGAAAAAGCACGGACCTAAGTGAAGGAGGAACTGTGTGGAGAAAGGTGTGGGTATTGACTGCTGTGAAAATGAAAGCAATCTGAAGGGAATGAGGGTGTGAAAATGAGTAAATGTGTTGTAAATTGTGCGCTGGGGAGAAGGTAAAGAAACATAAAAAGCAGAGAGGAGGGATGAGTGACAGAAACATAGCATGGAGGAGGATGAACAAGAAAGGGTGAGAGTCAACAGAGTTCGGTTTTCTAAAGGAAACCAGCCAAGTTTAAGTTAAAGAGAGCTGCTGGAGGAGGGTGATGTGTGTCAGGGAGAAACTGTTTGATACATTTGCTCAAGCCAAAACAGGTAAAGGATGAGAGTGAGTGTGTGTTTGTGTGTGTGAAAGATGACAGATGCTGTAAATTCATGAGAGATCTGCATTTTCTATTCTGTAGGTAATGAGTCTTGTTCAAGCCAAAAGTAGCTGAATGATCCTGAGCTGTAGTGAGGGAAGAGGATGCACAAACACTCGCTCGTATGCATGTGTAATTAATTATGAATTGCTTGTATGCGTGTGCCTGCATGTGCATGTGTGCGTGTGTGTGTGAAGCCGGCTAACCTTGTCCTAATTACACTCTATCTATTCCATCAGTGCTGTGCTCTGGCCTATTTTCGCAGTTATAAATTTACCACTCTCCCCTCTGTTGTGATAGATGACCCACTCATTTTAGCCCATCTCTGAAGACTGAGCCAGAAAAGGAGTCAGTAAAAAGACAGTAGCACCACTCTACGGCTTATCCTGACAGCTGTGGAACTTTCCATGCCCTCAAAACTATTTTAGCTAATAAAGTTAGTACATTTGAAGATGATGGGGACGATGATGATGTTGCTGCTTTTGTTGATTGTGATATGAAAATGCTGTTGAAGACAGAGCAAACAAATATGAGCGCTTCATTTGCTCTGCAGAGAGTTAAAGGCTGTTTTTGTAGCATATATCAGTGCGTTTACATGACACTCGAGAAAGAAACAAATTATTGCCTTCTTCCGATTAAGACTGGACAACTGAAGTGCATGTTAACACCTTTGTCCAACTATAATCACAGTTAATTACTACACCCAGATAATGCAATTGGAATTCGATTTTCTCTACCCATAGTCTGTATATAGTATGGACAACTTTGTTCTGCCTTCCACCAGTATACGGATTTGAAGCCAAAAAGCTCTTGGTAATTCTGCGTTTCTCTCCATTTCCTGAAACCAACATTGTGCAGTAGCGTTGTACACACTCCACCACTTGCACAGTAGCAGTGTGCGCATTCGGCGGGAGAGTGGCTGAGAGTCGCTGTGAAGACACTTGGCTGAAACAGTGTATCCCCCGGGTAAGCTACACAATCTTCGTACGCCCATAGGCTGTATCAAGTGTCAATCAAAGAAAACATGAACCCCCTCATAACTTTTAAAATTGGAGCTGTACAGAAAAAAGAGGACTTGAGCACAAACCAGTCTTACTGTAACTACATGTCAACATCGCAACCAGGTGAATATTTATGTTCTGTGTAATACATTTCTAAAGTTTGTCCTCAGCCCCATAAGCTTTGCTGACAGAGGCAGGATTTATGAACTATACTGCAGCCCATCACCAGAGGGTGCTGTGTTCAGAGTGGCTTCCCCAGTGAGGAGGCAGACAGCGTCCATTCTATATACAGTCTATGTCTCTACCATGTAACCAGCGTAGTCGGAGTATAATTGGACAATGCATGTGCGCCACGCCCCCTCGGAGCAAAACAAAAACACCAGAGAAGAAATGGCATGATCATTTAAAGAACTTTTGACTCAGAAGTAACTGCAACATGGCTGAAGCACTAAAGAGTCCACTTTTGGAATGATGAGGAGAGTGCCGTTATGCTTTCCCTCCTGAAAGAAATTTACATTTTAAAGTCAGAAACCGGAAAACTGGAAACAGCGCCACTGAAAAGACCCATATCGCCCCCTAGTTTTGGAGAGAAGGACACGTTCACATCAATAGTTTGATTTTCTCAGCTGCATGTAAGTCCGATTTTGTGAAAAAAATGAATTATGAGCTCAGTCCAGTTAAGCTGTGCATGTAAACTCACTGTGTGTAAGTTATGTATCAGCAGTCCTGATTATAGTATATTTTTTAGCAGCTTTAGAGATTTCACCATACCTCTGTTTTCTGTGGATGCCAAAAAGTAAAGACTATTTCCTATTCTGACTCTGTTTCTGACCTCTAATCTGTCCAGAGGGAAGCGAGTGGAGAGACAAGAGGTCAGCTAAGAGGCTGCAAAGTATTTTTATGTTCTTTCAAAGAGAAACTTAGCACGATCAAAAGCTCGCTGGTTTTCATTTGAATATATTTGCTACAGCTCGCCACAGTATTTACACAATTATTTTTGCTTGCGATGAGGCAGAAGAAATAACCCTTCATTTCATATATGTATCAAATACAATTGAGAACGTATCAAGTGATACAGTGATACTGTGTCCATACTGACTGTAAATAAAACAAACCCAGAAGTAGTTTCCAATGTTTGCTCTGTCTATGAAATGAACTGTCTCGTGCTGCTGGTAGGAAATGCGTGCCTCGGCTACAGCTTTCACTACACAGTAGCAGGAGTTGGTTGGGCTTGACATGCCGGGGCAGCTTGTACATGACCCAGAACCCATCTGGTCTCGCGTGGTATGAGACTGTAATCCATTGCCTGGAGGACAAAAGGTTAGGGGAAGGGGACTAATAAACCAACTCCAAAATACACCTGAAGCCAGAAATGGTGGAAGGTTGGGCTTGGGGCTAGCAACTCCAACTCGTAAAAAATTGCATATGTTACAGAAACCGCAAACACACTATGTGGCCCTATGCTCCACTTAGGAGCCTACAGGAATAAGTCAAGTAAGTCATGAAATGAAGCTCGAAAACAAATCAGAGTAATGATGATCTTTGACAAATGAACATGACTGATTTGGAGTTTATTTGGAGCTAGATCAAACTCACAAATTTATGCGTTGTTAGGGTTCAATACCATCAGTCATAGTTGTGTTGACAAATGCAAGCTTCTACGGCGCCATGTGTGTCAGATTAGCAAAGTAGAGGAGGAAGAAAACACCATGAACATAAACAGTAAAGTCGTTAAACTTTACATAACAGTGACTGTCTGCAGCACAGTGACAGGATTAGCTGTCATACTGTGATTTCTACCAACCTGAGTGATATTTGCTGTTGTATTGCAGTGTTTTGGTGAGCTAAAGAGGTGGGATGTTAATGCAGCACCTTTGAGAGCTTAACTCTACTGCAGACTCTGGCTCCCCGAGGCACGAGATGTCTGCACTTGAGATGTTTACAGTTCTTTGTGTATCAAGTAAATGATCCCCTTTTTAGCCAGAGCTGCTGCAGTTGTGCACCATGTCTCCACTAACTATTGCAACAGTTGATCAACAGTTTCCTCTGAGAACAAGGGGGCAGTATGTCAGCAAACCAACAATATTAGCACCTTCTGAGCATTTTTGATCCAGTTGTGTTTCCATTTGACACTAGAAAAAACTGATGATAGAAAACTGGACAGTGTCAGTCTGAAATGTTTTTCCGCTCATACTTCTTGACGCAGCGATCCCTCATTGAGGTGTTTGGGGTAAATTCAGTACATCCATTATAATAGATTGGATGGCTCCATCAGATGTAGGGCTGCAGCTATCGATTATTTTAGTAATCGAGTACTCTATCGATTAATCTGTCGATTAATCGAGTAATCGGATAAGAAATGTTTTGCTCTCACTGTAATACTTTGCATTGAATCACGTTTGCCTCAGAGCGGACTTAATGCATGGACCGGGTGTTTTCTTTTAAGGTGCTGCAGCATTGACGACGTGCTGTTGTGAAACGCCAACTCCGCCTTACAGTAAACGCACTGCACGGCGTTTTCTTTCCTTTTCAGTGTGTAATGGTCCCACACTTTAGACACTTTCTGCCGTTTCCTCTGCGTGTCATCTCTTTCTTCCTCTCTCTGTCTGTCCTCGTTTCCCTCCATGATTGAACCAAACGCGCCATAGACATAATAAAAGATAGACCCCGCATCGGCCGCTACCACGGATGGGCGCTGTCGAGAAATGCGGCCGCCATCTTGGTCCGGTCATCCGCCTCACTCTGCACCGCTGTTTAACCGGCGGAATGAAGTCTGAGCGCATTAATGAATCATAGTTCGCTCAATACTACGTAATTTTCTTCTCTGCAAACGCCATTCAAAGAGGCATGATAGAGGCCATATTTTTTTTTGGCGTTTTCAAATACTCAGAATGAATAAAATGATATTTTAGAACGTGGCAGCAGTGGCTGTATTATAGTATAACAATTAATCAAGGATATATTTAGGTTTAGAGCTAGGTTCCTGCTATGTCTCAATAATTATTAATAACTGGCGGTATTAATAGGCCAATTCAATATATATTGATTTGATTATAATTTTTTATATAGTTTAATTTTATTTATCCATTTGTAGACACACACAAATAATGTCATATAGAAGCACTATTTTAATAACTGGAAAATACACACAAATATATAGCCTACATATCAAAAAGATTTAAACACAAGAACAGCATGACAGGACAGCATCTAAACTACATATCAATTTGCTTGTTGGCTACACAGCACAGAGGAATCACTTGCTGCGAATTTCTCCCTCTAACAGCAATCTCCCACTTCTTCCTCAAGTTTTTGTCCTTAGGAAATCTTCAAAATGAAACAGGAGATCACCACAAAGAAATCTTTAATAAAACAGATAATAAAACAGAGCTCACTTTCTTCCTTTTTCTTTCTATTTTATTTCTTAACGTTTCTTAGAACCTCTCTCAAACAAAAGTTTTTCAATCTAATGCAAATCTGTTGATAATCGACCAAAGTTGCTATTATTGTGAATAAGCTAGCTGTTCGCAAATGCTGTTTCCTTTTTGGAGTTGACCGATAGTCTTCCTCTTTGGCCTACAAATGACTCTACAGTCAAGTGTAATGTTTAAAAAACGTTTAATCATAACTGTGAAAAGTTATTTCTTGAGCCCTGTTCTCTGCTGTCCGCCTGTTGGCACAGGAATACGCCGCACAGTGCTCCGGCATCGCTGAATGAATGAATATGATTGACCGGAGCGTATGGGAAGCTTGACCTGACCAAGATGGCGGCCGCATTTCTTGCTGCGCAGCACCCCCAGCGGGGTCTACCCTTTTATTATGTCTATGAAACGCGCGGCAGCGGAAGGAGCGGAAAGAGCACGCTGCTGCGCAACAGAAATAACCGTCCGTGTCAAACACCGTGCGCTGCACATGGTTCCGGATTTAAACGATTCCTCGAGGCATACAATTTGCCTCGAGGAATTTTATTAATCGAGTTACTCGAGTTACTCGAGTAATCGTTTCAGCCCTAATCAGATGTATCCATAATGGAAAACATTATTTAGGGATTTGGGGCATTTGCCATTGTTTTTGTGATACGGTTATTTTAAAACGAAGCGATCAATACTTAATTATTTCAAAAAATTGATAACAGAGAGTACTCTGAGTTTGCTGAGTCTCTGTAGTCTGCATCCATCACAGCTGGGGACAGTAAATATGTGTTTCATATCTTTACATTCGGTGTCTTTCTCTTTCAGCCCTTTAACCTGGGTGTTCAAGTGTTAATGCAACAGTGTATACTAAGGTTGCCCTGAAGTGCAAAACACAATAACATTTCGCAAAACACGATGACATTTCACAAAACACAAGAACAACACAAGAACACATGATTTTGTGTATTCAAAATGTTTTTGTGTTTTTCGAAATGTTGTGTTTTCAAAATGTTGTTGTGTTTTGCGAAATGTTTTTGTGCTTTGAAAATGTTGTTGTGTTTTGTGAAATGTTGTTGTGTTTTCAAAATGTTGTTGTGTTTTGCGAAATGTTTTTGTGTTTTGTGAAATGTTGTGTTTTCCTAAATGTTGTGTTTTCAAAATGTTGTTGTGTTTTGCGAAATGTTTTTGTGCTTTGAAAATGTTGTTGTGTTTTGTGAAATGTTGTTGTGTTTTCAAAATGTTGTTGTGTTTTGCGAAATGTTTTTGTGTTTTGTGAAATGTTGTGTTTTCCTAAATGTTGTGTTTTCCTAAATTCTGTTGTGTTTTGCGAAATGTTGTTGTGTTTTGAAAATGTTGTTGTGTTTTGAAAATGTTTTTGTGTTTTGAAAATGTTGTGTTTTGTGAAATGTTGTTGTGTTTTGCAAAATGTTTTTGTGTTTTGAAAATGTTGTGTTTTGTGAAATGTTGTTGTGTTTTCCTAAATGTTGTGTTTTGCGAAATGTTGTGTTTTGAAAATGTTTTTGTGTTTTGAAAATGTTGTTGTGTTTTGTGAAATGTTGTTGTGTTTTGCAAAATGTTGTTGTGTTTTGCGAAAATTTTTTGTGTTTTGAAAATGTTGTGTTTTGCACTTCAGGGCCACCGTAGTATACAAAGCAGCAAACCACTGTATAGCAAGACATTTAAAATAGGCCCTGTGAACATTACACAAAGTAATCTACTATTATTTTAAGTTTTAGCTGTCTTCAAGAGAGCTTGTCAACTCTTAGACATATCAAAAAAGAAGAACATTTTTTCAGGGTGCATTTTCTTTTTTTAAGTCTGTCTCAGTAAAGTATAACACTTAAGTACAGCACTTACATAAATCATAAGTCTCAGTGAGCTCTTGAATGACATATATGGATTATATTTTCAAAATGACTGTCGTCTGTAGCACTAAATTCCCTCTCTTTATTTCACACAGACAGAGTTGCCTTGTTGAGCTGCAGAGGGAGAGGGTAACACAGAGGAGAATATCATATTAGAAAGTGAAACTTTGTAAAATCGCCTGCTTCAGCTGACTAACTTAAGCTGTTAAAACCTAATGCATATTTTCAGTGAAACCAAAAGATTAGTAAAAACACTCCTTTTGAAAGTGTTCAGGAGGAAATATCTTCACAGACAGAGTGATGGTGTGGATAGACCAGGGCAGGAGTCTCAATCACTAACACTGTATTGTAACTAATAAGAATCCAGTTTTAAGCAGAACAACACAAAAGCCAGACATGGAGTGCAGTGGGAAGAGGGTTAGGGGGATGCAGCTGGGGCCTCTATTTTTGGATTCAGGGCAAATCAGAAAGACTACTGCAAACAGACCGAGGGAACACACACATTTCCATCAACACACATCCATTAGCTTACCATTATGAATGTGTATAAGACTCCTGAATGAAAAGACACTCAAACACACCATCTCCTTCACACAGCATTGAAGTCTGAGAGAGAGAATCTATAATACTCCGGGAACTATATGTCCTAAAATATGCTCTTCATGTACAACCTTGACATAACATCAAATCAGAGCAGGCTGTGTAAAACTAGATATCATGGAAAACCAGAGAACATTAATGAGCGTTAATATTTGAAGTCTCAGCTCTGAGCCGGTCTTTCATGTTTGTGCAAAACTAAAGCTGAGGGCGACTTCAGAGATGAGGATTTGGCTAAATGAGGGGTGTAAAAGGAGGTTTATGAGGAAACTTTTTGGTAAAACCTGAACGCTTTAATGAAAACTCTCAAATCTTATTCTTAATCTCCAGCCCAGTGATGTCCTGTGGCGTCTGAGAGTCGCTTCAATTCGTGTGTGAGCCATGAGCAGTCACCCACAGCCTGTTATGATCAAGCACAGTGTGGCTATAAATCCCACCAGGATAAGCATTAAACCTCACCCACTCTGAAATGCCCTTGGCCTGACACACAATAGCCACGGTTCAGTTTAACACGTTCACAAAGACTTGACCCCCTCAGCAGAGGAGGCAGCCGTGCGATGAGATTTCCTGCGGTGAAATGGAAAAAGGTTGAAAAGTCACTTCCTGTAGAGATGGTGGGGGGGCTCATGTGACCTGGGGCAAGTGGACAGGGGTCCCCGCTGGACGCCAAGTGGGTCAGCCCTGCAGTCATGCCTCAAAATCCCTACATGACGTCACAATAATACCCTAATGGCTATCTTTCAACCTATCAACCTGTCAGTAGCAAAAGGATGAGCCGTTGCCATGGCAACAATCATGAAAGCGAGCAAGAGTGATGAGGATAGTGAATATATACGGTCTAGATCACACAGAGCTCTGACATTTAGGAGACATGAGCTATAACTCTCCAAATATTGAGCTGCCAGTAGGAGTCGCATGTAAACATGTGGGTTTGGTGCAAAATCTACATGAAAAAAAAAAAGAAAATATCGAACAAGGATAATGGATAATATGAGGATAATGGAAATGCAATTTTCAATTAGAGGCCTGAAAGGATGAGTGTTAAATGATATTACATCTTCAGCTCCTGTCAATTTTAGTCTCTTGTAGGCATGAGATTCTAACTGCAAAATATCACAATTTCATTGTGAAATTGCGATCCCAGCTCTGAGATGGATAATGTGTTTGACTCTAGGTCACCTTTTTTCATATAAAATACTTGGAACAGGAGTTAAAATTAGGGGTGCAGCGAGATCATATGTCACAAGATCTGGCAATTCTCAAGATTTCTCATTGAGGTGGGAAGCTGTTTTGTGAGATCCAGACAATACTTGGTGATTTTGTCATTTTCAGCAGCAATTACAGCATTTCTCTGATGTGATGGTGATAGTTATCATAATCAGTCTAGTACAGTGGAAAAGGTGCTGCCAAAAAACTGCCAAGAGGAGAAATGTTGCTTATTTTATTGCTACAATGAGGGGTCTTAACTGTGTCTGAAACAACATGCTGATACCTGCATGCATCTAAGACAGCTGTGACTGTTTGTTACTGTTGCCACCGCAGTTTAGACTGCAGTTTGTTTCATACACTAATAGACCTCATAGTTACACAGAGCAACAACAGACTCTGTGATCAAATGTCCCATTTTGAAATCACATCTGTTGTTATGTCCATACTCACTCCTCCCCTCAGTCTGTCGCTTTCTCCCACTGGTATATGTAACAGTTTAACCCTGCGTTCAGATATGTATGAATTAAGTGAGTAGACGATTAAAATTTTCTCATATATATTTGTTCATATTACCATTTAATTTTTTAGTTTTAGTTATAAAGGAGTTTAAAGTTGCTTAAATGTGAGTGACGCAGATCAGATCATGAGTAATAGTGTTTAATCATCATGATCTCTTTATTAATTGATTGTAATTATCATCTTCTGTGTAAAATACTAGTTGCATTTGTGTTTATGAAGCAGCACACTTAATAGATAATAGAAAAGATATTAAAAGTGCCTTTTTTCTGATCATAACTTGTATGCCGGGTCTAACCAATGCCAAACTCATACTTGTGTCTTGTGAGATTATTACAGATCCATCCATGTTTTGATTTACCTCCAAGTGTAATCAGTGAAAACCTGAATGATAAATCTGCTATCTAAGTCATAAATTATAAATTACAGGCTATTTTACTCCACGAAAAGTTGGCCTAATCAACCTGCTCCCCCCTGAGGTTTCTCTCCACTGTGGTTGAAGTTTCACCACAGAGACTCATTACCCTGTTAAACTGCACTAAAACAGGAGCTGTGGACCTTTGCTGATAGGATTTCTGAGTCAGAGAATGTGTTGACCTCGACATATTAATATGGAGCGACATTAATTAATTCTGTGTAGTGCTCACACAGGGTGAGATTTTGGTACATATTTATTCAACCAATGTTTCCTCTGTAGTAACTCATCTAAAAATACGATGTTTCATCTCATCCCAGTTTCAATCTTTGCTTTTAAGTCATCCTAAATGACAAAAATACATGGAAAACAGGATGGTTCCGGTGACATGCAGAAGATTTGCAGATGGCTCTTTTTAAATGTAATATGCATGATAGTAAAAGCACTTCTACACAGACCGAAAAGATGCTTTTTATTACAAAAATCTGAGCACCTAGAAATGCAGATGCAGCATAAGAAAGAAAAGCGAGAGGAGTAAGGAGACAAAAGAAGATCTGCACTGTGATTGAAGGAAATTGCCAAAGTCTCCTTTTCTTTGTGTGTAGACAGCCAGGATAGAGTAAACCATCAATCACAGCTGTCCTCTGCAGCGACACTCTGCTCCCAACATTTTCATTCACAAAGTGAGCACATCTTTGGTCGTAGTCCTCCAGTACTGTGCTTGTTGGTATCCTCTCTGCCTTTTCCTTGCAAAGTTATCATTGATCTGATTATCCTCTGGTACAGGCTGCATATTTAACTTTGACCCCAGTAGGAAGGTATGAATTAATCTGCAGCAGAGCAAGTGGTGTGATGTGATTTGTTATTCAGCAATGGTTTACCTTTTGTGAGCAGTTAATGCACAAAAGCTGGAGTTAAATGCGGCCTCTAGATTTATTTTTTCCACCTCTAGCACAGTCCATTGTGTGTGTGATGCCTACTACACCCTCTCATCCTCCAAACCCCAGGGAGACTCCCATCAGGGGCCTTATGGGAAGGATGCAGCAGAGTCCCGCGATTGGAGCTTCATGTTATCTCTGAGCCGCAGCAGTACGCCTGGCAGGACCACAAAAAAAAAAAAAAAAAAAACTTGTGGTGTGTGTGAACATGTGTGGGTCTGCTGTGCATGTGAATTTCAAGGGCTGGACTTGTTTGCAAAAGCATGCATCAGTGTGCACTCATGTATGTGTTCTATAAAGAAGTAAGGGTGCAAATTTGTGAAACTGAAAGTGTGTTTATGTGTGTGTGTCTGTGTGTGTGTGTTTGTGTATGAACCGAAAAGGAAGGAAAGTGACTGCAGAAGGAAAAAGCACAGACTTCAGTGAAAGGAGGAGCTGTGTAGAGAAAGAAGAAAATGCCATGTTACAGCTCACCGAAGCCTTTTCACATGTGTGGCTGAGATGTGTTCCACTTGTGCTCAGTGATATTTTCTCAGACTCTTATACACATGGTATTTTCCTGCAGAAACAATGTTCAGTGATCCATGAATTAGAGTTACATGTTCTCTACATACTCATTATATATACAGTGAACTGAGACTGACTGAAAATGAGTTATTATCCACATTATCTGAGGTGATATAGCTGCAGTTTTCCAGTGTTTTCTACTCTGACTGGTTTGAAGTCTGAAAAAAAAAAAGTCTGAAAATAGGTGGACAAGAATAAAAAAACAACAACTTGGTTCAAGAAATCACTTGTTAAGAACAGCTGAATGTTTTATACGTAAAAGTCGTTGAACAAAAAAACTTTCCTTATCAGTATTTGAATCAATAATACGCTCTTTGACCTCTTTTAGCTTACACACACACACACACACAAAGACTACATCTGATAATCTGATATATCAGATTCCTTAACACTATCTATATCATGTATAGATAATGATGTGTTTACAGCTTTTTTCACTGAAATTAGTAGAGTGTAGTTCTCTCAGCAGAGGTAGGGGATGAAATCAAAGGATGCTGTGGAAGTTGTAGTGTTGTGTTTACAATACGACTGAGACTAAAGTCTGTTTCTATGAGCTAGGTCTCTCATTTGCCTTTTGACAATACAATAAGTAAGTTGATGTATTTACAGTATAAACAAATTACTGGAACAGACTTATGTAGAGTATTGCTGTGTTCCAGTTACCTCAGGAGTCAGATGTCAGAGCTGGGAATGACGTTACACCTGAGTTGATGGCGTTCCTGTTAACAAGTCGGAAAACCAAGATGGACGCCTTCAGTTACCCATTGTTAGCTGTTGTTTACAATTGTCAGCTGTTGTTAGTTGTTGATAGCGATACCAGTCGTAAACCATAGCATAACGCAGTATTTTACTCTTACACTTAATTAATTTCACAAAAGCAAAACAGAAGTGCTAATAAATAATACATCACAAGAGCTTTCACCGTCATGCTTTACTGTTGACGCACTGCGCTGCCATCTTGGAACATGACGTTGGCGTCAAGTTGGGGTTGGTGAGGGTTGTCTGACTTTCTGAGTGGAAAATCCGACTTAAGGGGTGCGTTGCAGATGAATTTCCAAATTCTGACTTCCGAGTACAACTGGAACACAGCATATGAACCAGCGTCATTGCATGCATTGCGCACCTTTGTGCCTACCACATGACACACAGGTCACCCCCATCTTCCTACAGGCCCCCAATTGCTCTGAATATGACCTGCTCACTCTGACTTTAAAAAATTATGTTCCAATTCAGGCAAAGTCCAGATGAAAATTTGTTTATTTGTGTTCAGCTCATCCAGAACTTTTCTTGCGCATGTGTGACCGCAGAATTGCCTCAAGATCTCTGAAGCATTTTTCTACCTGGGAGTGATTTCTCATCAATATTTTTGTTTACACACTCCTGACATCTCTTATTCATAACTGTGAGGATCCTCCAAACCCGCAGCTTCTGATCTTTGCTGTAAACCACCTTGACCGCCCTGCCTCCAGGATTGCTAGACAGCTACAACACTAGTTTCTAGTTGTTAGGAGAGCCTGTCCTGTTCGTTTTTAAATGCAAGCACTCACGCCTTTGAAAAACTTGCTCAAAAGTCTCACATCCTCATCCATTATTGATAAAGCCTTAAGCCTTCCTTGTACTGGGGATGACAAACTAAAACCAGAAGTGGCAACTCTGTCGCATCGCGCTGAAGGAAGGGTTGTGTCTGAAATTTGAATTTCACCGGCATGTCCTGCACTGAGTCATCCTTTGAAGTCCCATCAGTGTGTTTGTAGGGAATAGCAATTAGCTGCTAATAAATGAAGTCAGAGGTGAGCCCTGTCTCTGCTGGTTAGCCAGGAGTGTTAAGTGAAAGGTTAGGGCACAGTTTTGTGCTCCATCAGGACTTTGTGTCAGTTTAATTAATTTAAAAGTAACATTACCGCCTGAGTGCTGGGGTCAGGCAAAGGACTTACATTGGCAGCTCATTTTTCAGAAGCCTCGATGTAGGTAGGAGGTTTCCTGAAAGAGAAAGGAAGAAACCCGTGTTAGTATTTATGTGTTGTAAACGCATTCAGAAGTATCGTGCTTTACTTTCACAAGAAAAACTGTCTTTTGCTTCAGACCCACACACATAGAGCTTAGGATAAGGCTTTGCTATGTAGCATTACAAATTGGGTTAAAATAATCTGATTGAGAAATAGAGCCCGAGGGCAACTGGTGTTCACGCTCAGGCCGGAATCGTATCTGCATTCAACTCCACCTTGTTGTCTACTTTACTCCTCTCTGCCCTACTTTCTCTCTTCCTCTCTCCCTCCTCTCTCTTTCCTCGGAGGGTTGTACAAAGGCACCGTCTCGCTTTGGCACATTTCAATCACGACAGTCTCCCACTCATCCATATTCCAGTTGCTTTTATAACTCCTGCAGCGCGACAGAAGCTTTGACAATGTTGAATCAGGGCTCCTTTCACCCAAGGGCTCCGCAAACAATTGTGCACTCACCATGTGTCCAGCTTGATAACGCTCCTGAGTCTGTACATGAGAGTTTGATCTGTACTCAGACCCAGAAGTGTGTGTATGTTGGTTTGCATTTGAGTATCTGGAAGAATATATTATAATATATGAAATGTATGTATAATACATGTTTGATTTTCTACTTCAAGTTGTTTATTTTTTTTCTTGATGTGTGTGCCAAGAATGCATCAAATCAAATCAAATCAAATTTTATTTATATAGCGCCAATTCACAACAGTTGTCATCTCAAGAGGCTTTTCAAAGAACAAGAGCAGGTCTAGACCACGCTCATTGTTTGATGATCAAGAACCAACCCAAGATGGGTTTTGGCCCATCTCAACTAACATGAGTAGCAGTGGCAAGAAAAAACATCCTTTTTTGCAGGCATCACAACCTTGTCAAACACTATCTCCACTTTTTTAAATCATCGTCACATAGGGCTGGGCGATATGGGAAAAGGTTTATCACAATATATTTTTTTCGTATTAGTCGAATTGATATATATCACGATATAAAAAAATCACTTGTCAATCTTAACTGTTCCCTGTTACTCTTAAATGAAAATTTAACAGTGCTTATTGGTAGCATGTCTTTTGTAATACAATAAGCTACTGCATCTGTGAGGTCATTCATTCATTCATGTTAATTGGCTATTCGTATAGTCTACCAAAACATGGCAGAATGCTGACTATTGAAAAGCATATTGACCATGTTTTATATCTATAATTAGTTTTCGATATATATCATTATCGTTTTATCGCCCAGCCCTATCGTCACATAAGGATATCATGTCACTCTGCACTAACTACAAAGCCTCTGAGTTTGACAGCTGCTCTCTGAACTCTGTGGGAAAATGATGAGTATAAGGTCACAAACCAAACTCCACCCTAACCCTTTGTTTAAGTCCTGTATTCATCTTTTCCTTAGAAAAAAGTTTGCCTTTGTACAACAGTTCCACATGTACTGAAATATACAGTACAGAGCAAAGGTAGAACCTTGATGTAATATTCAAATGCTGCGTTCAGCGCTGCATGTTTATGCCGCTGTTCTATTTTGACACACGTATTCGATTCACAGCATGAAAACTGCTGCGAATTCTCTTTGATATTTTGGGCACTCATCTGTTCTGACTTGACAGTGGCACAGATAATCAAGAGAGGAAGGGGCATCAACAGGAACTGTCGTGAACAAACACTATCCACATAGGGAGCTGTGTCCCTGTTTTTAAATGATGATCATCAGTGAGGAAAATTCCACATGGAGATCGTTTGATTCATTTTTGACAAGCAAAGTCTTAACTTTCACTGCAGGCTTAGACTTGAGATGATCCTCCCTGAAGCCCAGAGTCAAGTAAATGAGTTTCTCCTGTTTAGGCAGCTGTCATAACTTAATTAAACCATCACTAATAACCTCATAAAAATGTAGAAGTGTCTCTGTTTATTACTATAGTTTTTCTAGTACAGGCAGAATTGAGCGAACTTTTACCAGGCTTTGATTTATACAGGAAAAAATCTGTACCAAGAGCAAAATCAGGCCTAACACTGACAGAAAAAAAGAATTCTTAGCCTAGAGTTATTTAAAGCCCCATTCTTTTCTTTAAATTGTGATCATTTGTTTTTAGCCAAAATCACGTTGCCTGTGTCATTTTCAAGGGCTTTTCTTTTCTAAAGACCCAACCTTGAGATGGCACAGATTTGACCCATCCCACCTAACATGGGTGAAGCACTCGATAGTATGTAAGGAAAAACTTCCCTTTAACAGGCTGAAACCTTGAACAGCACCAGACCCATGTTAGGCAGCTACCTCCAACCTGAGTTGGAAAGAAACACATAAAGTGAGGTAGAGAGCTAAGTGTGTGGTACACAAGGATGTTGGTTTATCTTATGATGATTTTGATGTATGTTTTCAATATCTCAATATTGCAGATCTCAAAACCATGGAAATGGCTGTTTTTCTGGTACCGTTCACTCCAGGTGAATCTAAAAACGTACTGAACATGAACATCCCCAAATATTGCCTTACATCAGGGTGAGTTGGTTAGAGCAGTGGTGGCTCTTGACCTCTAAAACCCGACATGCAATCCCGGGTGTCAACTCTTAAATTTACTGTCCAGAAGGTCAATAAGAGCTAAAGGGAGAGACAAAAGTAAAAATCAAATA